TGATAAAAGAAGAGCGGGTTCATTTTTTCGGGGCACACAATGGGGAGGAGTAATCCGATACGTGATTTGTAACTTGTCTTGCAAAAATTTTGCTACTCTTGTTGCAACGTCTGGATATTAAGAAGGCATCATTTCAAGAAGGGGAGATCTTTTCAAGCACACTCGTGAACTTTTTTTCCTCAATGGTAACTTTTTGTTTCATAAATTCTTTGGTGAGACTCATTAAATAATTAGATTTTTTGGAATAACACAAAAATTTAAATAATAAATAAAAAACATCAATATAATTCATAATTATTTTACAAGTTTTCATTTTGTTTAATTTTCTATTTAATAATTTAAGAAATAAAAATGTAACAAAAAAGCGAAATGATTAAATTTTTATTTATTTAATTATTAAATAATAAAAATTATATCATTATTATTTATATCATTTATTAGCAAAAACTTTCAAATATATCCATATAGAATTCGGGTCGCGAATACAAAAATATTTTGATTCCATTCAATTCCATTATTTGAATGCAGGAGCAAACTATAATTAACAAAAAGAGAGTTATTTTTACTCCTAGTCAATTAATTTATTCACATTTGAATAATTTGAGTGTCGAGTATATATTTAGATTTAGAGAGTAAAATGCAAGCACCTCGATAGGCAATGAACTAAAAATAGACCACTTTCGACCGATAAAACCTCCATTAATTCGCACGCTCCGGGCAATTAACTCTGTTGCATCCATCATTATTTCTGCTAGGTCTAAACATTCGGAATGATTGGACGCCGCCAACACATTGATAGGGCCGCATAGCAATATGGAAGAGCGTTGACAGATGCAGTGGGAAAACGCGATTCCCATATGTCCGCCATCTGCCGCCGCGGCGGATGACGCAAGAGACAGAAACGTGTAAAACCAAACAAGTGCGGAGGATCTCGGACGAGGAGGATGCGCCGGAATGAAAGAAAGCCTGGTGCAATTTCTTCGGCGTTATTGCGGTTTTCTATCCGTCGCTCGTGTGCACGCAGCAATTTCGCTCGGCTGGCTGGAATTATGAAAGCGTGTCCTTCGGCAGGCAGACATCCCATTGTAGTGCGCCATGGTCTGATTTTGTCCGCGCTTGAAAAAGGAAAGAATGGCGAGAAGAAAGAAATAAAGAAAGAAGAAAGAGGCCACGATATGCGATAAGCCCAAGAGAGCGGCTATTATTGAATTAGTAACATAATTGCGCGGCGCCGCAATTCTTATGAAAAATTTCCTTGTCAGCACAAATGGGCAGTGGTTGAGCTTCATTGCCTTCAATCGAGGCTGTGTTTATTCGCCACAACAATTTTATGTTCCAAGACACAAATAAATTGCTTACTTATTTTGTTGTTGTACAAGATGTACCGCTCGTGAAATAACCTACTAACGATCAATTGGAAGGTAATTTTCATTAACTTTAAAGAGAACAGGAATTTCGAGAGTAATGAGAAATTTTTTTCAATTAACAGGAAAGTTAAAGATCAAATAATCTGTTCTAAATTCTTTTAACTAAAATTTTTAAAAATTTCTTGAAATGAAATTTTAATATGATATTTTTATTGAAAATGTGAATTTGATTCAGCCTTGAATGACTCACAAAATATGATTAAAAGAGATAAAATATCAAATTTTTTTCTATATATTTTCACAGCCATTCTAAAACAGACCTTCGAGAATGTTTTTAAAGAACAGGAAAGTATAAAAGCACAAAATCTTTTCTAAATTGTTTTTGACTATTGATTTTCAAATTAAATTTTAATGTTAAATTGCTTTGAAAAACGTGAATTAGATTCAGCCTTGAATGACTCGCAAAAAAATACTCATGCCTGATTAAAAGAGATATAAAATCCAATTTTTTTCTACGTATTTTCACAGCCACTCCAAAACAGGCTGATAGGCGCATTTGTAAAGTTCGAGAAGGCCTTTAATCATTTTTTACTGTCGGCACCGACGGTGTGCGTCGAATGAATTATTCTCGCGACTTGTGTGACATAACACCTCTCAACAAAGAAAGCTTGCATGCCGCTCCATTATTTACAGTTGTGCAGTGCTGGGTGTGAGCCGCGGTGAGTCACTCATTCTCGCACGTCGCAGCGTGTGTCAAACGATTATTATTGTTGTTATTATTAATACATATAAAAATGTTCATGTTTTTTTTTTTTTTTTTTTTTTGCCGCGCCAAATAACAGGCAGCCGCGGTTCCGAGACGAATACGAGGCTCTCAAGATTAATCGGCTGAACATGACGCGCCGAGTTGAAATAATCACCTGCGCTGCACACTCTACTTGTGACGAGGCACCTGATCCTCTCTCAGCAATAAACAATTTCATCGTCGTGATTTCCAGTTTGAGAGAAAAAAGAAGCACGAGCCATTGTTGCTCTGAGATGCAGCTAGTGTGGGAACAAAAGGCCGAAAAGAAGCTGCAGCTTGGCATTGAGCAAAGCGAGAAAAGCGAGTTGTCCGTCGGTCGGGGCTGCACTAGACTGCATTCTGCCAAGGACGTGACGCGAATCGCGCAAAAAGCCCTCGGAGCAGTTTCACGCTCCACAGGACAAAGCCGACTCGGATGGCCAATAAAGGCAGGCATTCGACGCTGCATTAGCATCACATACGTGACATAATATCCAAGTTCGGGAAAACGCATTTCTCAAATTCGTCTTCGAGATTCTCCGAATTCGCCGGAGAAATGAACGCTCCACTTTCTGCTAGAGCGGCCAAGTGGCTTAGCCGACTCATCCGCGCGCGTTATCCTAGGTTGTGTTTCTATCTTCTGACCTTTGCTCTCAGGGATTCACCACATTTTGTATCAAATTTCTCGCGAATCTGATGTGGTGAAATGAGAGAAATTTAACCGTAATTCAATTCCAATCGAAAATAATAAAAAAAAATATCATCGTTTTGGGGTTAAAAATGAATGAATTCAATTATCTTTGTGGATTTTGATTTAATTATAGGATGAAACATTAATTAATTAATTCTTTTCTTAATTTCCAGAAAAAATGGCTTAAGTAGAGTTAAAAAAATTGTCACATAATGAAAAATTGAAACAATTTTTCACTGAAAAAGTTGCGAATGGAAAATCACGCGCAATAGAAACACGTCAAGGACTGCAGCCGCGTTTCCCCGAAATTTCTGGCGCTCACTCGAGCGTGCATTTATTTGCGTCCGCTGGTCATTTTCCATTCTTCTAGCGTTACTCATTCCACGCGCCGGCCGGCGGATTTGTCCTCAATTGCGAATATGTTTATTATTTTAAGTTTTTTTTGGGTGCAGATGTTGTGGCCGTAGAAAGGTGTGATTAGCCGAGTTGGCTGCGCACCCATTTATTTCCTCCCGCAACCGAGACAAGCGAGCACTACTTTTTTTCACGTCCGCTCATCCGAATCTACAAGAAAGTCATGCATGCCGGTGGAATAACCCTTTCCTTTGGGCTGCTGCTCCTCTTCACCGAGCACCGTGAAATGAGAAAAAAAGAAGAAGCGGCGGCGGCGGCTGCGGGTTTTACAGGCTTCAATGGTTTCCCTGTCCGCGACCAAAAAAGAAAAACGAGAGAAGATTTGATTCGCGTCAATTTCGATTTAAGCACCGAAATAAAATATTTTAAATTAAATAATTATTATAAAATTATAATTTAGCTCTGATCTCGCGCGATTATTGATTTTTTGACATAATTTCTTATAAATCTGATATAACGTTTATCGGTTTTGGAATATTTTAAAAGCACTTTTTCTTGCAAAAGGTTAAATTGACACGTACCGTGAGTCGTTGGAAAACAAACGCCCTTTGTCCTTGGCGGCGGCGGTTTGAAGCACAATAGAATTTCGCACTGCTGCTGATTTTGACGAAGGCTCAACGACCACTGATTGCGAGTGTGTGTGTGTGAGTTGTGCAGACGCGAGAGGAGAGCGGGGAACTGGAAGGCCCTTCCTTGCAGTGGGGGAGTGGTTTCTGGTACGTGTGTATTTGACTCCGCGCTGGCTGCGGACGGAGCGAGCGCGAGCTAATGGAAATCTAACGTCGGAAAAGCGGCCGCCGCCGGTTTTATATAAGCCTTCGACATTCTGTGGGGATTTTAAATTTAACTCGTAAATGGCAGTGCGTCGTCACAGTGGGTGAAGATTCACAGAAGATTGAAATAGCGCCTTTTTTGTTTGAATCGTAAATATAGAGGAAAAATAGAGCCGCGAGTACGTATGTCGCGGCTAAGGTTTCCCCGATTGAGGCAACTGGAGATCGCTTTGCACACAATTAATGTTGCAGGCAATATGATACTCTAGGCCATTTCGCAAGAAATCCAAATCCAACTTTAACCCGAAGATTTTTGTCCGAACAGGACACGATCCAGTAATTTTTACTTAAAAGTATTCAATAATTTTAAAATTATAATTTTGTGCCTAAAATTTTGATGATTTATCAATTCTTCTAAAATTTGTCAATTTTTTATTTACGCTGTGTCAGCCGCACGCGAGAATTCAAGGCTTTCACAATATTTATCGCTAACTGGCTTAGCCAGCAATAATCATTGACCTGTCCAACTTGTGCACTCACACAAACTCAGCTCCAATGTATCAAATTGCATTACAAGCCGTGGCAGTTTTGTTACATGAAATAACTGCTGGAGGAAACTTTTGTTGTGAAAACCTTACAATTTCCACCTCTCCCGAGTCCATTGTTTGTGAAAAATAAACTCCAATTATTATTATACAGCGAGTAGGGGAGCACGTGAGAATACTCGGTGAATTAAACTCCCACTTTTTGAAAGCCACACGCACTCCAAACGATGTGGCTTTGAAATTTCCTCAATTGGTGCGAGTAATCTTCCAGCTCTTAGCAAGTGAACAGGAGAGGAAAGTGCTTTGGGCGGACACAAGAGGTGTAGATAAAAATTATCGCCTATCTATTGTAAGTAATCATTATTCGCAATGATCGATTTGAAATAATTGGCACAGAAAATACTTCAAAAGAAATATTGCGCTCACCGTGGTTGTCACGAAGTTGTTGAAAAACGGCATAGGCAGCTTCCTGGGGTGTGACAAAGTCCAGCAAACCGTCACTCGCCATAATTAGGAATTCATCTTCGACTCGCAGGGGTATACTTCGTACTTCTGCTTCAGCACACACGTAGGGTTTGAAATTGGCATCGCCTAAAATAAATTCAAATATTTGTAGACATGATGTCACTTTTCGGTAAAAATTCCAAAACAAGGTTATAAAATTTGTCATGTTTAGTTCAATAAAATTATTGGTTTTATTTAGGGTGGTGGTTGATTTCAAATTTCAAGTAGTTGAGCAACGTGCATGATTCAGCTTTGCCCATTAGAGGGTCTCAAGCATGGCTTAAAGGACGAGTGGTGACTCATGCTTGTGCGCAGAACTGCTCATGCCCTCTGTAAACAACAAGACTAACTCTCTGTCACAAAGCCACAAATTGGAGATTTACGATCTGGTTTTTTCATAAACTTTCCTTGTTTTACCAAAAACAGAACATGGCCACTAATTTAAGAGCTATGGGGTACTGGACAGGACGAACTTAAATACGTTTTTTAAGAATCAACTAATCTAGAAAAATTAAAAATTGCAAATTTGTAGCAATAACTGAAATTTTTTGAAAATTTGCCCTAAATGAATGCAGAGCACGACATAAATTAAGAAAATTTGTTTAATCAAAGTGAAAATTGGTTCAAAATTTAGAAACCTGACTAAAATAAATTGATCTAATCGAATTATCTTATTTCAGGATATTTCTTTTTACTGTATTAAAAGTTTCTGTTATATTTGTAATTAAAAATTTTTTACAATTGAATTTTAGATTTTTAAAAGTTCACCTATTGCTCTGGACACAGCAAGCTGTCCATTAACTCTCCACATGCCGTGGAAGAGGACGACACCGCCCTGCGCGTTGATTCGCGCCTCTTCGTCAGGTCTCTTTGGTTTATGCGGATCTACAACTGACTCAGCCTTTCCGTTTCGTACCAGCACAGCCTGTGAGTCGCCCACCCACGCCACATGCATCATCTTGCCCCTCAGGAGGGTGCACAGGGCCGTGGTGCCACTCTGATATCGTGGCTGAAAGAACAGGACCAAATTATTGCAAACAAACATTCATATGGATTTTATTAGCATACCTCTGCTGCTACCTTTTTCAGGTACAAGTTATCTGTGCGCAAAATTGCTTCCTTCAAAGCCTGGACAGGGTTCGAAGGATAAAACTGGCTCTCAGCAAGGAACTGGTGAACATGGGAGGCACTAAAGACGGCTGCGTCGGCTCCAGCGTGGCCATCGAAGACGGCGTAGTAACTTGCAGTTGTGTCATCCTGAGAAGCAAATTTTGTCATTAGTTTGAATTATTATCAAAATTTATATTGATTAAAAGTGTTTTTTTTTAAATATTATGCAAATTAATTGGTAACTTATAATCAATTATAATCTTCAACTAATTAATTTGAATTACATTAAAGTAAAAAAAATATTATTTATCTTTATTTATTAGCTAAATTTTAAATCATTGTTTTGAATGTTTTATTTTTTCCATTTAACGTATTCAAAGAGATTTTTTATACCTTATAAATTACAAAAAAAAAAAATATATGATTCTTGTGGGACTTATTCCCTTTATTGCCACTTAAATAATTATACCTGCACGTTAAAAATCCCATTGAAGTCGTTGACTACAACATGCCGGTCCTCCATTCCTCTCCGCTGGCTGCTCCTCACAGCATGAGCGGCCACTGGGGTGAATTTGGGCGCCGGCGGCGGCACGAACAGCTCCGGGGCCTGGTGCAACCTGACGCACAGGGCGTTGACCCGCGCCATGCACGCCTGCATCAGCCTCAGCTGGCTGAACTCTGCAATCAAAGTTGCTTAGCATGGATTCTAATTTTTATTTAAAATTTTTGGCCGCCACACACGACACCACCCACGCCAGCAAGCAGTGCTTGGGGCGTGAAGGGCGCCCTATCAGCTTCATCTGCCATCCAGATAAAAAGAAGAAAGGGGTGCTTTCCCACGTCACACGTGTCTCCATCGTGCGGAAAGCACTCGCGGGTGAAAATGGAGTCGCAAATGTCAACGAAGCAATTTCAGCGAAAGAAAGAGAGCCGGGTTTTTTTCTCATTTCGCCGTCCGAGCAGGTTGAAACCAACCGGCTCTATTTTCGTGCAGCTTTACAAAATAAGCAAGGTCTTACGCGCCGTGCACAGAAAGGGAAGGACGATTAACGACCCGCACGGAATTTTAAACATAAATAATTAATTATTTTACTCAGATAAAAAAAGTAATCAGGTCAAATTTAATGTGATATTCTGGTCACAACTGAGCTGCTTGATTGATCATTTTCTTGGAAATTCATAAAAAAAATTAATACCGAAAACTCCACTGCAGCAGAAATTTAATTTATAAATTAAATCTTAATTTTAAATTCTAATGATTTTCTTCAGTTTAATTTTTTTCTTCAAAGTGAATGTAAATTTCTTATTTTAAATTAGTATTAGCCGTATTAGCAAAATTACATTTAAAATTACCCTTAAAATTTAATATAATGTCATGTTTATTTTAAAATTTACAATTGAATTTTAAAATTTCTTGGAAAGAGCTGAATTTTATAATTATCTTAACCAAGCCCTAAAAATCTCATTCATAGATAAATCTTTTTATGGCTTTTTTTCTTCAAGAGTGGAAAGGCAGTAAAACGATTTTATTGGGCCCGGAAGTGCTTCTGGATGGAATGCGTGGCAGCGGCACTTGATTCAAGGGTTAAGGAGGAAACTCACGGCCGCTGTCGTCCCTGAGCGAGTGCGCCTCGGGGTCCTTCTTGCAGAAGTGCAGCATCTCGTCGACCACGGAGCGGACGAGGGGCGCCTGCAGAGCCAGAGGGCAATGTCTGCAACACAACAGAGAGGAAAGAGGTGAAAACACAATCCTCAAAAAACAAACGCTCCACGCCGCCTGCGGGCATCCGTCGGAATAAACGCAAGAAGAGTGGAGAAAATTAATTGGACAGCATCTGTGAAGTTGCGGCTTTTCTCGGAATTTGGAACAAAACGTGAAAAGTTGTAAAAAACACAAGAGAGAAGATCAGATAGATCGGAGAATCAATTCGGCATTATTGTAAAAAACCAAAAATAAAACTTCCCTGGCGTTCTAACTAGATACATTTTTGTTTTACATATTAAATCAATATATTATATTATTATTTTGTTAAATTAATAAAAAATATAAAAAATTTTATGCGTATAATTTTACTTAATTTATGGGTTAGATTTTAGATTTCAATCAAGCTCTGACAATTTTATTAATAGACTCATATCGTTTTTCGTAAATAAGTCGAAAATAAAATCAAAGGCAGTGGATACCGAGGGGTGCCTCCAGGAATGGGGCTTAAAATAAATCATCATCATCTGACCGCGTCGGTGACGTCACCATTACAGCGAGTGTGTCTGCTTCAATAAAGATGAGCAGGCTTTAAAATGTCCGAGTGACACGAAGAAGGGCAAATATAAAAGAAACGAGATTCCTCCTTCGCCGCGGCTCATTCTGCATTCTCATTGTGAGCGCGGCCGTCTCTCTCGTCCCCGTGGCTTGACAAAGAAGGATGACATCACGGCCAGCGCGAATCCCGATGCATTAAAGAGCAAGTTAAAGAGCAACTTGAGCACCCTCGGAATTATTCAACGCGGCGCTTCTTCGCATTTCTCTCGCCGAGTCTGCGAAATTTGCAATTTCATATTATATATTCGCATTCGCTTCACGTGACTCTGAAAATCTAGACGGATGATTTTAAACGAATTATGTTTTCACGCCCATTTCAAATGGGATAAGCAAACAAAAACAAGCTCTTATCTTATCAGCAGTAATTTGAATTTACAATCTTCTTGCGCCGACGCCAGATGACATAATCGGTTTCAAAACAAAATATAAATCACTCTCAATTAAATTATTTCCCAGAGTGATAGTATTTGCTAAAATTGTAAAACAAAGTTTTTTAATTGCTTTTTCTTTAAAACTTTTCGATTTTTTTTAATTTTATTTCCATTATTTAGAATTAAAATTAATGAAAAATTGATTTCTTTTATTTCTGCCTTCAATTTGTTGAAAAATTTAAAAAGTTCAAATTTTAAAATAAAAATGCTTCATTTATTTCCCTAATAGCATGAGGATCCATTAGTTAATGTCTGTGGGTGCCGGGCAAACACTTGCAGCAATCGGTTTTGGCATTTTTTTTTTTCGTTTGAACTGATAGCGAGTCGTAGAAGCCAATTTGGCGGTTGTTTTAGCTTTAGAGGCTGCAGCCCGCTAAGTGCGCAAACCACTCGCGTGATTTATCCGGCAAAAGGTGCCTTTTGATTGTCTGCCGGCTTTTTCAATAGTGAATGAACCGACAGACGAGTGAACGCGACCTCGTGCCCGTTCCGATTCCGTGGAATAATAACAAAAAATGACTCACGCTACGCAGATGCGATTTTCGCCCCTCGCTTTGGTCATTAAATTCAGTGTTAACATTTCGGGACTCCAAATTGTTACAAAAGGGCAAATGTCTTGGAAAAAAATTTACAGTATTTGTAATAAATTCAAAATTTTACAAAAAAATCTCACATTTTAAAAGTGAATTTGCATTAGTTAAAATTTAAAATTTTTACAAACCTATGAGGAAATTAAATAATTTGTTAGTAAAAATAGTAAAAGTATTTAATTAATTTAAAATGATTTCAAATTTTGAAAACTTCTTTTATTAAACATAATCAATATAATAAAATAAATATCTTACGGTACTTTTTAGATTCAAGAAAAAATGTTTTCAAATTTGTATAAATCATTATTTAAATATTTTTATAACTAATTTATCTTTTTAATTAATTTTTTTAAATCAAATTATGTAAGTTAGTTAAATTTGAATAGAACAAACGTGACGTACTTAATTTTCGATGTTTTGAATACTTTCTATTTTATTTATCAAGTCATTTAGTAATTAAAAATTAACAAAATAAATTGTAAGCTATATTCATATTTGACTTTTCGAATAAAAAAATTGTCACCACCATGTTATCAGATTCATTAGGTTTTACCACACGAGGTGGAGATTTTAGAGCGTCGACAAGCGTGAGTCAGTGACCGCCCGGCAGTCTTCGGGAAACGCATCTCGTCATCAACACATTATCAAGTATTTGCTCATCAGGCCAAAATGGAAAACCGAAGCAGCAGCCATCAGAGTGATGTGTGCGTACTTAAAACGTGCAAAGTACACGAGCCACTCACTATATTGAATTACCATCCTCCGTATGTACCTGCACCGGAGTCATGCATCAAGAAATAAATTTCAGTCGCGGTCGATGATTTTTCTCGCGGCATTCGAGTTTCATGCATCGGACCAACGGCAATAATTATCATTGAGACGTCGTTAGGAAAATGGGCCAATTTCCATTAATGGGGAAGCAAATTGGAGGAGAGCTTTATTTAGTTTGGCAGGCGGGATTTCTTTCTTTGCGGCCACCTGAGCAGAACCCATTCGGAACGCCGCTCGACTGCGTTTAATTTCATCGGCTGGTGATTTTTGCACAAGTTATTATTATTGAATCTTTATTATGAGATGTGATCTCATTTTTTTTTTTGGCAGTTATTTAGAGAAAATATAATGTGGGAAAATCTCTTCTAAACAACCGAGGAATATGATTTAATTTAAAAAAAAAAAGAAATAATGTATTATAGTGAAAATAATAAATTGGTTTATTATAAAAAAATTAATAATCATAAAGAAAGATCGAATTAAAATAGTAAATGAATTAATTAAAATTAGTTTTTAAATTAGTCCGTTTAATTAACAATGCATTTTAAGATAATATTTAAAGTAGCATGATTAGCTTCAATATTTCAATTTAATTATAATCATTTCAAATTAAGGCAATTTTTAATTCTGAACTTCCTTTTTAAAAAACGGATCTACTCCGTGCAATATCCGGTTCAATGACTGCGTGAAATCGCACGCACGCCAAATCCAAAGATTCAGCGATCCGCCCGAGTAATTTTTGGCCATCACTCGTACGATTTTGTTCCAACGCCCGTCCGACAAACAACAACAAACTCAAATTTCCTGCCCGTCTCTCGGCAGGAAACAAACTTCCTAAAGTTTAATTCTTAAAATTGAAAACGAAAATCTCACTTTTGGTTGAGGTACTGCAGAAGCCAGTTGACGAAGTCGCCGACCAGCTCTTCGTCGTCGACATTGTAGGCCGACACAGGTACGGGAAGCTGGTCATGCACGTTCAGGTCGTTGACAAACTCGGTGAAGAACTCGAGGTACTCCTTGCTTATCAGTCCTGCCATTGCGGCTCGTCGGATTAATTTCTCTTCTATCTGGACCAGAAAAATTTCACGCAGGATTCAGAAATCAAGCGGCATCACCGAAATTTGCCGTGGCCGGCGTCGATTCTGCGAATTTCCAGAGGAGAGACCGCGGATGGCTGTTGTTTTGGTTCGACTGAATGACCCTGCCCTCGTCGCGCTGCGGAGGCAATCGTGAATCGAGGCAATCCTTTCGGCACAAACGCGAGTTTACGCGAGTCCCTCCGCCCTTCTGCCAGGTAGTTCCTGCCGCAGCCGTGTGAGGTCGCCAACGCCAAAGCGACTCACCGCTTTCCTGCTCTGTGATTGGTCGAGAGCGTACGTTCACTTTGTTATGGCGTCCTGCGGTTTCTGATCCCCTGAGAAATCAAATTTTCAACGCGATTTTTGCAGCAATTGAGCGATTTTACTGACCGACGCATAATTGAAAGTAATCCGGTAAGTGTAAAATTTCATTTAGTAGTAAACATGTTATGGAAGCAGACTTATTTTGTCATTTTCTCAGGTTTGTTGGACACGTCAAAATGATGTCGAGGTCTGTTCGAGCAGAAACCAGGAGCCGGGCTAAGGATGACATTAAAAGGATCATGCAAGTGGTCGACAAAGTTCGGCACTGGTGGGCATTTTATAAAAACTCCTCAGATCTTAATGAATTAATAATTGGTTATTCGCAGGGAAAAGAAATGGGTCACAATTGGAGACACCACCATGAAAATTTTTAAATGGGTGCCCATTACTGCCAGCACGGATCAGAAAAAGAAGGCGAAGGAAATCTCATCGGGGAAAGAAAACGGAACGCCTAGGAAAGGAGCCTTGGATAATTCGAATTCAAATTTCGCAATGGCTGAAGACTCAAATACATGTAATTAACAAACTAGGAGGAAACGCATGTTGATAATTAAATTATTGTACTTTTTTAAGGTTTCTCGACAGTGAGTGACTCGCAAGGACCCACAGATTTTGGAGCTACGCTGGGTTTTTCAGAAGACTCTAATTCGCAAAGCAGTGAACCACCGTCTAAGAGACTCAAACCGTCTAAAGATTAAACACCAAAAGTCTTTTCAAAGACTAAAATATTTTATCATGCGACTTGATGACGCATGCATATTTGTACAGATTGATTCATAATGAATTCCTAAATTTACCTTCGGAAACAGTATAATTACCTAACTTTGTGTATTTGTAACATTCTGTAAGTGGGAATAAGTGTTTGTACTTTTAATTAAAACATAAGTCCTTATCGTCATTTACTTCAGATGTTTTATTTTTTCATCCGTGATAACTTTCTTGGCTGAAATTAGTGGAGCTTATACAAGTGGAGATCAATTGGGACATTTACGCAAACTTGTTGGTAAAATGCCTTGGTAAAAGAAAAGCATCCATATTCGTGGCCACAATTATTTAAGATAAATTGCGCAGTTCGTTTCAACTGATATTAAAATATAATAACTAGCCAAATGCAAAATACTACACCATGATGACAAAATCAGCCTTGACTGCTTGACAGAGAAGGACCACTACCAATCTTCTCGTAAAAAAGCATGTAAGCCTCAGCCTTCAAAACTTCTGCTAGACACGAATTCTGGCACTGATCGTCTGAAGTACAGACCCACCTGAGACAAATTTCATCAAAATACGTATAAATTAATGAACGCAAATTTACTCTTCTTGGCACTTGGAAGGCTGGGGCACTCTGCGAAAGGTGACAAAGTGACCGGAGCTGACTTCCCCGATGTGAACTACCACCGCTTGCAACAAATACTTGTGTCTCGCCTCAACACTAAAAGAATATCAGCATGAATAATGCGTTACGGAAATGAAAAATAAGACACTGACATGTCCTTGATTTGGCTTGTTGCTTCTGCGGGCGAGTTTTTGGTTGATGCGCCGGCTGCTGAAGGAGTGAGATTAAGTTCAGTCGGTCGAGGGACAAGCTGTTTCAATAAAGTCCGCTTCAGCCTCTCCTTGTGGAAATATGTGTACTTGTCCATGACTAGAACTTCTGGGAAAGACACAAAGTCCATGCGTTTGTATGCTTGTCCATTAGGCATCCAAGACGTTCTTTGGATATGGATGCAAAGGCATTTCGGGAGCTGAAAGTTCAATAACTTTGATTTTTTAAAGGGCTCAATTATTTAAAAATAAAAATTTTACTCTGCCAATGCTAAGTTGCTTGACGAATGACGTTTTCGTCGGAGAGCCACCTCCTTTGGAGCAGTGTTCGCAAAGAACGCCGCTTACTTGCTCGGGAGCTGTGAAGTTCGACAAGAGTTGGTCCAATGAGCAAGACATGAAGCCCTTGGCAGGAAGGGTCAGCGAAAGACAATCAAATGCTTGATGTTGAACCACAGACTGAAGGAAATTATTAAGTACCAAGCAAAAAAATATCACCAAAATATACATACCGATTTTGAGCAGACGGTACAAGTGAGCTGGCTAAGCTGCTGGCCTCGGAAAGGAAAGTCAAACTTGTGACTAGGTGTGGTTTTCAACTGCTTTCCAGCCCTCGAAATGTAGCAGGGTCTCTTCAAGTCAGGGCAGTTGTTTATAGGCTAAACCAAAATATAATACGTGAAAATTTAAAACGTATTGTTTATTTGAATTCAAATTAATTAAATCTTTGAAAACCCGTAGTTGATACTTACAGATTCGTGCTTCTCATTCTGGTTGTCGTCTTCCTTGATTGCTGGTGGCAGACTTTCGTAGTCAGACGATGATTCTTCCACTTTGTCCAGCAAGGCTAAAATGTCTGCCGACTTAGCTGGTGGGGCAGCCTGCTCCTCTAAAGAAGTCATCAGGATGAAGAAAAGTTCATGTGAGTCTTGCTGGCCGAGGCCCATGGACCAGCCATGTGCGGACAGGGCAGACACGACCGCTCTGGGGAAGAGAGGGGTGTCCGACTCCGCCCCATAACCATTGACAACTGTAACAAATCACACATCAGAACTTGACGTAATAGGAGTAGTAGTATTATTGTCGAGTGAGCATACAAGTGATTATTTCGTGAAGGGCAGACGCAAGACGAGAATCCTTATGTTGCTCGAGCCAATGGCAGAATAAAGGGCACGCGGCCAGCGCTTGCAGCAATGTGTTTAAGAAGCACGTTTCTCCCATATTAGCCAAGCCTTTTACAGCTGCAAAGAGAGAAAGAACAAACAAAAATTTCACTCTGTGAGACAAACTTTCACAATTGTAAAATAAATAAAACAACAACATAATTAATAATAAATCTTTACCACAAATGAAATTATGTATAATTATATTTTTTTTAAATAAACATAAAAAATTTAATTATTACCTTTGGACTTTTTGGAGCCCTTCAATCTCTTCGGCGCCGGCCCCCAAAGGACGAAGGAGCCCATGAGAGAAAACACCAAGATGCCGGCGACAAACAAGGTCCTCTCCTGTGTGAGGTCGGCCAGGTTGATGGCCGTCGGCATCCTCAGTATCGACTGGATGGTGCTCCATCGGAATTTGAAATTATTCAGCGGAAAGTAGCTCTGCAATCAAAGAGAATATAAACAAATTTAAATAAAAGACGGAACAAATTGATCTCGCACGTACCATAGTTTACAAGTGATTGAGGCTTTCGAATTCGAGTTTGCACGCTTCTGATTCCAATTCAAGACATTACCGACGTAATGTCATCGTAGAACTCGTGCTGAAATTCAGCCTGCACCAAACTGCAGGTGGTAATGTTCGGATATTACGCAGAAATGATGGGTTCTCTGCTACGGTGTTGTTTTCATCACGGTCATCGGCGCAGCTGGTCTGGTCGCTCTCCCCTCTCCCGACTGGTTTTGTGTGTTGGTTGGTAGGGAGGTGCGCCGGCCGGCAGATGGCGCTTTGATTTGTTGAAAATAAAAATATTTTTTATATTTTACATACGCAAATTCTCTCCATCAGAAAAATTAAACAATTGAAAAATTTTTAGATCTCTAGATTAAATATGATATCCTGTTCTCAGCTCCATTATATACTAGCATAAAAAATAAAAATAAAAATTATTGATTTCAACACAATACATATAATTTTCTTTGATTTATGTAATAAATTATGAAAACAGAGTTTCATTGCCAATCTATATCAATTTCAAGGTCTAATATTCTTTTCACGAATATTATATTATTCTATTTAAGATGCTTGGCAGGTAAAAATTAGATTATATTAATATGTTTTCTCCCGTTCAAAAGGTCGTTTCCCATGGAGTAAACCTCTCATTAATTCTTCAAATTTTTAATTCCTTTTATTTTCATTTTTAATGATAAATAAACTCACTGAATAACTATTTCCTGAAATTACTGACTGTAAAGTTTGAACCTTTTCACATGATCACACACAACGTCCTCTCTTCGTACACAGATCGGCCTTCACTCGATTTCATTTCTTTGTTTTTCATATCCAAATATGTGCCATCTAAAGTTTTCTGCATCCATTCAGGCAAAGGCTTGCTCCAATCTTCAGGCGGCGCTTCTCTGTTTTCCCATACGTCGTTTTTCACGTGGCCAATCATTCTTTTAGCATATCGAATCTTCTCACTTTTTATTAACTCCTCCTAAAATGACACAAAAATTTCTTGACTTCAATATTATTTTCTGCAGAGAAAATACTACTTTATACTTAAATTATGTTTCTTCCATTTTAAAAAAAAGTAAAATACTGAATAATATAGAATTAATTTACAATCAAGACGTTATAATTAGATTTTGTTTTTAATTTAATTTATTAGACTTTAAATTGTTAGAAATTATAAATATTTATATCATTTTATAATAAAATGATTTTTTTTAATTAAAAAAATATTTCTACAAATTTAATTTGAATTTTTGATTTATTCAAAGCGCAGCAAATTTTTAAAAATTTAATAAAAATATGTAATGTTTTTTTTATAATATAATATTATCAACCTTTGCTTTTGGGTCTTTCTCTAATTTGAGACACGTATTGTAGTCCTTTTTCCACTGGCTGCAGTCTAGAGGCTCTCCAAATATGAAGTGCTGATGAAATCTACCCTTGATGCTTGTGCACTCTTTAAATTCGTCAATGTATTGATCACATGGACGAATCTGAGCAAAAGAACAAAATTTTACAAGAAGCAGATAAAAATCTCGTCTATTAATTTTTTTAGCGTACCATCCACTCATACTCGGTTGAGGTTGTCGCACCGGTCGTGCTTGATTCTTCGTTTTTCACTTCCATTCTGCCCCTTATATGTACCGGCAGAATTTATGCGAAAACTTGTGCAAAACAAGGTGCTTGCAAAATCTTTCCCCGGTGACCGCCCACGCCTCCTTCCTTCCTTCCTTGACAAAAGGGGGCGTGGCTGTTTCGAGACGTCGGCCGTCGCTTTTCCCAGCAGTTACCACGGGCAATTTTTTAAACTTTCCACAGCTCGCAGTGCCATTTTCCAGCACTTTTCCCAGCCGCGCTTGAGTTTCTCCGCGATTTTCACAAAGTCCAAGCGCTTCAATATGGACGAGAGGTAAAAGAAATTAATGAGGAATATTTGAACAAAATCTTTTATTGGTTCCGTGCTAAAATTTTGCAGAGTGAGCGAAGAGATGGAAGCTCTGACCGCGATCCTGATGGATGAAGTAACGGTGTCAACCTCAGAAAAGTACTTACTTTGCACCATTTTATAAAACTGGCAAAAATAAATTAAACTTGAAATTTCCTACAGCGGAACGACAACAGTCGAATCGGTCCTTTTTCCATCGACAGCTGCTGACGAGGAGCAGCAATTCGTGACCGTGACTCTGACAGTAGAATTGCCTGCTGGCTACCCTGACGAGAGTCCTGCTATAAGGTTGAGGAACCCTCGAGGACTTGATGACGATCTTCTTGCAAAAATACTCTCAGAAGCTAAGGCGAAATGTGAAGACTATCTAGGACAGCCCGTCATTTATGAGCTAATAGAGGTGCATTTAAATAATATTCATTTTATAAGATATTGTTCCACAGAAAATTAAATTTTTAGTATTGATGTGCATATTTTTTACTGATTTTTTTATGTGATAATTTTTATTGATAATAGAGCTCTAAATTAAATATTTTTAAATAAATTTTTAAATTAATCTTCAATCCTGATCTAAAAATATTTTCAGTTGGTGAGGGAGCATTTGACAAGCAGCAATACACCTAGCTGTCAATGCGCAATCTGCCTTTACGGCTTCAGGGACGAAGATGAGTTCACAAAAACTCCATGCTTCCACCACTTTCATGCACACTGTCTTGCTTCGTATGTACGCAGTCATCAGGAGATGCAAAGACAGGAAAAGGAGAAAGTCCCTCTCTGGCAAAGAATGCAGCAAAAAGATGCTGAACATGACTGTGTGGTAATGAGCGTAATAAGACAAAAATTTAACTTGAGAAAACCTAATTTGATATTTTATCAAAGGTGCCATGTCCGGTGTGCAGGGAGTCACTCAGCTGTCAACTGGACAGGTTGTCCATGGCTGCCCCACCAAAAGATGTGCAAGATGCATGCAATTTCAAAGTCACGGAGGAACTGCGCGCGTTGCAATCGAAGATGAATAGTCTTTATTTGTATCAACAGCAAAAGGGTGGTATCATCGACCCTGAGGCTGACGAGAACAAACTTCTGCTGGTCACTCAATCAGTAAGATATCTTTTAAATTTCAAACTGAGAATCTCAGAAATTTAATTCTTATCGCTTTTGTCTCAACCGATATACATATTTTTATTTTAACACATGCTTTGAAATTTTAGTCTTCCAACGAAAATTCAGTCGAGTCAGCCCCGGTTGCCCCAGTCCCCACTACACCTCCCCAGCCTGCAACTGGGTTCAAACCACAGGCACCTGGCAGTCGTAGCTGGAAAAGAGGCGGAGGGGGCCATCCTAAAGCCGGTGGATCAAGTAGAGGAAATCGAGGCAACGGTCGCGGTCGAGACAGGAGGAACCATCAGAGTACGCAAATGGAGACAACGAGATGACATTTGGAGCAGCTAGAGGCGCGGCAGCATAGATCAATACCAAGGTTGGTCGCTCCAGCAGCCTGAATTTTACTCAATTATAACAATTGATAATCACTGTAAAATTGCATTCTCAGTCTGTGTAGAAAGTAGCATCGCACTTCTTGGCGGTCTCTTTGTGTCCTTTTTGCACAATTTTTTGGGACTCTCAAGCCCTTCTTGTCATACGGATAATGTGAAAAAGACACACCATTTCAATAATATTTTTCTTTGATATTCCCACCCATGGCTGCTGGATCCTTGGTACTGTTTTCTTATTACCTGCTTCCTTTGGTAACACACAAATGACAAATTAATTTTACTGCCAACTTTTGTACTTACTTTACTACAAACCCCCTTATTGAATATATTTATTGTTGTTCAACAATTTTGTACAAACGCGTTTGGGCCTTATTTAATTTTATGATTAGTTAATTTATGCTTTCGATATATTTCAAGATTGTCTGGAAGTTTTTCCGCTTGGATGTTTCAAATGGTGTGTCTCCTCTAAGTTCAATGATATTTGAATTTTTCATGATTCTGTGATATTGATTTTCCGATTGATATGATTTTTATGTTAAATGCATAATATAGGATAATTAATGTCACAATTTACATAATAATTATCTTGGAACATTGCCACTGATCAGTAATAAATATTAACCTTCATTAGGTGATTTTCAGGCTATTATTTTCACACTCTTGAACATTTTTTCATTGGTAAAACTAAAATTTCAATAGTCGGAGCTCTTTCCTTTTATTATTTCTCACCAAATAAAATGAATTTTTGATTCACGAGCAAATGGACAATGAATGTACACGTAAATGGTTACAAAATTTACAAACAGGGAGACCAACAAATTTAAACAAACAGATTTTGAATCCTCTGGAGGAATGTTGAGTTTGAACATTAAAAAAGGGATGATAAAGTAACGAGGCTCCAGTAGCATTTGTGGCACAAGACTGGCCGCAACGCAGAGAACAAATAGGATTTGAAAGAAGGCTCCTTGATGAGATAAATTTTTCAACATACAGGAAGCACAGAATAAATACACAGGGACAAACATGAAACGCATCATTGTAGGTTGGAACAATCTTTTCCAAGCATAGAATGCGTAATGTCGATTGTCAGCAAGCAAGTATGGATGAGCCATCGTGTTGAAATGGACAACAGCTGCTATTGAGAGGAGGCAGAAAAAAGTTGCGATTTTGTTGGTCTTGATGAAATTTATAAAAATTGGAATGTGTTTGAGGAAAAGTGCAGGAGAGAATGCTGCACAAACGAGAAAATAGTAAAAGAGCTGCGGCAGGTGGATAGTGGCCTGATGAGCAGATTTATCGCCAAGAACAATACTGCCATTCCAAAGGAGGAAGACGACAAAAGATAAGCCAACCATCACATAGGGAATTTCCTTCAGGATAATAGAGATAATTAGTTTTGGTCTCCTCAATCCCTCAATAATTGCCGTGAAAAAGCTCTGAAGCAAAGAAAATATTGAGCAAGTCAATTCATTTTTAAATATTGAAATAAATTAATTAATTACCATTTTATGAATGGAAAGTTTTTCTTCAGTCAAGAGGTTCTCTAGAATTTTGTAGCCGTAAATTGCAGCAACAAAGGCAACCCATATTACATTTGTCTGTCTCATCCAAAGAGATATAAATCCTGTAATTAAAAACAAATTATTATCAATTAGTTCCGATATTTCAAAAATAATTACCAAATAAAGCCGAGATGGAAATTTTTCCATGTAAGTACGCGCAGTACATGGCCAGAATTGTAAATGTGCTGATGACATCGGTGTAATAAAGGAAACTGAAGAAGTAGAGAATGGGAAATGTGGTCAAACTGAGAATGTCCGCAACACCAACCCAAGACGACAAGTTCTGAACAAAATAATTTTTTCTCAATGTTACACACACTTCAAATTTTTAAAAATTGTACCTTATTTTTCTTTGAATAAATCCAGGTTAGTATAATAAAATTCAAGCAGGTGAAAATTGAGTTTGTCATCCTCAAATCAAATAAGTTGCAGACAAAATCACCCACTTTTACAAAGCTTAATAATTTTAAAGTGAAAATTGACGCAAAGTACAGTCCTGGCGGTGTAGTAATTTTGGGGTCCCACTGCAAAAAAAATTCAAATCAATGAAAAAGAAAAAAAAATCGATTAAATCGTACTTCAAAATTGTTATTGCAGAATCTCTGAACTTGAGGAACATGGAACTCCTCGTCGATGTACGGCGCCTCGTTGGCATCGTGAATTTTGTGCAAACAAAGCCACGTGCAGAAGAGGAAGACCGGGAATATCGTAGCCGTAGCCTTTAGAAGGTCCATTTCGAACTAACAAGAAAGGAGACTGCCAAGTTCCATGTTATTTTTACAAAATCCTCCACATCAGCACACAAATCTCTGAAGATTTCCTGTTTGCCGCCACTTAAGTTCAAATTTCCCAGATGATTTACAAGATACAGAGCATGCGCAGTGAGCACAAGTTTGTTATTTTTGCAAAACGCAAACCCACGTGCGCTGTTTACATCGACGAGAAATATTTTTCCGTATTTTTCAACCGAAATGCTTGAATATGTTCAGATTTTGAGTACTTTTCACTGCATTTAGAGGTTGATTTATTGTAGGATTACGCAATGTCTCGACTGATTGTCAAAAATTTGGCAAATAGCGTAAGTATGATGTAGTCTTGATAATATTTTGAGGGTATAATTTCCATGCCTTTTCCATCTCTAAAATTCATGTTGTGTGCAGGTTTCTGCTGAAAAGATTCGAAAGAGTTTCGGCAGCAAAGGAGTGATTACTGATGTTCAGTTAAAGTTCACAAAAGATGGAAAATTCCGTCACTTTGGTTTCGTTGGATTTAAGAATCCGGAAGAAGCGCAAGCGGCGAAGGAGTTTTTCGATGGCACTTTCATCAACGGAACTAAAATTCAAGTGGAAGTTTGCGCTGATTTAGGTTTGAAATTTATTTATTAATGCAGACTAATTTCTGCCTCATGAAAAGAAATGAAAATATTTAAAAGATATTTTTAAAGTGGTATAAATAACTTCAGAATTATGTCAAACTTTCAGGAGACTCAAATAAACCTCAGGCCTGGAGCAAATATGCACCTGATAGTGCCGCTTACAAGAAAGCACATGGCGAAGAAAAATCAACTGATCAGCTAAAAAAGCCAAAAGAAGAGAAGAAAAAGAAAAAGGAGAGCAAAAATAAGGAGCTGATTGAAAAGGTTAATTATTTTATTTGTTTATTTTGATATGTCTCAAAATTTAATTATAGCACAAAGACGATCCTCTCTTTGCTGAATTTTTGGAAACTCATGGCAAAACATTAGAAGAGCTCGTTGAGACAGAGCCTGAGAAGGAAGAAGAATCCAAAACAGCAGATGAAGCCAATGAAGGTGTTGAGGAGGATGCAGTTGAAAAAGAAGCCAATAAGAAAATTTCAGATTTAGAGGTTTTTTTTATAATTCATAGAAACCTTTCAATTTAAAACAAAATAATGTTTTGTTTAGTACCTTCAATCGATGAAAGAAAAGTCCGGTGAAGAAACTCAAGTGAAACCACCCAGAAAGAAGATGGAGAAAATAAAAAAGCAAGTCCTGAAAAACACACTCTTTACTGTGAAATTGCGAGGGCTTGCATTCAAGCACAAAAAGAAAGACATCAAGCAATTCTTTGACAGCCTGAAACCGAAAAGTGTCCGACTCTGCTCGGAAATCAAGGGAATTGCTTACGTTGGATTCAACACTGAAAAAGAAATGAAGCAGGCGCTGAACAAAAACAAAAGCTTCCTTGGTAAGATTGATTTTTGCAGTGTTTTAATATTATTTTAATAATCCTGTTCCAAATACAAATTTTAGACGGCAAGAGGCTCCTTGTGACTCTGCACAGTTTGCCAAAAACCAACAACGAGGAAGTGGCTCAAGAAAAATGGAGCAAGCAGGAAGAAAGCCTGAAGAATGAAGAGACCATCGCTGAGTCTGGCTGCATCTTTGTTCGAAACTTGGCTTATACAACAAGTCAGGAAGATCTGGAACCTCTTTTTTCCAAATATGGTCCGTGTAAACCACCGCTTAAGGAAAATTTTTAATTTAAATTAATTTGATCAGGTCCTCTTACTGAAATCAGCGTGCCAGTAGACAAAACAAGCCGGAAAATGAAAGGGTTTGCTTGTGTGACTTTTATGGTGCCTGAAAATGCAGTCCGAGCGTACACAGAGCTGGACGGCACAGCTTTCCAAGGTCGAATGATGCATCTTCTGCCAGGAAAAACTAAGAAATCTTTTTCGGAAATGGCTGAAGAAGGTTTTATTGAAAAATTCCTATTTTAATGCAATTCTAATAAAAATTGTTATCAGAGGGATTGACGTTTAAACAGAAACAGGCCTTGAAGAAAAAAGCTCAGTCTAGCTCAAGCCACAATTGGAACACGCTGTTCCTTGGTCAAAATGCAGTTGTAGATGCCATGGCAAGGACTTACAACACAACAAAAGAGCAGGTTTTAGACATGGAGGGCAGCGACAGTGTGGCAGTTAGACTTGCCCTTGGAGAGACACAAATTGTACATGATACGAAACAGTTCCTGGAGCAAAATGGAGTTTGTTTGGATGCTTTTAACCAGGTAGTTAAATTACAATAAATAAAATGAAAAGGAATGAGAATGAGACACTTGCAGGCGCCAAAATCAAGGTCCAAAAATGTAATATTGGCCAAAAACTTGCCAGCTGGAACAACGTCCGAAGAACTACAGGAGATTTTTGAAAAGCATGGAGAGTTGGGTCGACTCTTGCTCCCTCCAAGTGGAGTCTCTGCTATTATTGAGTTCTGTGACCCGTCCGAAGCCAAGACTGCATTTACCAAACTCGCATATACAAAATTCAAACATCTGCCTTTGTATCTGGAATGGGCACCTGAAGAAACTTTTAGCACTCAATATGTGAAGAAGTTGAGTAAAAAGAAAGTTTCTGATGGTAAATTGGATAAAGGTGAGATTTAAAGTAGATAAAATCATCATTATGTAATAATTCCTATCAACAGAGAGCTCGTCTGAAGAGATTTCTGGAAAACAAGAAGCGAAGAATGAGGACAAGGACGAGAGTGATAATGATGAGTCTATTGAACCTGAAAATGACACGACTCTCTTTATTAAAAATCTAAATTTCTCTACTACAGAGGACAGACTCAAGGAGGTAATTTTTATAAAAGAATAGGATATATTTAACTAATTTATCTAATAATTTGTTTTTAGCACTTTGCAAAATGTGGAAAATTAGCTAGTGTTAGCATAGCTAAGAAAAAAGATACAAAGAATGCTGGTAAGATGCTGAGCATGGGCTACGGATTCATCCAGTATATCAAAAAGTCGGACACTGACAAGGCACTGAAAACTCTGCAACACTCAATGCTGGACAACCACGCTATTGAACTCAAAAGATCAAACAGAACTGCTCAGTGAGTTGCAATTTGATTAAATAATTTGAAGCTTTTAAATATTTATGTTTCTAGGGGTGACGTAGCAACAGCTAGAAAGAAAGCTAGCATTGGAAAGCAGACTGGTAGCAAAATTATTGTGAGGAACATTCCATTCCAAGCTACACAACAAGAAATCAGAGAACTGTTCAAGTAATGATAAATTTTGGGCTTTTAACAACAAAGTTTAATTATCAAATCTGCAGAGTTTTTGGTGAGCTGAAGGCTGTAAGACTACCACGGAAAATGGTCGGAACTGGGCCTCACAGAGGTTTTGCTTTCGTCGAATACACAACAAAGGGTGATGCTAAAAGAGCGTTTGAAGCGCTTTGTCAGAGCACTCATTTGTATGGCAGAAGGCTGGTTCTCGAGTGGGCAGCACCAGAAGAAACAATTGACGAACTGAGGAAGAGAACTGCACAGCACTTCTTCAATGGTATAATGGGCTTAAAATAATAGCTAGACTCTCATTTATACTTTGTTTTTAAATTTATTAGATCAACCAGCAAAGAAATCAATGAAGAGCGTCTTGCAAATGGATCTTTCTAACAAAGATGAAACAGAAGATTAAGGTCAGTTGTTTAATCTTATTGCCATACTTTAGTGCCTTTAGTGACTATTGGCATATTTAATAAGCCAAAGTTTTTAACATTTAACATGCGTAAATATAATTTGAGAAATATAGATTTCAGTAAAAATATCTATCTTGAATTAGTCTTATGAGAAAATCTTCAAAACATTTTGCCAGCGAATCGAGCTTTGTCCTCTGCGTCTCGTTTTCTTTCTTCCTCTTCCAAACTTTTCAAGTCGACCGAAATTGCTTGTGCTAAACTAGGCTGAAGTTCAGCTGCTCTTTGCAAGTCTTTTCTTGCTTCAGCCGGATTCCAAGCTCCAATGTGAGCCTTTCCCCTTCTATAAAGCGCCTTCACATTTTCTGTAGTTAAAAAATTTAATTCAATATTTAGAATGCATTTCTCAAAAAAAAAAAATTACCGGGCTCTTTTTCAAGCACAGTTGTGCAATGCTCAATAACGGTGTAAAATTCTCCCTGATTGAGTCGACATTGGGAAAAATTGAGTAGGAGAGGAAGTTTTTGGGCATTTAGGACATTCCACTCCTCGTCACCTGGTTTTTCTTTTAACATGAGATGCTCAAGTATGGCAAGGGCTTCAGAATACTTGTCTGCAGCCTCTTTATTCAGTCCCTTCCTGTACAGCTCGTTTCCCTCTTCCTTGAGTTGCGGCACTAAATCGACCTTTTCATTTTCGCTCAACTGCCAAGTTTCCTTTTTATAGTCGTCTTCTACGCTTAGCAGTTCTTTTTAATTGGAATTCAGGATTAAAAGTTGCGCTCTAGTTTTTCAATGCTTTCTTTACCCATTGTATACTCAAGATCGCACGGTTCTTTCATCAGAAAGTTCAGGTCGTCGTATCCGATTCCCTCGGTTTGCAAACTCACACCACAGCAGTGATGATTTCTGTGCTCTTTTGGTTTGTACGAGTCCCTCAAGGTTTTTGACACAAACGGATAAGATGCAACCAGCTGCCAAAAAGAAATTTAAAATGAATTGTCAACCTTAAATTATATTTTTTTAAATTTACATTAATTAAAAAAATATTGGTTAAAAGAAAATTTTGCACTTACACTTTTATCAACAGTAAATTGTGCAACTTCATTCAAGCTCATTTGCTGTATTATCGCCTCCCAAACCTCCAGCTTGAATTTCTTCCCCAAAATAAGCTCCATAGGCTTTCCCATCTTCCTGCTGTCATCGAGCACTGTTTGATCGTCACATCTCTTGGTGACAAAGTGAAAGTGCACCTGTAAAAAATCAATTTCTCTTAAAAATTTCTATTTCTATATTAATCTGATAATATATTATCTAAAAATTAAAATAGAATTTCGCAAACCTTTGTGCCTGCTTTTATAGGCCGGAACTCCTTTCCTGCGTACAGAATTTTCTTTTGAATCAACGAAAGGTCCATCTCGACCGGCCGCTTGTTGTTCTTTGGGGCTATCGATCACCTGCACGACCCCTTCTGTTATCGAGCCGTAATGAATGACCACTCTTCTGAATTATTATGTATCGGAGAGCGCGTGTCAAGCTGCTTCACCCTATCCAGAAAACACTTTGTTTAATTTGCTATTTCCAAACACACCGTCCCAGCTGGTCGATAACCCCTGAAGTGCGCATGCCTGGCTTTTTAATAAATGAAAAGACAAAATCACAGCCCCGCGCTCTCGCATTCCGCACATTGGAATACAATTAAAAATGGCATTTTCGTTTGAATTCGCAGGCGGCTCGAAGATGTGAATCGGGACAATGGACGGCAGCACCGCGACCTCGGCCCCGGACTCGCCGCTGCTCAAGAGGAGACCGCAGCTTGCGCCGTCCACGCCGTACCTGCTGTCCAACAAATATGCACTGCGCCGAGCTCCAAATACGGCCCCGAAACCAGACACGGTCGTCCAGCGCATCCTCAACGTCAAAGAACAAAGAATTAAGCAGCTGGAGAACGAGGTGGGAAATCTGCGGAGACAACTGCATGACCTGACCAGTGAGAACCGCACCCTGAAGGCGCAAAACCAGCGCAACTCGGCGGCCCTCAGCAGGTTTCAAGACGTGGAGGCCGAATTGCCGACGCTCCTGGCCGGACACACCGAAGAAGTGCGAGTTTTGCGCCAACGTTGCCAAAAGTTGGCCATCGAGAGTCGGGAGCAGTCCCGAGAGCTGAGGACGAAAACGGTCGCCCTTCACATGGCCAGAGACCAGTTGACCAGACTGAGAGAGGTGGTCGAGGAAAAGGGGCTGAAGGAGCGGCAACTGCTGCAAAAGCAGTTGGACGACTCAGAGGGACGCGTCCGGGAACTGGAGGAACAGTTGGGGACCATCAGCAGACAACTGAGTTTGGAGCAAAAAAGCAACCGGTACCACCTGGCCAGGGAGCAGCGCAAGACAAAGGAGGCCCTGGAGGAGCTGAAGAAAACAGAGGCCAAAGTGGAACAGCTCGAAGGTAACGCCCGGCGGAAGGAGCGGACACTCCCAGCGTCCCTGCTCTTTGGCCGGAGAAAACAGGAGCCGTTGAAAAAGCAGGAGACTGAATCCGTTGTCAGCCACTACAGTGACCTCAACCTGTCCTCGAGCGACGAGGAGGAACTGACCAAGTTGTACCAGCCGGCGGCCGAACCGCCGGAAGTGAAGCGTATTTCCTTGCAGACGCATTGGGCGGTCGACTCGAGGACCTTCAGCGTGCGGCAAAACGAGGCGTCTCAGTTGTCCAGGCCCAAACTGGAAGTGGTGGGAAAAGTACAGCCAGTGAAAAAACAAGTGCTGTCTGAAGTGCAAGAAGAGGAACGGGTCAGCGAGGACTCGGAGGTCGACTCAGAGGGCGACAACTACACCAAAGAGGCGTTGCTCAAGGCGCTCGAGGAAATTGACAGACAGAACTTGACAGAAAAGAGTGACACCATCATCACGTCTAATGGTCATGCAGTGGGTGTCAGAGACTAATTTTATTGACTAAAAGTGCCGTTTCAGTGTCCCGATTTGCAAAATTGATCTTGCCTGTGGCATTTAATTTTCATGTTGTTTCTTTAATAAAATGTTTAGATGAAATATATTGCATAAAATATGAGCGAAATTTTAATTTTTTTCAAGCCGCCTGCTCCAATCCAAATACATGCATATTCCTATAAATATTTTTACTTATATCTATCAGTAAAGAAATAATTGTAGTTCACAATGTATGAACAATTATTTAAAAAAATTATCTCATATATATATAAAAAAAATACACTGGAAGGAGCCGGATTATTGGAGTAAAAATCCTTGCAACTCCCTGAGTCCCGCGTCCCGCCATGGAAGAGACTGGAAGGGGGTAAATCACAAACAAAGTTACGCCCTCTTCTAAAATTAAATTCCTGTCTGATCTGAATCCCTGCCGCTGTAGCCGAATTAATCGTCGCAATTTAACAACTCTGCTGGGGGGATTTAAGCTGGTAGCCCGGATTTGATTTAAAAAATTGTTCTTCGACATGCAGTTCGCCGACATAGTGCCGCAAGGCCCTGAAACGGAGCATTTTCACAAAAGAATCCACTGTCGCAGCGGCCACATTTCGGTCAAGTACAGAAACTATGTTCTTGTGTGGGGTGGCTCAAGGGTAAGCAACTCATGCATGTTTTTGACACGTTAATTTGGAACACTCACTTCTTCAGGAAGTCCACTACGACATGGAAACAAAGCACGAGTACCATGACACTGGCGAAGTAATGATGTACAACTGCTGCACTGAAGTTTGGTAAAAATACCTCGTTACTTTTTTTCATTACATAATTTTTCTGAAATTTGTATTTAATTTCTAAGGACTCGCTTGATTACCTCTGGACAGATCCCGCTGAAGTGCTCTGGCTCAACAGGAGTGATTTTGGGCGAATGTCTCTACGTTTTTGGAGGTACAATTTTGAGTAAGAAAAGTTTAAAATCACTTCTTTATATGAAATTCATAAGGGGTGCAGGAATTTTCCTTTTTTTAATTTTGCTTTTTACTAAACAAATATGAAGAGAATATATGCTTTACACAAACAATTAAATTGGCCTTTTATCTTTATTTAGGACTGCAACAAGTGTTCAATGATGGAGAAGGAACCTCTTTCGAGACCTCAAGCAATGCGCTGTACAAATTGGACATGAGAACCCTAGTCTGGACAGAACTTCATCCGTCAGGTGTTTGTCCATCACCGTGTGACAAACTGGTCAGTTGGGAATACGCTGGAAAGTAAGCGGAAAAATAATTGCAAATCAAATACATTTTGTTAAAAAATCAAAATTGTAAAAAATTTTCTTTCTTTAAGATTGTACTTCTTCGGTGGTTTCGGGCCAAATCCTCAAAACTTGGCCAACGTCCCGTTTATGTACATTGAGTCGAGTGAAGATTACGCTCACAAAGGGTGGAACAATCAGTTTTTGTGCTACAACCCTGAGGAAAACAACTGGTCCTGGCCTGCTTCAAAAGGACCAACTCCACTTCCAAGAGCAGCACACGCAGCCGACATAAAAAATGGAAAGGTTTACATTTTTGGTGGCAGACTTTTGGACGAGCGAGTCAACACGCTTTACTGCATCGATATGGAAACTATGCGATGGACTGAAAAGTATTTAAATTTCTTTTAGAGGCATATTTTATTTACAAAATTTTATTCCAGTCTTACAAATTTGTCTGATGAATGCCCCGAGGGAAGGTCTTGGCATAGTTTCTCGTTCATCAATGACACCACCGCCATCATCTACGGAGGATTCTCAAAAAACAACATGATTCTGAGTATGAAAATTAATTAATTTGATTTTTGTTTGAACAAAATACTATTTTTTCATCTTATTTTATCTGCCTCAAAATTTCAGCTTTTATTGTTTTACTAAAAATATTTAAAAAAACAAATTTTATCAGGCGACTGCTGGCAGTTGAATGTAGAAACTTTAACTTGGACAAGAATTGAAACCAACCGTCGAGACGAGCCTCGCCTGTGGCACAATTCAGTGTACTTTTCATCTCCTGGAAGGGAGGGAGAGTTGTTTATGATTGGGGGGTACAAGACTAGCGTCTACCATAATGGCCCAAGAGTATGTAAATTTTTGCGCAACTTAGTAACTTGAAAACTCTCTATCCATTCGAGGAGGAATCACGGAGATTAGGGCAAACTGGTAAAAATTCGCTGTTTCATGAAATCCTTTATGTGACTTCAGACGACTGCTGGAAACTAAATGTGGGCCCCAATTTTGTCTTTTGGGAAGAGGTTCCACTTGCTTATGACCACGGGCATCCTCGTTTCCTTCACAATACTTGTATGGGCCGCCCTGGAGAGCTCATCATCCATGGCGGCTATGTCCAGCCCTACTATCAGCTCACTTTTTACACTCAAGTATTTAAAAAAAATGTCAAATTTAAATCCGTGTTAAATTATACTAATGATTTTTGTGATTCCTCCTCACAGCATGGTGTCTTGTCTTAAAAAAAATGATTTGCACTTTTTATTTCAAAATATTTCATCACCTGTTTGAAATTAATATCAAAATTAAGCTTAAAACTGTATTTAAAAAAAAACTTTTGAAATTGAAAAAACATCTTTCTTTATTACAGCAACTTGCAGATGCTCTTCTAACCCTGAATTTTGAGCCAAAATCTCTCTATAGGTACAAAATTATGAGAATATGGCAAATTCGGTTATTATAATTTTGTTGCAATTTTTCTTCCAGGCTGTGCATTAAATCTTGTTTGAAGAACTTCAAAGAAACCTCCAGTCAGTGGAAGCTGCTTCCAAAAACAGTCGAGAAAACGCTGAAGCAGCGTCTGGAGCAAATCAACTACTGAGATTTTCTGCAAATGACTATCTTGTACTTGCCAGGTATTAATTACAGAAGCTGATTACGCTATGCGACTTATACACCAAGAATATGATTTTAAACAGATTTAAATTTCTGACTGAAACAGCCGACTGATGCCAATTGAAATTTATTTGAATTAATCTATAATAGTCAACCAGCTCGCAGTATTCAGCATTAAAAATGATCTTCCTGCATTGAAATGCATTCAGAATAAATGTCATGTAAAATTTTTATTGACAAGCAGCAATAAAATTTTTTAAATAATAATGAAACTGATGTATCATTAAATTTACAAAGGGTTTCTATAATAATATTTAAAAAAAATTGTTTCAAAATTACTAAAAAGAATAATTATGACGTGCCTTTTTAGCGCCAAATTTAAAATTTTTACTCTAGGGGGTGTGGCTCAGGGTCCAGGTGATTCTGAACGAGCTGAAAATCGAAGATAAACAACACTTTCCTCTATGGACCGCTTATTCATCTTATGGAAAACTGGATTTTGCAAATAGAAGGATCCGATTTTCCTGAAATTTTCCACATCTTCAAAATCCTGCAGCTGGTCGTCGTTTTCACCATCGTCGAGCTGATCATCCAGTTGCTACTATGAACAGTGTCGGCGAGGAATGCAACGACATGAAAAAAACTTATGATTCCTGCTTCAACGCATGGTTCAGCCACAAATTCCTCAGGGGTCAACACGATGACCAAATGTGCGCTGACCTGTTCCTTAAATACCAACAGTGCGTTAAGGTATAACAAAAAAATCCTCCCATTAATTAAAGCTCTAAATTTTATTTAAAAAAATTATAGAATGCAATGAAGCAGCAAAACATCAGCATAGAGGATGTGCAGCACTTCCAGTTAGGAACAGAAGAGGAAAAAAAGGCACCACCGAAGAAGTAGCAAAGAATTTGTGATCCATGCTTATTCGTTGAGCAATCAATACACATAATTAAGAGAACAATTAAAAATATACTTTATTTGTGCGGCAATTTTAAAGAGTATGTTGTAATTTTATCGAGGTGTTTCATCTTGTTATTAAAGTTCATTTAATTTTTTTTACGAACGCTTAAAATGGTGTTGTAGGCATTTTATGATAAATTTGTCTTCTTTGGAATGAAGAAGTGTGATAGAGGAAGATGGAAGAATAAATATTATAACATTTAAAACTAAATAAATTCTCAATTTGAATATATAAATGAAATAAACATTTTAGAACAGTATAAAATAATAAAAAATTTGACGAAGAAAAATTATATATTAATTAAATTATTATAAATCAATAATAAATAATTAAAAGTAATTTTTTTGTGGAGTTTAATTCGGTTAAATTTTTCTTTTTGATATTTTTCATAATAAAATGCATTGACATAATAAGCGTATTTTATAATATTAATATTGTCAAAAGTTCTATTTAATTTTGCATTTTTCTTAGATGAAATACAAATAAGCGTTTTATTTTAATTTAGGGGGAAATTTTTTGATTATTTTTGCAAAGTACATTATTTTCGAATGATTTGGTTTGGTTAGTTACTGTTCGAGGTCGCTGCCTCGGGCAGATCAACCCAACCAATCAGCGACGATCTCTGCAGTTGTAAACAAAAGAGGCGAAAAGAGCTTCGAATCCCTTGTTCGAATCCGTCGGAAGGCGAACCTTTAATGCGCTGTGATCTGTGGAATTCCACAATTTCTGCTAGTTCTGCGTCTTGATTCGGACTGTCCGTGTGTGTCTGAAACTCGGAGTCACCTGCAAGTCCACTGTCACAGGTGAGAAAAAGATCTTCGACCGAGTTTGTCTCTTGTTCTCATGCGAATCACGTGCATGATTTGCAAGATTGATCGTCGGAATAGCAGAGAGTGAAATTGATACTCATGCGATTTAATTGGTGTCTTGTAAAGATATTTGATGATATAGCCGACGTCTGATTTACGTAATCAAAAAACCACAAAATATAATAAAGAGCATCGAGAAAGAAAACTCTCGTCGCTTGATTAATTATTTATTACAAAACTTTGTATGATAAACATTATGTATCATACGCCCTTGCTGTATTATAAAAAAGTGATCGTAGATTATTAATATCACCGAGTCTCGATTACGTGTTTGACTTATACTTATAATGCAGAAGCAAATAAATAATATTATGCTGTGCAGCTGGTTATTATTTACAGAAACGAGATTCCAAGTGGTATTGTTCGGAGAGAAAAAATTTGTTCCAGACTAATGAAAATAAAAATAAAATATTATATAAAAATTATTCATATGAATCTCCCTTCTAAAGTATATCAAAAATACATTTTTAACGATAAAAATATTCCCTCTTCCCAGCCTCTTCCACTTTGACTTCTTTAACTTTTGTAAATTTTCCCTCCTATTGTAGGAATGATCAGTTGTTATATAATCTAAAAAATTTAAAATACTTCTGCGGAGATTTTTTAAGCTTTTCTTTTATCTAGACAATAGAATACCGGTGATAAAATAACTGATAAGTGCAATCACGTGTTGTAATAAAAAAAAATACATACAAGCTTAATTTTTGTGATACTTTTGGTCATTGTCCTCTTTTTATAATACAGTATTCTTATCTCCGTCTCTGCTTTTTGTTCAACATTTTATTTTACTGACATTTTGACACAAACGATTACAATAACAGTACACCCAAGAAATTCTCCTGTCTCATAATCAGTTAAGCTTTTTTTTGTGAATTTTTTTTCGTGAATTATTAATGGTTAAAAATGTAGTAAAAATATTCAGTGTAGAATCTTTTTTTTTAATTTAATTGTTTTTAGTTATTCAAAGATGTGAAAAATGTAAAATATGATGATATTATAAAATATTTTGTTTAGCGAGTTGTCGTGAATCGTGGCTAGAAATAAAGTCATCCATTACGCAAGAGCTATTTTAATGTTCTTGAAGCAAAAGCAACTGTTGCGGTTTTTGGTCGAGCATAACAAATTTGCAAGGAAAGACGGTGTGAGATAATTTGAAATAAAATTGAGGTTGGCGCTTATTTCATATTTTCAAATAAATAAACTTTTATGAGCCTCTCACAGATTTTTTTTAATTCTTTTGTAGTTCTTCAAATACTGCTGACAAAATAAATGCAGGTCGCCGCGCAGCCTATTAATTTTGTTGAAAAAAATCCGACCGAGATGTAATAAAACCTGAATGAGCCTGATGGTAATAAAATGAAAATTGATTGCTTGCAATAAAATATTTTGAAAACTTTTCTCAGCGTTAATTTTTTTAGACAATTATGAAGACAGAGAGAGGCGTAGTTTTTCGCGCTAATTGCATTAGATCATTGATTTATTTGTAGTACAAATAAAATAATAAATAATAATATTTATGCGATTTATGCATTGGATAGCATACGTTATATTAAAAAATAAAATAAATTAAAACGCATATTTTTAAGGAAGGTGAATGAAATGAAGTGCTGTGAAATACTATCACTATTATTTTCTTAGAATTTAGTTAATATGCAAACTATTTAAAAGTATTGCTAAAATTTTGAAAATTGTTGTTGGTTTACAAATCTTTGAAATTATTTAAATTATTATAAATTGGAATTTAAGATTGAAGGGAAACTATGAGAATAAAAAACCTACTTTCATAGATGCCAACACATCATAAAAAAACGACCGCCTCATTAAACTCATTTATTATAATTATATTTAATTACACTGGTGTAAAGTGAAAATTTTTCAAGTTTTTTGAAAATTCGCAGAAATAATACAATTAAAACAAAATTAGAGAGCGCACGTTTTCCGCTGAATTTTTCCGACCAACGAAGGAGAAGATAAATACATAATTCGCGACATATTGCATGGGTTGAAGGAAACTTGCGGCACTTGCGCGAATTATTTGCGCGTCGCCGTCAAGTTGGTAGCACTGGCGAGTTGAAGTCTCGGCTGTCTTGTGTTTTTTTCCTTCCGAGTCAAGAGCGAAACATGGCGGAGGTCGAGTTGGATGTTGATAATTTGATCACGCGGTTGCTGGAGGTGCGCGGGTGTCGTCCGGGCAAGCCGGTGCAGATGTCCGAGGCGGAGGTGCGCGGCCTTTGCCTGCGCTCGCGCGAAATCTTCCTCTCGCAACCCGTGTTGCTGGAGCTCGAGGCGCCGCTCAAGATCTGCGGCGACATCCACGGACAGTTCACAGGTACGCCCCGAACTTTGCCTTTTCCCGCCCCGATCTCACCCTCCTCGGTCCGCAGACCTGCTCAGGGTGTTCGAGTACGGCGGCTTCCCTCCCGAGGCCAACTACCTCTTTCTCGGCGACTACGTGGACAGAGGGAAACAGAGCCTCGAGACCATCTGCCTGCTGCTCGCCTACAAAATCAAGTACCCTGAGAACTTCTTCCTGCTCAGGGGCAACCACGAGTGCGCCTCCATCAACCGCATCTACGGCTTCTACGACGAGTGCAAGCGACGCTTCAACATCAGGCTCTGGAAAACCTTCACAGGTCCAATATCAATCTCTCTTTGATGCCCTCATTCCATGTTCGGACACGGTTTGACCAAAATTTCTCTTTCCAGACTGCTTCAATTGTTTGCCGATCGCTGCCATTATAGACGAGAAGATCTTTTGCTGCCACGGCGGTCTCAGTCCCAACTTGCACAGCATGGAGGCCATCAGGGAAATCAGAAGACCGACTGACGTGCCAGGTATATTTGCATCTCATTATTGTTTGGTGTTAAAAAAATATTGGCATTCTTTGCTAATCAGAAGCCTTAAAGACACAAAAGTCGGCGTAACAGAAAAAATAAACAGAGAAAATATCTAGAAACGTCAAAATTTCAAATAATCTGCGTTGGCCTGAATTTCTCCATTTCGAGTACAAAAAATTATTTATCTTTTATTCTAATTTCTGACTAAATTGTTGAGCAATAAAATACACCACAAGAGAATTGTTTTCCTTGTTGCTGGTTAAGTAACTCTGACATCAAATAAGGCGTCATTTAAAAAATTTATTCCTCTCTGCTGCTCTCTGCGTTTCCTGTCAAGGATTGAAGCTTAATTTCAATTCTTTCTTTCTTAAATAAACGACTCAGTGCCAAAATAATTTGAGTGAATTGAATATTCACTGATAATTTTTTTGTTCTTACCTCTGACGTCATGTCCATTATCTGTTCTACACTCTTCACCGTTATGATGAAATTTCATACATACATTTCCTTCTAAATAGTTCAAGACTTTTCCAGTGGCGGTGTCTTTGAATCTCAATAAGTGAAAAATGCCACAAGTTTAAATTAATGGAGGTCATTGTAAATAATGTTGTCAGCAAAAAAACTTTAAAAATTACATAAGTTTCTTTTTCTTTTAACACCAAAATAATAATTTTAAAATTGTTCGATATTATTGTTATTATTATTGAGTCTTATTATAATTTTTTTCTCCAAATTTTAGATACTGGTCTGGTGTGTGATTTGCTGTGGTCGGACCCTGACAAGGACGTGGTGGGCTGGGGCGAGAACGACCGGGGGGTGAGTTTCACGTTTGGCGCGGACATCGTGACCAAGTTCCTGAACCGGCACGACATGGATCTGATCTGCCGGGCGCACCAGGTGGTCGAGGACGGATACGAGTTCTTTGCCAAGCGCCAACTGGTCACTCTGTTCTCAGCGCCCAACTACTGCGGCGAGTTCGACAACGCCGGCGGCATGATGTCCGTCGACGAGACCCTCATGTGCTCCTTTCAGATCCTCAAGCCGTCTGAAAAGAAAGCCAAGTACGTGTACACGGGGCTCAACTCGGGCCGGCCCTTCGGCCAGCAGCAGCAGAAGCAGAGTGCCAAAAAGTGAAACAAGCAATAAAACTTGAGAGACGCGTTGTTTTCAGAATCCCCGACCGATCCACCGACCGAATGACCATCCTCATCCCAAACGCCCCTTACCACTTGTTGTTACACGAGAAGAAGCACCAATTTAAAATTATAATAATAATAATACACAAGGGTCAATTACGGCTTTAAGGAGAGAAGAAATTATTCAAATTATACTTGGTGAGCAATTTTTCGACTTGCGAAACCTCTCATCGGCAAAAATATATATTATAAAAATTGTTGATCATTCACTTTTTGAAAAGCGCCAAATTTACAAAACAGGGAAACCTGAGGGTCTTCCGCAGAAACCGATTTGATAATATATCTCACGCAACCAAGATCGTTTCAAAATTGCACTTACAAAAATTTTTAAGGCATTTTTTTCTGAAACTATGATTCTGGAATTTTGATACCTTTATTGCATTTCAGCATCGATTCTGGATTTCTATTCACTTCTTCCACTGATCTCTTTCGATCCAGAGCCTTTGTTGGAATTTTCTGTTTTCCTTTTTTTAATTCGTAACATGCATTTTGCAGACTATCTTCACTTATTTTTACAGTTTTTCGGGGTCTTGGTTGTGTTGATGGTCAGTAGGCGTTCAAAAAGAACGACGACGCCTCTTCATCATTGTCTCTCTGGTGCTTTCTGCACCGTTTTTTCGAACTTAGCTAGTGCGACTCCTGTTAAATTATATATATGATTAATTACGGAAAGAAAAAAAAGTTTTTTCGTGTATGTGAATCGAGTGACAGAGACTGCAGCAAGAGGATTAATTAAAAATTAAACGGAGGGTGGGTGCGCAGAGTTATTTTCTTGTCCGATTAGGCTCTGTACTTATACGTCGAAAGTATATCCCTGTTGATCGATATACGCGCATATTTTCCTATTTAACTTGTAATTAAAACTAGCAAGTAGAAGTCAAGCATGATTAAGATTTAAATGACAAAAGAAGCAAAAGATTAAATTTTCAATAGCAAAAGAAAAAGAACCTCTTACTCTGTCCAAAGTGAAGAAAAATCAAATTCGGATCCGAAGCAAAATTCTTGATGGTCCTTTGATTACTGTCAGCTGTATTGTGCTTAATAATTATTATAATTGTGTAATAAGGAAAGCGACCTATTGAATAGGTGAAGCCCTGCCTGCTCTTTCTGTCGATGATTTATTGTCTTTACTGTGTCTCTTCAGAAGTGCTTTTGTTATTTTTTTGTTGAGTTTTTGCCACATCACTATTAATTTAATGACCGCTGTATGAAAATATTGAAATCTATTATTTACAAACACTGTTAAATTATTATTTTTCTTAACGATAGACTTTTCTCTGTATGTGTTAAGTGCACTTGGTATTCTTTAGAGTGTGGCGAATTACGAATCTTTTGATCTTCCTGTTGAAATAAAAGAGAAATAATTATTTCTGACAACAAAAATGATCTTTTCTTTATTCGAATATTTACAATATGACCCTCTTGAATCATTGTTTCGTTTTATTTGAATTTTAATTTGAAGGGAATGAATTTTCAGTCATGGATAACCCCACCTGGGACGAACAAGAGCCAGAGGAGGAGGAAAAGCGTTCCCGGGAGCCGGTGGACCTGCCAAGAGCACGGCTGATCACAATCGAGCCTGCCCTTTTTTTGCTCACCTTTGCCGTCACTATGACGGGCCCAGTTCTGCAGAATTTTATCGTAATGAAGACATGCGAGGTCACCTTGCACTACAACTTCTCTGTCTGCGACAATCTGAGCAACCTGAAGCCGATCGAGGACCAAATCCAACCATACTCCGTTCAGCTCATCATGTACAAATCGCTGATTGAGGCAATTATTCCTGCAGGTAAAAATAAAAATCATTTTCAGAAAGTTAAGACTTGTCTGGGCACTTTTAAAATATCTGTTTAATAAAAACATGAAATAAAATTGTTTTAATATTTTTTAAATATACATCAATATTTTCAGCACTCTCATTTTTCTTGGGCCCATGGAGTGACCACAATGGTCGAAAGCCTCTTCTGATGATTCCGACCATAGGCTACATGCTCCTCAACGCAATCTACATGGTCCTCAGCATGAACTTTGCCTGGGAGAGCAGCCCTAACTTCCTCTTGATTGCCAGCATTCCTGTTGCGATGACAGGTTTGAAATTTTATATTGATGATCCGTCATTACGAAACAAATTTAAATCCTAATTAGGATGTCAATATAAGGCTGAATTAATCATTTATGAATCAATAATTTTTTTTATTTATTCCCTATTTAATTTAATTTTATTAGATATGAACAAAATAGAAATTTAGCAGAAATTTTAACATGTTTATTTAATTTAAAGGTGGTTTTGTTGCTTTTGTAACTGGCGCGTTCTGCTACCTCTCGGACATCAGCACTCCAGCCGAGCGTTCGTGGCGCATGGGTGTAGCCGAAGCCGCCCTGCTGCTCGGGTTGCCGACTGGTCTGGCCAGCAGTTCGTACCTCCTCAAGTTTGGTGGCTACGTGGTACTTCGATCAATGTTCTTTATAAACAAGAATGTGTGTTAGAAATTTTATTATTTTTTCAGATGGTTTTTGCCACTTGCAGCTGCGCCTGCTTACTTGCCTTACTCTACGTCATCTACTTTGTGCCCGAATCTATCCAGACCTCGGAATCCACAAGGCAGAGCGTATTTGATGTGCGCCTCATTAAGGAAATGGTGGCGACCTGCTGGAAACCACGTTCTGGGTACCGACGCCTCACCATGTTTCTGGTCATGGGCACCATGGCCAGTATCATTTTTTCACTAGACGGTAATTTTACAATTAAATTTTAACTTCAGAAATCAATTTATCCCGTTCTAGGAGACATATCCGTCTCTTATTTGTACACGAGGGAAAGATTCGGCTGGGAAATTCAAGATTTCACTTTATACAGCAGTGCTAGCGTCTTAGCTTCGACAGTTGGTAAAGTAGTGGTTTTATAATAAATACCAATTGATTTTATTTTAAAAATTTAAATAGGCTCTCTTATTGGTCTGCACTTGTTCAGTCGGACGCTAAAATTGGAAGACGCGCCTTTGGCCGCATTTGCTTGCCTTTTGAAGGCAGTCAGTCTGATGGTTTTGGCTCTTGCTTCAATGTCTTGGATGATGTATGCGGGTAAGTTTTTGCCTAATTATCTTAACATAAACATCCTAAAAAAAATAAATCTACAACAGGAAGCGCCATCGGTATCTTGGGTGGATTGAGTTCCCCTTTGTGCAGAGCGATTTTGTCCAAAAGTGTTCACGCCGATGACGTTGGTATGTTTCTTCATCTTAAAATTTTGATTCCAATTTTAAATATTTTATGTTTCATTAGGAAAAGTTTTCTCTCTGGCTTCATCTCTTGAGGCTCTAACACCAATTGCCGCAGCGCCTCTTTACACGATCATCTACAAAGCGACTTTCTTGACAGTGCCGGGCGCATTTTATATGCTCTCGTCTGGATTATACGTGGCCAATTTCGTATTTCTAGTGTAAGTGTTGTTATGAAATATAACATTTATTTCTATAATTTAATATTTTCCTTTTAATTACAGCGTTGTAGCAGTTGTCTTTTACAAGTACCCTGCCAGCTCATACGCACAGATCGGAGCTGGTCTCGAAGTCAATTGATATTATGCTCAAACTTGCAACTTAAAATCTGTAAAGCAATATATTATTTTAGTGACGATTCTTTTCTCATGAGGTGTTTGTGCTCTGACTGGAATTCTCATCAACGAAACTAGTTTACTCTGTTGTCTATTTTTGATCTCGAATCAAAACACATCTAATGTAATGTGGCATAGAAAATTGTGATTGTAATTGTCTTAAATTTGGTGTTTATTCAGCTTAATCACATTATAGTATTTTTCCAATTATTAAAAAATTATATTAAATTAATCACAATCCTTTTTTTATTTAACTTCAAGTGTTCAAGTACATAAATGAATATCAATATCAGGGAAATTTATAATTAAAGAAAGTGATTGTGCGTTTTCACATTTTTGGTTAAATTTAGAACTCGCATGAAAGTGCTTTTAGAGTCTCTCTCGTTTGAGTTATCGTCAAACGCTTTTACTCTGGTTTGCGCCTTCGACTGCACAATGTCGATCCCAGAGTACTTCGAAGGCCAGACCGTTTTTCTGACTGGCTCAACAGGGTCTGTTGGTAGCGTTTTTCTGGAAAAACTGCTGCGTTCCTGCAAGGGCGTAAAAAAGATTTATGTGCTCGTTCGGCCGAGAAATGGCGTGTCCAGCGCAGACCGAGTCTGTTCTCTGCTGCAACTTCCCGTAAGTGATTTAACTGTGGAGAAGTTTTAAATTTATTGAACAAAACCCCACAGCTTTTTGCCGATGTGGACAAGTCGGACTTTGGCAAAGTGGAAGCCGTGAGTGGAGATGTGACGTTGGAGGACATGGGCATTTCCAAGGAAGTCCTTCAGCGCCTGATTTCCGAAGTAACAATTGTATTTCACGCGGCAGCCAGGGTGTTCTTCAACGCGACACTCAAATCTGCAGTTTTGTCTAATTTGATCGGCACCAAGCGCATCCTAGACCTCTGCCATCAAATGTTGAAATTGGAGGTAAATTTTTTTAATCAAGATATTGCAAATAAAATTGATCAAAATCTTTTTATTTGACATTATTTTTGTCAGAATATATGGTCTTTTTATTGTTGGTGCAAAAAGGTTTTATTAAATTTATTGCAATTTAATTTCTTTAGAGCCTGATTTACGTTTCCACCGCATATAGTAACTGCACAATCCAAGAAACTAGAGAGCGGCTGTATCCGATTGACTGCAGCCCTGAGGAAGTAATCAATATGGTTGAAACTTTCCCTGACGAAGCTTTAGAAAAGATAACTAAACGGTAAAATCGTCATTCTAATCTTACATTTAATTTTAATAATTTTGTATTAGCTTGTTGGGTCAACATCCAAACACATACACATTTTCCAAGCAGTTAGCAGAGCACCTGGTCACTGAGGGCAGAGGTCATGTCAAACTGGCCATCGTCCGACCATCCATTGGTGAGCCAAATTTAAGCAAATTTTTAAGTTGGAAAATTAAATTACATTAAAAATTAAGTTTTGGGAACTTGGCGCGAACCTTTTCCTGGCTGGCTCGACGCAAGCACTGGCGCCACAGGTTTCATCGCAGGCGCCGGAGCTGGATGCTTCCGCACGTCTCAGGTCGTTCCTTATAAGGTCGCCGACCTTGTTCCGACTGACATTTTGGTCAACGTCATGCTCGCTGCCGCTTGGAATCTTGCCCAACCTCAGTAATTTATTTTTAATTAGAGAAAAATAATAATAAAAAATTTAATCAGGAGCGAGACGTTTCAAATTTATCACGTGACCTCTGGTCTGCGCAACCCTATCACCTGGGGCCAGTACACCGAGTACATCGACGAGGCGATCTCGGAGTACCCGATGAGAAGAATCCTTTGGTACCCCCGAGCAAAGGCGCGCGGCTCCAAGTGGAGGAACGATTTTGTTGTGCGCCTCTTCCAATTGTGGCCTTCGTACTTGTTGGACGCGCTCAGGAATGCCCTGAGCAGTAAGCGGCAAGAAAGGTTAGGCCTTGATTAATTTTATTTAAAATATTTTTGTATCGCTTATTCTATTAAATATTAAATTCCACCAAGCTAAATTTGTGAAATAAAAAGTAAATCTGGAGGCTTTTGAAAAAAAAAATCAGCCATTTTTTACCTTTCTTAATTTTTACTAAGTATTTATTATAAATTTTTATATCAATCCTCTAAATAAGTGCAATTTTTTAAAGAAAACAATTATCTTAAGGTCTGGTATAAAAAAGAATTTTTAAATTATTCTTCGTGTATTTATATTTTAAACTTTTTTCAGCTTGGTGGCGATTCAGCAGAAATTCATTCGAGGAATGAAGCACACGCGTTTCTTCTGCACTCGGCAGTGGCGCTTCCACGACACCAACACCCGCGCTCTGCAGGAAAAACTGCTGCCCGAGGACCAGGAGGCGTTCGACATGTCCATCGCCAGGGTCGAGTGGCGCTCCCACCTGACCAACTGCGTCAAAGGCATCAGACAGCACTTCCACAAGGATCCACCTCAGACCCTCGAACGCGCGAGGAAAAACCTTCAAAGGTCGAAAATTATAAAAATTTTAGAAATGAAAAAAGTAAAATGTTCATTTATAGGTGGAAAATGATCCATTTTGGTGCTCACGTTGCCGCTTTCCTCTGGATCGCCTATGTGGCTTTCTTGGCCCTTGGGGATGCACTTGCTGCGTTGATAACTTCCGCCCTTGTCGTGGGCTTCATCATATGGGTTTGAAGAAGATTGATTGTTATAAATATTCCATCATTCTCTCACCGATAATAAAGATAATCATTGAAAAAGTAAAATTAATCTACGAAAAATCTTAAAAATAATCATCACATTTAAAATTCAAATTTATTAGGTTTCAAGTACTTTTTTGCTGCAAAAAAATTAAATTTTTCTTCATATTATTAAATAGTTATACGCTGCATGAAGTTTTCATTTTCTGTGCTTTTCATTCCATCATTTTCATCTAAAAAAAATTTTTTTGTTATCTTGCCAAATAAATAAAAATTTATTAAGTGGCTCATATGGATTTTAATATACCGAAGAAAACCAGTGACTAATTTTTTTTCTATTTCCATACATTTTTTGCTTTCTTATTTACTTTCTTCTTCAATAATATAGAGAGGTTAATATATAAATAAAATAATAAAGTGAAATCCGATTTAATTGCTGGAATTTGTGGTTATTAGAAAAAGAAAATACGCTTGACCACCACTTTTTACTGTTTGATTTCCGTCAGAATAACTAGTATAATATAAATAAATAACTATTAACTATTATTATCCGCATTGTCGGTATGCAGTAGTCATCGCAGTACGTCCCGCTCTTACGTAGCTCCGAATATTGGATTGGTTCGCAGTCCTGCAGATGGCACTCGAGCTGCTGTTTTGAGTAAATTTCAGGTTGAAAGCAGCCGGCAAGCGAGAAAAAAGAAAAACGCGACTCATCTGTTGGTTGTTGGCGTTTGGTTGCAAACGAGGAGTCGCCGGACTGGAAGAAAGCAAAAGGTCGGAACCTGAGCAGCCTCTCGAGTGCAGCCCATCTCAAGTCTCTGTCCAGTGCGAATTAAATTTAGCATCGCTTGTCCGACACTGCGGCAGGGACGTCCGCGCTCTTCCCATCAACAAACCACTCGACCGGACGTCATTAGCTTCAGCAGGTATACAAATTATATAAACAAAAACTTAAATTTTAAATCACATATATAAGATATTGTTTAAATATAAATAATCAAATTTTAGAAACAATAATTAATCAAAATTTCTAACCAAAAAATATTTAATTAGCTATTTTATTACATTTAAAGTAACTAATTAAAATTTTAAAGGTCACAAAAAAATCAAAACTTTATAAAATAATATTTTGTATGGATTATAAATAGATTCTAATTAACATTATATTTAGACAGTGATTTTAATTTTTTTTTACTAAAAATAAAAATAATTAAAAAAAAATTAAAATTAATAATAAACACATAGTAAATTAAAGCCTGAGCAATCCAATATCAGCTTAATATTATTTAGGAAAAAATGTAATTGTAACGCTGAAAGGTTTGCAAAATATGTTAATGGTTTTAATTTTTTTCGATTGGAAATTCGCAGAAGTGTTTTTAGGCTGGCAATGATTCTCGGTTTCTATTTGCCGGAGAGATTAGAGCCTACGAGTTAAATTTCGGGGCCGCCGGACAAATCTCGTTTTCGTCTCTCTCGCATTCGCGTGACGTCAGATTGCCAGCAGCTTTCTCTGACTCGAGAGATGCTGCGGCTTTTCATCTGTCGCTCTGCTGCGCTTTCTGAAATGGGGAAACCTCTTTTTGCTTTAGCTGCTCCTTCATTATGAGGCTCGTTTTTCTCCTCTTCAAGGCCTTGAACTATTTTTTTTCTAATTTAATTTAATTAGTTTATGTTCTTGAAACTGAAAAAAAACCCACACAATTATTAATAATAATTGTGTCTTATTTTCACACATGAAAAAACGATCACAGAAGCAGATAATCTCAAAATCAATCAATCAATAAAATCAACAAAAATAATTTAAAATTTAAAACAAAAATTGAGTCTCAAAATGATTTACTAAGAGTTTCAATTTGAAAAAAAGGATCAATAATTGTGCATATTTTAATTACAATTTTATTTTTAATTTATTATTTTGATTTTTTTACCAATTAAAATGTTCCATTCAAGGAACTATTTAATTATGGGCAGATTGTTAGGTGCAGAAATTTGCCACATAATTATATAATTATTATCCTTCCTAACAAAGAATCTAAAAGTTTTGTCAAGATTGTTGATGCAATTTTGAAAGAACTGGAAATATAAGTGCGTATATGAAGGTCTGAATCTAATTCATTTTGTTGTTGAACGGATTAACAACCTGCCAAGGTAAAGCAAGTTTTCACAAAAGAACTAGCCTGAGCGGTTATTAAATTTTTTTATTTTTAAAATTATTTTCCGGACGAGTGGAAATCCCGTTTGTTCCACATGGCGAAATATCACAAGCCACAAAGCCTTGCCTGTCAAAAGGAAATTGATCACTTTCTCAATAACTATTATTCTCACAATTATTTCTTGCTTTCAGAATCCATTTTTACAAGTTGTTTATATTTAATACATTTTTATTAAATTTATTTTGTTTAAATTTAAATTTTTGAATAATCCACAATGAGTTACTTTTAAATATCACAAATTTTTTTTACATGTTAAAATTTTTGACCTTGCTTGACCCGAGAGCAAATTTAATCTCCCAAAATTTTTAATCCGCTGTTCTTGCGACGATACGGCGGCACGTAAAAAATTTTTTAAATGGTAATAAGCACGCGTAAAAATCCTTGACTTTTTCTGCCGCTGCATGACGAGCGCAATTTTAATAATGCCTGACTCGCTTATTTTCTTTCTCTCCGCCGCAGTCAGACGTGCGCGCACAGGGATGACGGAGACCGAAAATCGTCCTGACGCAAATCAAAAGAGCAAAGTCACTTTAAAAAAAAAAAAAAATTCGTGTCCGTGTCAAAATAACTAAGATTTTCTTGTAAAATAACGCACAATTTGCCCTGAAATTGTTGAATAGCAAATAAATTGTTTATTAAATTGGTTTTCCTGTTTTAGTAATAATTTTTCTCTATAATGAAGAAATAAAATTTTTTTAATTTGTTTATAAAATTCAATAAATAGATTTAGACGCAAATATTTTATTATTATAAAAAATTAGAAACAGAAATATTTTGCACGAATTAATTGACATAAATTTTTAATATCTGTAGTGAATAGCAAAATAGAAACTAAATTAATTAATAATAATAATAAAAAAATATTTAACAAGAAATGGATTTTTCTAATTTTATAACTTTGGGGTTTAGTTTTCTGTTTTTATCAATCTTTTTTAAAATTAAATTTTAGATTTCACGCTTTAATGTTTTGCCCACGCTGAATCATTTCAATTAATTTAATTTTATTTAAAACCTAAATTAATTTTAATTAGGTTTTCTTATAATGTTACATGTTTATAATAACATTTTAAATTGAAATATTCATTTAGTGTGGAAATTAATCATTACATAAATTTATTAATTAGAAAAAATTTCCCATCAACCAAGTTTCTCTTTGATTCATGGGGATTTTTTCTTTTGCAAACGCCTTTGCCAGTTCGGAATTAGCTCCGTGAGATATTTCGCCGTGAATGTGAGTAATTTGCGCTCAGTCAGCGCGGCTCACTCGAGAAATACATTAGTTTTTTTTCCACAGAAATAACTAGTGTGCATTGTGGCCTTCAGGGTGTTGTGGCATTGAGTGCACCGCGTTGCACCACCTTTTCGCATCTCGCCTACAAACGATCTCATCTTTCAGCCTCTTTATTTTTATACAATTTTCTCAACATTTGCGCGCGAGTGTGAAAACTGAAAGCAAAAGGGTTGCTCGTTGACATCTGATACTCTTGGGAACCAAAATCGATTCAAATAATTTCAATAACGCAATTGCCGATTTGCTCTGATAGATATTATATATTCCAAAAGAGGTTTCTGCGTTGACAATAGAAATTTATTTCGCATTTAATTTAAAATTGAAAATAGTTACAAATAAATTATATTTTTTACTCAAACATTTAATGGTATAATTTTTAAATTAAATAAATATTTTGTGAAATTGTGAATTAACATATTTTAAATGCCTTTTTAAATTAAAAATCCTCTTTTTTTCGACAGAGATGCCTGAGAGCCAGGTTCAGGATTTCTACAAGGGATGTGGCATCTTCATCACGGGAGCCACAGGCTTCCTGGGCATGGGTTTGGTGGAGAAACTTCTCCGATGCTGTCCCGACTCCGGTAAAATTTACCTCCTGGTCCGACCAAAGAGGGGAAAGGCCATCGAGGAGCGTCTCGAAGACGTCACCAAAAACAAGGTAATCCAAAATATATGAATTTAATATTATAAAACTTTATTTTAAAAGATATTTTTCAAGACTGGTTTGTGTCATGATAAAAATTAAAAACTCAAATAGTAAAAATTCAACAAATAAAAAACTCCTGTATAAATGGAAAATTAAGCAGAATTAATTAAATTTTTAACAAAACTTGGATTGGGCCTTTTTTTTAAATAATAATTTCCATGACATTCTGAAATAATAGAATAAAATATTTCAAAATTCAAAACATTAAAATTTTGTTTTAATTTGGCTTCAACTGTTTTCCAAAGGTCTTTGAAAAGTTGAAAGAGACAAATCCGGACGCTTTGCAAAAACTGGTGGCGGTCGCCGGAGACATCGGTGAGGAGAATCTGGGTCTGAGCGACGCCGACCGCAAGCTCCTTTTGGACAATGTGTCCGTCGTCTTCCATTGCGCAGCCACCCTCGACTTCGAGACTGGCATCAAACCGGCCGTGCAGATCAACCTGCGTGGCACCAGGAGCGTCGTCCAGCTCTGCCAATCCTTGCCCAAGCTCAAAGTATTCACATTTTGATTCGACATAAAAAACTTATTTTCTTAAATTAAAAACATTTCAAAGGCATTTGTGCACGTCTCGAGCGCCTACGTCAACTGCCTACGCAGGGAGGTCAAAGAGGAGCTCTACCCTGTGGAACACGACCCTGACAAGATCATCGACCAGGTTCTTTCGGTGACCGATGAAAGTGCTCTTGAGGAGCTTTCTAAAGAGTGAGTGCAATAAAAAATCATGTTCATTTTGTTGAAAATAATTTTTTTCTTGACAGGTTGTGTGGTGATCACCCGAACACCTACACATACACAAAACTACTGGCTGAGCATGTGGTTGCCAGAGCTGCAGCAAAAGTGCCTTCGGCGATTGTTCGTCCCTCGATGAGTGAGTAAAAAAGCATAAATTAAGAGTTAAGACATTCTACAATTTTGATTAAAACTTACCAAATCAAATTTATAAAACAATTCATAAAATTAAAAAAATAAAAATAATAAAAATGCTTAATTTAGGGGGTAACCAACAAAAACTTTTTAAAAAGTAAGAATAATTATGCAAAGTGCAGCCCAAGAGTTGATCAACATTAATAACGTTTTAAAATTTCTCATTTAAGGACTTATTATATTTTATTTAAAATCTTTTTTCAAAACTGCTGATTTCAATTTTTTCCATTTCCCTGAGTGGTACATCCTTGGAACTATTCTTTACTTTAAAATTCTCCATTTTTTTCTTACTTTATTACATTCTAATTACATTTAACTTTGACTGAAACTAAATGAAATTTGGGTCTTTAATTTGAATAAAAATATTAGTGATCAAATCGATAAATATAAAACAAAAGAAAAGACCTTGATAAAAAGTCTAAGGCAAAAATTATAAATTTAATTTAAAAATTTTTTACCAAAAATAATAAAAATATTGAAACATTCGGAGCTTTTGGTATTTTTCTCAGTAATTTTAATTAAAAACTTTAATATTAATGAAATAGCGGATTTTTTTATGGCTCATAAATGAAATAATTGATTGAAATAAAAGTAACTAGTAGTATTTTTTTTGTAGTTTTCATTGAATTTCTATAAATTAAGCAAAACAATCTTCCAGAAATGTTTAACTTGAAAATTAATTTTTATTTAAAATAATCTCCGTTTTCCTAATAAAATTTTAGTACTTTTTTTATTTTAACCATTTTGAATTATTTCTAGTCACCTGCGCTGTGAAGGAACCAGTGCCTGGGTGGATCAGCTCGACGAACGGCCCGTCCGGCTTTTTGATGGGCGCCGCCAAGGGGGTGGTGCGTCGGCTGCCGATCGCGACCGACGTCGTCTACGACTACATCCCCGTCGACATGGTGATCAGCGAGATGATCGTGGCCGCGTGGCAGGCGGGCACGCAGAAGTCGTCGCAGGTGTCCATCTACCACTGCACCACGTCCACGCAGAACCCGTTCCGCTGGCACATGGTTTACAAGAACATGAACAACATGCTGCGCAAGTACCCGCTCGTCGGCGCCGTCTGGTATCCCAACATCAAGATCCTCACCACGCTCAGCCTCTTCAAGTTTTCCTCCATCTTCGTCCACTTCATCCCGGGCTTCTTCCTCGACCTGGTTGCGAGAATCACTGGCGGACGTCCAAGGTTTGAGAAATTCTTATGAATACAAATTGAAAAATTTCATGAGTAAAATGAATTTATTTTAAATGGAATATTTAAAATTTCTGAAAGATTTTTTGCTTCAACTTACAGTAAATTTAAAGAAAACTAGAAATAATTTTTTAATTACTTTTATTTAAATTTAATTATGAATTATTGCATTATATTCATTTTTTATTTTAGTAACTGATAAAAATAACAAAAAGCTCCAAATGTTATTTTAATATTTTTGGTAAAATTTTAAATTTTAGAAGTTATTGTTGTTTAAATTTTATTATTTTTACCCTTTATATTTTTTTGATCACTTTTTTATATTCAAATTAATTTAATTTTAGGTTGGTGACCTTGCACTCAAAGATCAACAGCTCTTTGGACCGCCTGCAGTTCTTCATCTACAACGAGTGGAAGTACCACAACGACCGCACCCGTGAGCTGACCGAGAAGTTGACTGGCGACGACAAGAAGGTGTTCGACTTCAACGTGGGCAACCTGGACTGGTACCCGTATTTTGACACCATGGCCCTGGGCGTCCGGCGCTACCTCAACAAGGAGGAGCTGAAGACGCTGCCGGCCGCCAAGAAGAAGCAGCGCATCCTGCAGGGGGTGCACTACGCCCTTCTGCTCGCAATCTACGGCGTCGCCTTCTACACCGGCCTCAAGCTGACCGGCGGCGACAAAACCCTGGCCCTGCTTTCGCTGCCCCTCACCTATCTGTTCTTCAGCATTATTTAATTGATTGATTGTTGATTCCGCTTTTTACCATTCCATTACTGGTATTTTTTTTTCTCTTTTCAGTCGTGTCAGTATTTTTATGCCGTCTAGCATTTTTATTCGAATCTCCCCGCTGTATTTTTCGGGTGTTGCAACCGATCTGATATGGGATTTAGGAAGAGCGGCGCAATCGTTTTGCTGCTCAATCAGCCGTGGAAATTAATGTGGAGCAGGTGTTGATCTAATTATTGCTGATTTCTTGCCACACGCTTCAAGTATCGAATCTCTCTCTACGGTGAGATCACGTTACTTTAAGTAATTGAGTTTAGATTTTTTTTTGTTATTGTCACTTTCGTAGCATTTACTCGATATATCTTCGAGAGAACACAGAAATAATGTTTGTATTAAATAAAAACAAGAGACTAAATATTTTGTTTTTTCTTAAGTAAAATATACCTTTATTTTTTAACAATAAATGAAATAAAAGCTATAGTGAGTTAGACTGCGCCGTATATAAATGCAGAAAAGTAATCAACTCCAAAGTTTTCCCTTCATTAAAATAAGCCTAAGATTAATAAAATTGCACAATCAAGAATCACTGGAAGGCTCCTCAACCTCAGAGAGCATCGGACTGGACTTGAACACGGAGCTCAGAATGTGACTCGTTGTACTGAAGCTTGAGTAGATCATCCAGAAAATCATGAAGTAGACGAAAATTCGGAATGCACGGTCCAGCCAGTAGAGCCTGTGACAAAATAAAAATATTAAGCAACTCAAAAAATTTAAATATTTAAGCAATTTTTTCCAGAAATAATTTAAATTAATAAATTTTACAATTTTATTTTATCATTATTAATTTGCAGTTGAAATTAAAATTTTGAACCTGTTCATGTGTCTCTTAGCCTTGGGCAGGCTGCTGATGTCGTCCTTGAGGATGAAACGTCTGGTTCCGAGCAACATGTCTCGCACGTAGGTGTCCCACTGGACGCGTTTCACGTCCGTGGTGAAGCATTCGCGCTCACTCGGCTCCAGTTTGTCGCAGATCTCGACGATTCGCCGGTTCGTGAAGTTCCACTCCTTGGTCGTGTAGTATTGCAGAAGGTCAAGGCCGCCCTGCAGACGCTTCTGGATGTTCACCATGCTACGAAAATCAAAATCAAATTTGTACTTTTGATAAATAATTAAGATTAAAAAAATTCAGGTAGAAAATAATCAAATGTCAAAATGTGAGTTTTTTTAATTAGTAATAATTGCTTCTTTAAAGAATAAAAAAAAAAAATTTTTTTTCATTATTTTTTGTAAATTTCGTTTTGCGGGTTGCATAACAGATTAACTACAGGCGTTTATGCCTTTTAAGTTTTAAGAGACAATAAATCATGAATTTGGTTTAATTTTTGTTTTACAAATTGTAAAAATTAATGTAAAAAGTACCAGTTTTAATTTAAACTTGTATTATAAAAATCAATAATATGATTAAATTGAGCAGCTGAAATAATTTCAGAATTCAATAAAGCTTCACTTACAAGGGTTTGTGTCTGAAAAGGACAGCGAGGCAGTCGATCAAATAGGCGGGAATGATGTGGAAGAAAATCACGCAAAATTCATGGGCCAGTTTTGAGTTCTTGATGGAGCCGTCCGGCCACCAGACGACTCCGCTGAACGGGTACATGTAGATGAATTTGCGTCCGTACTCGATGATCTCGCCCCAGCTCACAGGGTTTCGCTCCGTGGTCGTCAAATTCACAACCAGAGGTCCTTCGGAGGGTCTAAGAAAAGTGCAAAAATTGAAAACTATTTATATTTATAATTCAGTAAAAAGTAAATTAGTAACTTTTGACTAATCGGCAATCACCTTTTAATTATGTTCCAACACTAAGAAAAAACCAGTGTAAAAAATTTATAAAATTCCTGTATCTTGGAACGTAATTCCACATAAAAGGCGATTAGTGAAAAGTTACTAATTTAATTATTTCCCGTTTCGAGTGGTTTCTTTGGTTTTTGAGTTTTCATTAAAAATTAATTCAAATTGTATGACTATACCAATTTTTGTTTTTTCCCAATATTTACCTGCAATTTGCGAGGTGCCAGGCGATCACGATAAGTCCGTTGCAGGCCAGGTCGACGGGAATCAGATCAGCCTTGTACGCCGGCTTGCAGTGCATCGAACGCAGGACGCCTTTTCCAGCGCCTAACAACAAACCCGTCGGTCCGTTCAGATTGTCCACGTAGCCTGGGATCGGCTCGGAAAAAGCGGCAGTCACTGCATCAACAAATTAATATAAAAAATCAGTAAAACAATTTATTTTAAAAATATAATCCTTTACCAATAGAGGGTCTTGCAATGGCGACAGGCATGATTTTGCTCGCGTCGGTGACCAGTTTTTCACTCAGGCACTTGGAAAAGGCGTACGTGTTGGGCAGGTTGCCTATCAGTCTGCGGAAAATTAATTAATAACTACAAATAAACTCAAAAGAGTAAATAATCTAAATATTTAAGGCGATTAAAAAGAAGGCCAAAAGAAAAAAAATGCACTGTTACTAAAAATAGATTCAAGAATAAAAAAATCTCAATATTTAAACAAATTTTAGGGAAAAAAGCTCAAGAAAAAAGTATTATTAATGAAAATAAATTGAGGAATTAACGAAAACATAAATATTAACAGCAATTTAAAAATGAAAACAAAAATATTTTAATTGCTTATAATTCACTTCTGAAGAATACAAAAAATTTAAACATGAAAAGCAATTTAAAAAAAAGAACAAAAGAGTAAATAATATATAAAACTGATTATTAATTGCTAATTTCAAATAATTTTTTTTTTATTCCGAAATTTAAATTTGCAACAATCTTCATCTGTGGCATTTTTTTTTTTTTTTAAGATTTCATACAATATTAAAAAAATTATGAGTAGCTTTTGGAAATAAAATAAATGTACTTGGGCGTGATGAGTTGGACCATGTCATCTTGCAGCCAGTCGACGCACTCGAAAAGCTGCTCCGGCTCAAATGGCGCGTCGTAGGGTTCTTCGCCAAGGACGTCCCGGTCGCAATGGCAATAAGAAGTTGAAACGTAAACGAAGGACTGCGGATTTATTTATTATATAATTGGTTTTTCATGCTTAATTCATTAATGCATACCTCGAGCTTGGTCATTTTGCTGCATAGGTCGAGCACCCTTTTGGTGCCTTTGGTGTTGAAGGTGAGGGCGTAGCGCAGGGTCATGTCGAACCTGACGCAGGCGGCGCAGTGGAAAACGACGCTCACCTTTTCAAGCAACTCTTGTCGCACTTCTTGGTCTTCGATTCCGAGACCGTCTTCGCTCACGTCGCCGCAAACGAGGCGCAGCTTCTCAAAAACACCCGGATTTTCTTTTCGAATTTGGTCGAAAATCTGACCGAAAAATTAAAATTAAAATTATCAAATTTCTGATTAAATTGAAGAGATTATGAGTTTTATTAATGATCTTACAGGATTGTTGAGTAGACTGTCCAGTCTGGTTTTGGGTTGTTGGCCCCTCTTCGGCCGCATCAGCAGGTAGATGCATCCAACGTCTGGACAGGAGCGCAGAAGTTTCTCCACCAAAATCTTGTTTTGCACCAAAATAATCGGTTGAAATTTCAAAAGAAATGCCAAATAATTTAAAATTCAACTTAAATTTTATTCTTTACTATAATAATTAATTTATTTTAATTAAATAATTTAAAAAAAAATACTTGAAAATTAGTATTACAAATTCAAGGTTCTTTTATTCTTTCTATAATTACAATGATTGATGATTGGGTTACAATGACTGAGTTTTAAATTTTTACTCTAAATGCACATAATTACAAAAATTAAAATAAAATGTTAACTTCTGATTAATTAAAAAAAAAAATAAATTAAAAAAATTAAAATTTTTGTAATTGATAATATAAATTTATTTCAAATAATAATAATAATTAAAAATTAATAACAAATAAAATTGAGACCTTTCCCATAAAGCCGGTGGCGCCGGTCACGAAGAGACTTCTACCCTCGTAGAAGCCCGTGAGGCTGGGGTACTTGTCGGTGGTCGGCATAATGGTCAGTGTTAGCGTTCGCAGCGTCTGGAATCAACTGAATTGTCCAGAAGCACGAGTTACGTACACGGATGAGCGAGCATAGTTGAAAGAAAACTGTATTTGATCAATAGGCAAATAGTTGTCGTCAGCAGCCTCACAAGTGGAGGATTTTAATAATGCAATATTCCACACCAGGACACTTGTGTGCGGTCGCCACTGTGTGGTGTTAGAACAAGTGACTAGGCAGGATAGATCCGGAATAGGTAAAGGACAATTGACGCAGCCTTCTTTTTTCATATTGTTCATTTTCGTATAAAAAAGATACAAGGGGAAAAAACTCTAAAAACAGTTCATCACAAAATAAATAATGAGGAAAAAATATAAATCTCTACAAATGGCTGACAAAAAGAAAAAAAATTAGGAAAATCACAATAATTTCATTAAAAAATAGTAAATTATAATTAACATTGTCAAATTTAATTTGATTAGAGATCACTGGTAAAAATTTATTGCTGAAAAAATTAAGAAAGAGTTGAGTAGAATAACTTAAAATATAACATAAATGAAGATTAAAATAATCTTTTATGATTTATTTAAGAAAAATATTCTTTTTTATATTTTTTGGAAAATTTTCAGACATTTTTACGGAATTTTTATATTTATATTTAATTTACTTGGGCATTCTTGTACTATTTTATTGGAAATTTATTATTTGATTTAAAAAATTGTTAATTTTGAAGACTTTTTTTAATGGAAGTTATAATTCTGTAACTTTGAATCCAAAATACGTCCGGTGAGTGTTAAAAATTTCAAATTGGGCTAGAAATTTCTCTTACAGAAGACTAAATAAAAATGTTCTCTTTTAACATTGAGGCTTTTGATGATATATTTTAAAAATAAAACCGCTGTTTGAAAACAGACTGAGCTTGAGAAGTGAGAGTAAAATCGCTTACTTTGTCGTTTTGAGTGAGTCAGAAGGTGCTCAATGGGACGATCCGCGGGCGAATCCCTTTGACAATTAATTAAGAAAGACACACGACAACTGCTTTTCTTATAGCGAGATCGTCTCGGTGTCGTTCGTTCCCCACCCTGCAGAGTGGAAAATATAAAATGTGCTTCAGCTCTAGGGCAAATAATACAAAAGCGATTTTCCGGCATTAGCAACTGCAGTCTCGGTGCATCAGCGCTGAGCAAATGTTTAAACGCGTGAATTTTTATATGTATTTGTTTGATCGGGCGAAAGCGATGATTGTTTAACGAGAAAGGAAGGACATAAAATTTCGATCGGAATTTTTTATTATTTTTAAAACGGGTTGGGAAGTTGCCCAAAAGTGAAATGACAGTTCTTGGGTGAAATTAAATTAATCGGAAGTTTGTATTTGTCCAAATCACGGCAGTTTCTCGTCGCGAAGTCGTGCGCTGACTTAAAATTAATGTCGCGCATCACGCATTCCGGCCCGAATTGGTCGAGTTTCTATTGCGGCTGATTTGCAGTCAGCCCACGAGTGCACCCCAGATCGCCAAATGCGCGACTGACCACGCTTTTCTCCATCCGCTTATCACGCGTTCAAATCTCCGAAAGCGGAATTCCGTGCATTGTTGCGAAATGTCACATTTTTTCAACGATATTTCAATTAAATTCAATATTCTATATAATTTAGAAAAAATTGAATCACTTGAAGTGAAAAACGGGATAATTTTTGCTGAAAAAAGTTTATTTAAACTGTGGAAAAAAAATGATTTCTTTTCGTGGACGTCTAATCATGATTTTGTTGTTGTGTTCATGGTCAGATTTCTACAACAATTAAAAGCGCAATTGTTGAAAGAAAAAAAACGTTTGCACCACTAGCAAGAATTTTACTAAATAAGCCAAAAATCTAGAAAAACTATCCTCAAAAGTGCATTATTATTGTTGTTGTCTTTTTTATTAATTTGGTAAGAAAGCCTTGTTTAAATTTAATAAACTTGAAATTATTTAAATTGCATCATTTAAAATTTTAAAATTATTTTTTTTAGTTTTGATCATTTTATTTATTTTTACTCTATTTTGTTATATTTTAAAAAATGTTTTGATAAAATATTTATTTTTCAAAAACAAAATTATATATTGAGTTTGCAAAGCTATAAAAAACCTAATTAACTAAAACTCTACCACTGTATAATAGGCATAGAAGGTGCAATTTGTAATTTGTATGAAAATCAATGAAAAATTCATATTTATTTTCATCCAGTCTAAAACTCTAAAGATAAAAACTTTTAAAACTCACAGCTGAATATATATCTGCAGATAAAATTCTAAATAAAAAAAAAAAAGATGGAAATATTTTAAAAGGGATTTTTTTTACATAAATTCAACTCGCCTTATATTAAAATGTGAAGCAAATCACGCAAAAATTTAATAATTTTTTCACAACAATGATTTTACGGTGCAGTTTTATACTCGACGTAATAAAATATTAGTATCAGTTAAATTAAAGTTAATTTTCAATCTTGTGAAACAATCCCTCCTTTATTTATAAACAAATAAAAATCAATAAAATAAATCTGCGGATTGAGAATTTTTCAACCTTCGTGTTTTAAATTGGAATGGGTAAACCGCAGAGATCGACTTGAAGAGTTAATCATCTGTGCAGTTGCGATCGATGTGAGGTAATGGAACGCTTTTTTCTTACCTGACGCTTGTGAAGGTGCGACCCTTGCCATGAGCAGGTGGCGACGTGAGTGAGACTCGGATTTCAGCACCCTGCCCGCCAGCAAGATCAGGTGCACCGACTTTCTCCACCCACCCAATCGTCCACGGGCGTCCCCGCTGCTCGATCAGAAAAATTGTCAGTGTTCGTTCAGCACAATCCGTGGCCGCCGCCGCCGCCGGTCCAAACTTTTGGATCTCGTCCATCTCGAGCCTGCCAAGCATACAAATCATGGGCAATCAACAGCACTCGGGGTACGTCCAAAATTGAAAGTACTTATTGTGTATATAATTGTAATCTTTTGGTTGCGCAATTTTTCTGGCTCTTTGGCCGATTCGTGAGCTGATTTGCAAAACAAAGGGGCTTCTCGGAAATCTAGAAGGAAGGAGAGAATTTTGAACCTTAAAATGACAATTTTTCAATAATTTTTTTTTTTAACAAATTTCATTTTGTATTACCTCAATTTTTAAAATAAAAATTATAGACAATTGTTAGTTAATCTAATTACAGCATAAGACCAATTCAATTATTTTGGATAAATTAAATTGCACATCAAATAATAAATGAGTATATAAATTTTTTTGTTATTGGTACTGGTTATTTAATTTGAGGATAGTAATGTGTATTAAAAAAAATTAAGGCTATTTTAACAATTTAAATAAAGTAAAAATAAATTAATTTTGATATTAAATTTTACCAAAATACTTTTTATTATTAATATATTTTATATTAAATTTTATTTTCATTAGTTTCTTTATTTTTTTCCTTTTAACAAGTAAATTTTGTTCATAGACATTTATTGGCAGTTTAATATTTTGTTAATTAAATAAACTTAACTTTCCATCTAACTTGTAATTAACAGCTACTTTTACTAGACTTAATACGCCACGACAATGATTTGACTCTTAAATGTTACGGATGATTCAGAAAGAAAAATTAATTATTAAATAATTATGATTTATGAAATTTTCATGTAACAAAAATTCAATTTCTCAACAAATCGATTGATGTGAATAAGGAATCTTCCATTTAATCATAAGTTTGAAAGGATGGAGTTGGGAAAGAGTACTTAATCCACTCATTGTCGTAAGACATTCGAGGAAAAACAAAGCATTTTATGCTCGCAACTAGAGTGACGATGGAGAGAGCGGCTTGTGTGTCGTAGATCAAGGATGCATCTTTCAAAAGCTCTCTGCAAAAGCAATAAGAAAGAAATAATTACAATTTTCTCTTGTCGCCCATTGTTGCCGATCAGTCCGACACACGCCTTAAATCACCACTATTAAATATTGCCGCACACTATTGCGCTCAGATACAATAATTGCAATTCCTGGGAAACGATCAAAGGCTGATGAGTCAGACTTACGCTTTTCCAGCCTGGAAATTTTTATAATATAAGGTAGATCAATTTTTATAACCAGGAGCAGACTGAATTTCATGGTTTTGATTGCAAAATTATAATTAACCTTCCTTTAATTAAACCGCAAATGAATATTTATTCAATTTGGTGCCATAAAAAAATTATATCTGCATGGATCCTGGTTTTGATTAAAAAATTCTTTGTGAAGTCAATTAAAAATTATTAAACATCAAAATAATAGTTTTTTTCTAAATATTTCTCGTTTTGCTTTGCTCATTAAAGTCTCTTTAATGATAAAGATCAGAGCGAAATTATATGACGCCAATTATATTTGGTGTGTTTATGAGCGCACATGAAGACAATTTTCGTAAAGTAATCACGGATTTTCAAGGTTTTAATTTTGTTGTAAGACACATAATTAAATTTTGAATGTTTTTATTTTAATTACAAAGAATCTTATTGCGTTTGCTATTGCGGGATTTCAAAAACAAATCAGGTTAAAAATGTTGATAAATAATTATAAATTTTATTATTTATAATTATTAACTTTCAATTGATACAATGTTTATTATCAAATAGTATTCAAAAGTAAATAATCGACAAATCTATAGTAAACCTTTAGTTTATTAGGTTTGTACGTAAAGTTTAATAAGCAAAATATATAAAATAGCTATTTTAATTTAAAATGTTTTAATCAATATGTGAAATAAAATGGGCCTGTCATATAACGAAAAAAATAACAATGTCTGGTATAGATTTTTTAAACAAGTCTAAGTAATTTACATTACGTTTTCAATTATGAAAATTTTCAATCCTCCACGGTTTAAATTTGATTAATTTGTCTATTGCTTTCCTATTGCATGAAAAAATGAGGCGGTGCTTGAGGTGCTTCTTCGATTTATAAATGCGCGCAGCGCAACCGCAAGAAAGCATGTCATGATTGTCATGTCATGTCACTTCACTCATTTGTTAAAGTATCTCCATCCAGCAGCTTCTGTTTGCACAGAAGAGCGAGTAGGGCAAATGTATATGTTCAATTTTTTTTTTATAAATTCTTCTTTCAACAGCCACTTGGTACTAAGTGTTTGTCTATACTTAGCGCTCGAGTTAGAACTGGAAGTTAAGGCCCACATTGATGTTATCTTTGTGCGTTTATGATTCCTTTAACCAATCTTTCTCTGATGCAACTTGTGTGTCTCGCTAATTTTACAGAACCTTTCCTTTCGAAAATCGGTTTAATTAGTATTACGTTGAATTATCTTTTAAAGTGATTCACAGATTTGATGATTTAGCTTAATTACCTACTGAGCCATAAATTGACCGTATAATTTCCGTGTACGTCATAAAAAATAAATCGACAATATTGATTAAAAATATTCGAGGTATTAAAAATTGATTGAAAGCAATAATTGCAATGATATTGATGATTTTATTTAAAATAAGTATTTTTAGCAGCGAGCTTTTGTAATCAAGCAGTTTGAAACTAGTTTTTATGGAAAAATTTATTCATAAAGAAATTTTTAACAATTAGTTTTGATGTGAACTCAAATGTGCATCGTGGTGATTAAAAAATTAACTTGTATTGATGTCAAAAAAATTTTATAACAAATATTTCAAAATTTAAAGAATATATTATTTATAAGAATCATCTAAAATACTCAAGTTTATAGTTTCCTTTTAAACAAATCAAATAAAATTCACATCCCCCCCCCCCCACAAAAAGGATGTTGATTTTCTGTAATTCTGAGGTCAACAATGCACAATTAGTTATGATACATGAATACAACCTTGCAACACCAGAAATTACCTTTTAACTTAATCTAAAAAATGACTCTTCATTCATTAAATTTAATTCTAACAGGTTAAATTTAATTATCATTCAGTAAAATTTTCATTCATGCTTTTTTAACAAATTATAATTTCAATTTGATTCCTCACACAGAAAGATGTAAGAATATTACGAATATTATAAAATGCAAAGGTGCAGGTTGCAGCGCCCTCTTGTGCAGAAGGGCAACAACCTTTGCAGGTGAAATGCTCGGAGCGGGAATTTGGAGAATCGCAAGAGTGAAAGTCGCACGCGTGCGCACGCTATGCCATTTTCGCTGGTTGTACGAAGGTCGGCGGCACCTTAGTCGAAAAATCCACGAATTTGATCACAGACGTGTTCGCGAATTTGGCCCCGCCACTGCTCATCTCCGCTCATTCATTCATCGAATCAAGTTTTTTCAACTAGACGCACTTGCGGCCCGTAGCCTAGTACGTGAGTTCGGCTGTTTTTGAAAATTATTTTACTTATTTTTTACCAATTGATATTTTTTTAACGTGTCCTAAATGATACTCCTATTTATTACAGAAATATCCGTTTAATAAGCGCCACTTGTTGCTCAACGCGAGTATAAATGGTTGTAAAATAAATTGGCCTTCGTAGGATCGTAAAACTTGAAAATAATTTGGCAGTTTTTTACTTGCTAATATTTTGACCGCGCTAGAGAAGTAAAAATGTTCTCCAAGGCTCACATTTTAAGTTGATTAAGAATTTTCTAGATATTTATTTATTTTTTTAATGTGATGATACATCAAAGTTTATCATTTTGTAACAAATCAGCAGATTTTGAAAAATGCCTGCCACAGGAAATGATTCAGTTTTGAAATATGCCTTTCAGCGTTTTGTTTACCTGCTTATTAAAGCACTTAATTGACAATATTTTCGACCGATTCGTCATCCTGAAGAATTATTAAAAATTAATTAACACTATAACATGTGATTTTGGGTTAATCTTGTTCCTCGATCAAGAGTAAAGATTTCCACAATAATAATTGCATTGTTTGTGCGACGAGTCCGTCGTTATGTCACGTTGGTTGGTTTGGAAAGCAGCACGCAAATCGCGGCGCTGTTTTCCTGTGCCGGCGCTGAATCGCGCGCTAGTGAAAGTTCTCGCGGCCTTTACGTAACTCCGCGGTGCATTCAGCATCTTTGCCGACTTAAAACTCTCTAATGGCTCGCAGCCTCTCTTTAACCGCTGCATTTTCATTTAATTCTCACCGTCTATGGTGCACAAGGGAGAGTTTCTCAAATCAATTTCATTCGTTTATGTGCACAAATAAGTTTTTTTTAGCAAAAAAAGTAAAATTTGAATTAAAATCTAATTGACCAAAAGAACTTTAACGTGAGAAACGAATAGAAATGTACAAACTCGACAGTAAATTTAAAAAAAAAACACAAACAAATTGACAACATGAAAATAATTAATTTAATTTGTAAATACAATTAAAATAGATTGAATTTTATATCTATAATTTTAGCTCCTCGTTGCTTTTTAAATATTTACAAGAGCTTATGCAGTTTGACATTGTGGAAAATGAGAATAAATTTTTTACATTTCAACATAAAAAGTTTCAGCATCGGTTGCAAAATGAGAGCGTTTATTTTGTTTCAATAGCAATTAAACGCATAAACAAGAAAAAAATAAATTTGGAGCAAAAGTGAATGTAAAAAATTTGTAAGTAAAACGCATTATTGGTTCAGAATAGATTAGAAAAATAATACTATTGACATCCACAGCATCAACATTGAAATTAAATTTGTTTTAAATAAATAAATAAACAAATTCGATAAAATAATAATATTAAAATAAAATGAAAAAATTAAAGATGTTATTGAAATATTACAGAAATATATGACTATATAAAAAATTTAAGTGGTTCAATTAATATCACAATATTTTCTAAATTTATATTTCTTCTTGAAATGTTTTCATTTTTCAAAATAACGCCATTGATAATTAATATCACTTAAAAATTATATCTAATAATTGGCAGAAGGACTGAGAAAAATATTGCATTTCCTCTTCCAGTGACTTTAGCTATTTTTAGTACAACATCCGTGACAACAACCGTGACTTATGCATCTTCACACGCGACTTCTTCACGCCAGTTAACAGATAAACATATAATTAAATTTTCGCGTAATTGAACTTATTATTTTTTGCACGAAGATTTAATTGTATAAAAAAAGCACAATCAAATTCGGCGAAAACGTGCAGAGTAAAATAATAAGTGTGCGCACGTCAGAGGTTTTATTAATCAATGGAAGTAGAAAGATGCAATCAGCTGTTTGTAGACCGTGGCAGAGATTTTTCTTAGTCGGCTGGAGAGAAAGTGGTCGTGCTGGTCACTGAAGCCGAAGAACACTTGTTCCATCAACGCACGTTGTGTGTTTGTACCATTTGTATGTTCTGTCGAAGGAACCATGCGTAATCGGGCGTCACTTTTTGGCCACAAGAAGCGCCATGTCACGCTTGGTCGCTCGTGAATTTCGGATGCAAAATTAGAAAGGCGCATTTCTTTGTCGCCAAATGAAAATGCACTTTTCAGAAAAACATGGTTTTAATAAAAAAATTTCTAATCTTCTGTGATTATTAACAATTGAGAAGAAAATTGATTCAGATTGGAAAGAGAAAATGAATGAACGAATATTTGAAATTAATATATGTGAAGCGTGTGATGCATGAAAATCGTTTCTCTCTGCCTCATAAAATTTATGAAGTGCTCCTCAGTTTGATGCAACATTTAAAAATCATAATGTTTGGACTGGAAGACAGCCTTCAATTTCCAAGATTTTAAATTATTCTCAAAAAGAATTAAAACTTAAAATTTCATTCTGAATAATGCAAAAATAATTTTGTTTAAGGAAAAACTTGTTTAAATTTTTAAATTGCAAACAAAGAAAAAAATAATAAACTGACAAACTACAATTTTTGTCTTTGAATATTGATGACTTTCTGGGTATTGAAAGGTGTCAAGAAATTTCAAATTCTCCACTTCGAATCTGTTAATGACGTTGAAATTTTATTTCTCCTTCAGAAATCCTCCATTGAAGTTATTATAAAATATTTCCATGCTTAAAATATAAAATTTAAATTTAAAATAGCTCAATAATCCACTCAATCTGAATAATTTTCATTGTCTCACTTTTAAAATAGGGAAAAAGAGAAATTGCAAATAAAGTATTTTCCACCCGATTATGCAAATAAAATCAATACCAATTAAATAGAACAAGCTTTAATTACGGACGATGCAGCTTTTCTCTTAAACAACACTTTTCTTGAATCTGCTCGCGAACATGCTCTAATTCATAGCGCGGTGAAAATACATCAAGCGCGAGAAATCTTTTCCCCGAGCCGCATCTGTCACGGTGCAAGAGCTGCGATGCGTTTTCCTCTCAGTTGATATTAATATAATATACTTCCGTAAATCTCAAATTTGGGATTCTTAAAAACTCGTTAGGAACATTAACGAGCTTGCCTGGTCCTTGGTTCGCGAATTAAAATTGTAGATTCCATTCCCAGCGAGAGGAAAGGTCATCGCGAAAAGAGATACACGCAGCAGATTGCACTTCAAATGTTTTGTCCTTTCACGCACGCCAAACTCAACAAAGGACCACTCGTTGATGTAACTCTCTCTCTATGCGATGAATCAAATATTTGTCTAGGTTTCGAACAGCGGGAAAGCAGGCGTGTTCGAAAAAGTTGCCAATTTGGCACAGTCATTAATCAAATCTAGGAAAACTAATGGCGATAGAAGAAAAAAAATGCATATTATGGTGTTGGAAAACATAATGTTGACGATGAGAAACTATTTTTTTTTTTTGCTCATTTTTAATATCACTGTTTTGTTGAGATTTTGAAGGTAACTCAAATTCTAGAAGGATTTTTAATTTACCTATTAATTTTTTTATTTTAATTTGATAACATATTGAAATATAAATAATTTTAGGTGCAGTTTAAATTGAATTGTTGGATAAAAAGGCACCGGTTTTGCTAAAACTTAAGAGATCAAAATCCATCGAAGTGAAATGTTGATTTCATTGGGCGTTAATTATTTAAAAAAAATTGCAATAGGAAATAAAAAAATCTTATAGTCCACCCTGAACTCAAAATATGGCAAAATTGAAAACACCTAGCATTGTTTGCTATTTATTTGTAAAATCATCAGCTGTTTTAAGTTCAAAATAATTCAATGTGTGCTCAAATTTGAAGTTAGTTAAAATGTTAATAAAAAAAATCCAAAAATTTTTAACAGATTTTTCATGCTACGAAGCGAAAAAAGTTGAAGTTTTTTAAAATAGCCCATTGTTGTTGGTTTTGGTCAAGAACGCTTCTTTAATAGACACAAAAGGCCTTCAATTCAAAAAGGCGTTTGGTCAATAACGTGCGCACGTTTAAATGTCCCAACTCGAGGCAGCTCGCCGACGGCACCATGAATTACCATTAAATCCCTACTCCCTCGACTTCTGCCAGCGTGCGGAAAAATTCTCGCACCGTGGTCAGGACTGTGCACCGCGTCGTTCGAGTCAGTCACCGGTGCAAGTTTCCAGTGACCACTGCCGCGCACGACCAGGATGTCTGACGAAAGGTTGGAGATTTTCTTTTTTTGCCCATATTTATATATAATTGAATTTGCGGCTAAATTTGGCGCAGACTTTAGAGAGGAGCAGCAAAGGTCAGCCTAAAAAGCTGTTCTTAGAGATGCGAGAGAGAAAAACGAGTTTCGTAATTCGCTCGCTGCTATATTTGATAATGACCCAGTTTTGAAACTAAAGAGACATTATGCGTTACAGAATTGACACGCACGCCTTTGAAGATTCCTTGACTCATTGTTGTCGTTTATTTTTGCGATTCGGGAAAAGATGAGTGTTTTTTTTTTTTTTTTGGCGCGTTATCAGCGAATCTACTTCCGCGATTTTTGAATTGAGAATGAAATTCTAGAGATTAGAGAAAGGAAAAGGATATTATTTGTCTAAATGTCTAGGCTTTCCGGGGCCACGCACCACGGCGCAGAAGGTCTATTCGCGAACCAAAACACGAATTAAGAATTGCATCGTGATAAATGGTCATTTTTAATTCCATGATAGCTGCGGCCAAGGCTTGAAGGCTCTATTGTGCAAATTCTGAATAAAATCATTGAATTATAAGTAATTAAAGGAGATTAATAGAAAAATTGTGGCTTCTCAATTAATATTAATGTGGCCGTTCATTAATGCTGCTATGCTAATTAAAATTTTAGGCTTGGATGCAAGTCACAAGTATTCTTTCTCATATACTAATTGGTGGTAAAAAATATAGTTAAAAATAAGCCATTCATAAACTCCTACCATCACAATTTACCGTTCTTAATTATAATAAAACAAATCGTCAAAAATTTCAATGTTCATAATGAAACTTTTATCTAAAACTTCCCAATTTATTAATGTATTTTTCAATTTTTATTTGCACATCTGAAGTTTCACTCTTTAATTTATACTAGAAACATGAAATATATTATCTAAAAATGCTTATAAAGACACTGAATTAACAAATAATTATGTTTGTCAGAATTATAGCTGAAATCTAGAATACACTTAAGTTGTAGACGATGCACGTTTAGTGTTAAAAAAATACAATTAACGTTACTAAAATTTGTTGAAATGTAATTAAAAGAAACTAACAAAAATGAATATAAATCGAATAATTTAAAACTTTAAATTTTATAATTTAAAAATATCGTTATATGTTTAATATTAATTTATTTTTGTGAAAAGTAGTTACCATTATTATTGTTGTTGTTTTTGTACAAATTGTCGCATCACATTGTTTACGTTCAATAGTTGAAAATTGTTAAAATTTAATTATTTAAAATATACTTTTTGTTAAATTTATTTAATATTTTTATAAAGTTTGTGTGCAGATTAAATTTTTGGTAAAAATTGTTTCTAATTTTGGAATCAATACAAATTAATTTTTAAAAGGGAAATATTTCTATCAAAAATAATGATTATTTCTATTTTATTTGTATTTGTTCTTCTCAGTCAATACGAAACATTTAAATTGAAAAAAGTTCGATAGAATTTCTATCATAGAAACAATTTTAATTTTTTTTTATCTCTTCCAATGAAATTATTTTTAAAACTGTGTGTGCTTTTGTTTCAGGATGTCCCCACTGAACGGGCTGGACCCGTCGTTGAACAGGGTGTCGGCCATGATGAAGGGCAAGTGCTTCTTCATCACCGGCGGCACCGGCTTCCTCGGCAAGGTGTTGGTCGAGAAGATGCTGCGCGACTGTCCTTTGCTGGACACGATTTACCTTCTGGTCAGACCCAAGAAGGGCAAGGAGCCCAGCGCCCGCGTCGACGAGCTCTTCGAATCACCCGTGAGAGCTTTATTTAATTAATCAAATCCATATTCGAGTGCGGCCTTGTTTTAAAATTCACCGCCAACTTCGCCTCACCTTGTCCATTTATTGACTTTTTATAATATGTAAAATGCGCGTCCAAATAAAAACAAACGCGCGGTCGGTTCCTGTGTTGACTTCGCGACCGCAGAGGAGTCTCTCTGAATTCAAGGATCAATTCCGAAGAAAAAGTGTTCGGTCGGCGCTGAAGAGAAAAATAATAATCGATGACTGAAGAAAAACGTGCGGTCGGGTCTGGAATTTCCAATTCAGCGCTTTTGCAGGAGTTGACGCTGCAGAAAAGTTTCGATTTCAAAATCTCGGACGTACTGACGTCGGCTTCTAGTCTTTAACTTGCACGCTGATGCAATTTTCATGATTCGATAGAATTACGCTGCAAAGTGCATCAGGAAAACGTGTGCGAGTTAAAACTTTCTAAAATGCACTGCGCTTGTAAACTATATATTAGTGTAGAGATTTATCTCCGCATTCTCATTATGCAATTCAACCGCACTGCAAACTGGGGCGTGCTTTTTACTCATTTCACTTCTAACTGCACCGAGAGAGAGAAATGTGTGCTTCTTGCATCGTTTTTAATTGACAATTTGCGGCAATTTTGCGTCGAAAGCCGATTCACAGAATAAATCAACACCGCCGAGAGCGCCCCAAGGTCGAGGAAATTATATTTTACGTGCATGATGTCGCATAATTAACTTCCAAATTATTTGTTTTCACAGTAATTATTTGTAAAAAAAAATGCGAAACCCTGTGTCGTAGATTGGTGCAGAGTAAATTAATAAGTCGAGGTCGAATTTAAAATTTAAATTTGAAAAATAAAATTTTGTATTGAAGAAGTTCCAAAAAAAAAGCTGAAACATTACTGTAATGAAATTTTTAACAATTTAAATGCATAAATAAACAGCCATGAACTAAAATTTTTCTTAAGTGATGGCCAATGGAAAAGGTTTAAAGTTATCTATTTTAACTTCAATTAAAATTCCAATATACAATCAAATTTTGTATTTAATTATTTGTGTCTTCTCATTTAACAGTTTCGAGTAAAAAAATCAGCCAAATTTTTTCATGATTTTAATTTTGAATGCGTTTTTTTTTTAAATTCAAATCCAATGCAATCTGTCTATGGAGACAAAAGCTCGACTCCGCACAAAAAGAAAGTTGTCCGTCTGTGCATTTCGGTTATGATGCGTCACATTTATTATTTGCGGTATTATCTTTTTCGACAGCTTTTCTCCGACGAGAAATAGAAAAGAAAACGTGAATCGTCCGATTTTTCTTTTCCACGCGACCCGATTCTTGCGTTTTTTGCACGCAACCGGCGTTTGAAAGTCTGGCATCAACAATGAGACGCGAATAAATAATGGTATGCATCGCGCCGACCCAGTACCGAGTACATTATATTTTATAAAATTTAATTACCTTCACTTCCTGGTCAATTGTGAATCGTGCGAATGCAAAAAAGGGTCAAGTGGCAATGTGTATGTATTTGCATTAGACGTATTGATTTATGAACATGTCTGGTTTCTTTTTTAAATTTAAATTTCACCTTTTTTTACCCACAATTTTGAACATATTTGAGATACATTATCCTTTTTGCACAAACCACACAATAATAGTAATTTTTAAAAAAGGTTTAGTAGATTACGCAACATCCTAAAGTTTAATAATAATTAATTGTTAGCAATAGTACTAATTTTTCATAGTTTTTAAAATAAAAATGAATTTTTAATAAATGTTAACCATTTTAATTTTAATATTTTTAATAAATTAAAATTATTTTTATACTTAGTTTAAAATTGTAATTAATTTTTTTGGTTTATTCTTCTAATTATAAATTTTTTAAACCTTTTTTAATTTACAAAAAAGCAATGAAATATAGAAATCAGATTAAGCATATATACTGGAAACCAAAATCTTGTTCTTGTCTGTAGCATTGGGTTTGTAACAAGTATTAAAATTTTCATTTTTAATCATCAAATATGAAAAAGGCTTTTAAATAAAAAAAATAAAAAATAAAATAGAACCAACATTTGAAAGAGTGGCTCTAACCAATGAAACTCGTAATTGATAATAATAATAACATGCATCGCGCCGACCCAAATATTATTATATTTTATAAAATTTAATTATCTTTACTTCCTGGTCAATTGTGAATCGTGCGAATGTGTTATATGTATTTCCATTAGTCATATTGATTTATGAAAGTACAAAGTTTCTTTTTTTCAAATTAAAATTTCTAAATTTTTTTACTTAGAACAAATTGGTATGACTTAATTTTAAGAGTTAATTATGTATTATCAAAAGCCAAGCTTAAAACTACTTCGAGTAAAAAAATTTTTGCAGTGAAAGGACATAACAATTGGAGGAAAACTAATTAATACAAGCTGAAATTATGCAGCGCCAATAAATCATTTTCTATTGTATTGACGTGGAGATAAAAACTTAATAAGCCAAACTATAATATAAATGATTGATTGCCTACTTATTAAGCACCGAGGGTTTTATATAGAAATTTGCAGGAAAAAAAGTGTATTGCTCCAAAAGTATCAGTTTATTTTGGATCTAAATTATCAAAGCAAAAATTAATTTTCGCAAATTTTAAAATAAACAGGCTTTCACTTCCATTTATTGAAGATGGATTAATAAAATTAAATAAAAAAAAATAGCTTTGAAAGTAAAAGGAATAATTAGGAAAAAAATTATGTTTTTAATTAAAATTGTTAAAGAACTATTTAATCGCAATTTTAGCAAATGAGTGAATGCTCAGTTAATGCTGTCAATTTTCCAGATTTTTCTTGCTGGAAAATCTGTGTATTCATTGCTAAGGATATTTCAAAGCATATAGTTGATTAAATAATGCTGATCCCAGTTGACTAGACAGAAATTTAGTCTGGTAATTGCAAATTTTCTTAATAATTTCAAGTGTCTTGTTCCTTAAATTTATAAATATTCCTCGCTTCCTTATTAGATTCTGCAATTGATGTAAAGAAACTTTCACCTCATTTATAACATTTCAATAATAAATTACTCTCCAATTAATATTAACATGACTCCAAAAAATCCTAGCTTTTCATGTACATTGTCATTTGAGATCATGTTAATAATTTTTTGCTTTAATTTTTGGGCTAAATTTTTTTTTATCAGAATTAAAGTTTTTTTTTTAAGATGAATCAATAATAATTTTGTGTTCTTAATTTTTTTTCTTATAGTTGTTCGAAAGCCTGCGTAAAAAGCGACCAGAGGCTCGGAAGCAGTTGGTGGCGATCGCTGGCGACGTGGCCGAGAAGAACCTGGGCATCAGTCCGGCGGACAAGGCGGTCCTCGTCGAAAGGGTCAACATCGTGTACCACTGCGCCGCCACGGTGCGCTTCGACGAGCCCCTGCGCAAGGCCATCATGCTCAACACCAGAGGCACCAAGTTGGTCCTCGACCTTGCCGAAGAAATCAAGGCAAATTTTAAATTTTTCCTGAATAAAAAAAAATCTAATTTCTGACCAATTCAGCACTTGGAGTTGCTGGTGTACGTGTCGACGGCCTATTGCCACCTGAAGGAGGCCCTGCTCAAGGAGAAAATCTACGACCCGCCCGCCGACCCGCACAAAATCATCAAGTGCTGCGAATACATGGAGGAGAAAATCGTCGAGCAGATGACCAAAAGGTTGCCATTCAATATTTTTTAATATTTGAAATTTAAATATACCTAACAAGTTCATCTTTGCTGTAGTATGGTGGTGCCTTTTTACATAAAAAACTATTTCCCCCCCCCCCCAAACATTTGTAACAATTAGGACAAACAGGATTAATATTGAATTTATTTCAGGATTCTGTTGGACGCTCCGAACACCTACGCTTACACGAAAGCGCTCGCGGAAGGTCTTGTGGCCGAGAAAATGGACACACTGCCCGCAATCATTCTCCGACCTTCAGTCAGTAAGTGAAAAAATTAATTAAATCAGAAAAAATGACCCGCATTAATTTAATATGTTAATTATTTATTTATGTTAAAAGTGAATTATTTCGCTTTACTGTCTGAATGAATGGTATTCAAAAAGGGAAGCATAAATTATTACTTATCTAAGGGTTGATGAGAAAAAGTTGTGCTTTTGGAAAGTTTAGAAATTAACATACAAATTTGATTAGAAAGATATCATGATTTGCATTAAAGTTGGCAATTGAAGCTTAATTTTAAGTAAAACAAGATTAATTAAAAAAAAGCCGCGCTAGGACAAATAACTATTAAATTATAAGTTTAATGTGAAATTCTGAATATGAGCAAGAAAACCATTGATCGGAAAAATAATTTTTAAATGTCCACTTTAAATAATACATATAAAATCAGTTCTTTGAAAAAATTACTATAATTATATTTTAAAATAAAAATTTTACAATTAAAAATATTAAAAAAAAACTTTTTTTATATATATTTTTAATAATTAAATATTTAAATTACTGATCATAGTACTACCTTAAATTGCTCTTGAAAATTCATACTGAAACTGATAAATATTTTAACCAATTCATTATAAACACGGAATTAACAAAACCAACTGGCACGCACACATTTAGAATGGAATAATTTTATAAAAATATAATATATCTTTTGCTGCTTATTGAGTGAATGAACAACTTTCAATCAAATTTTGATTATAAAATTTTGGAATTACATGCATAAAATTATGAGAACCCCAACAATATCTCTATACGATTGATAAAAATTATCTAAATTAGTAGTTAATTAGTTAATTTACTAACACGATACGTTCCCTGAAATTTCAGTTATTCCAATCTGGAAGGAGCCGATTCCCGGCTGGACGGACAACATCAACGGCCCGACGGGCATTTTGATCGCGGCGGGCAAAGGCGTCCTGCGCACCATGTGGTGCAAGTCGGACACCTACGCCGACTTTTTGCCGGTCGACATCGTGGCCAACGCTCTTCTGCTCGCCACCTGGAACTACATCGAGAGAAAGTAAGATCTAATATTTTCAAATACCACAGGCTAATTTAGCTGACAAACACAAATCCTCTTCAACTTAACAAACAGCAGAGGCACTTTCAATTGCGTAAATATTCCGCAGAGATCAATTAGCACCAAGGTGAAAAGCAAGATTAACTATTTGCTAGAAATAATTAAAAAAGTGTGTCAATTAAACTAAATATTTGGAGGTAAAGAACAATTTTTAATATTTTTGTTAGAAAATTTTATAGATTTTACTTTTTTTCAGTTAATTAATTTTTTTGCAGAGAAACGCACAAGCGAGTGTACAACTTCACTTCGAGCGCCGAATTCAAGGTGACCTGGCAGGAGATCATTGACATTGGCACGAGTCTGGTGGAGAAGGTGCCGCTGAACGGCATGGTCTGGTATCCCGGCGGCTCCATGAAAGACTCGAAGACGCTGCACAAGATTTGCGTCTTCTTCTTCCACACCATCCCTGCGTACTTCTTGGACGCCATCATCATGCTGGCCGGTCACAAACCAATGTGAGAATAAATTCGGCGAAAAAAAAATGCAAATTTAAATGAAAAGGAATTTTAAGAAATACTTAAGTTATTTAATTGCACAAATCTTTAAAATCATGATTTCTCATTTAAATTAGTAGATTAAAAATTTAAAATATAAAAAATAATTACTTTATTTTTTTATTATACTTTTTTTTTGCAAATTTCGGCCATTTTCAAAAAGTGCATCACCCTCCATGTAAACCGAAAGTGTAAATTAATTGGTCTCAAATTTCAGTCTGCGCCGTGTGCAGGACAGAATAAGCAAAGGATTCGAGGTGTTCGAGTACTACGCCAACAACCAGTGGGACTTTGAGAGCAACAACATCCTTAACCTTCGCACAGTTGTCAGCGAAACCGAAAAGGATCGTTTCTGCATCCACGGTGATGACATGGACATGCACGCCTACTTTGAGGACTGTATCAGGGCGGCCAGAATCTACGTGCTCAAGGAGATGCCCGAGACACTCCCCGCTGCCAGGAGACACGCCAGGAGGTAAAAAAATTTCCACAAAAAATAAATTTATTTTATTGTAATTGCTGATTACGTTCCCACAATGCTTGAAAAATTTACGTTGGATGAAAAGATGAAGATAAATTTGACTAGATCAACTAGATAAGTTTTCTTAATTCTCTATTACTTTATATTGCTAAAATGTATTACTTTTTTCATGAATTTCATTTTTTTTTAAATTATAGAAATAAATTTTACAATTTTTATATAAGATTTCACTGATGTATAAATATTTTTAATATTTTAGCAATTTTTAGAGTTTGCTTTTAACTTCAAGTAATTTTTACATTTTTTTTATCATTTGATACAATATTTAATATTTAATTTACTTTTTAGGATGTACTGGCTCGACAAAATTGTGCAGGTGCTCTTCTACTATTTCCTCTTCTACATGGTTTACACTTACTCGTCCACGGTACGGACCGTGGTGGACTCGACATGGGACACGGCCAAGAGCTACGTGCCCCCCAGCATCATGGGCTCGACCCCCAATTGAGGAATGAATATGCAAATTAGCGAAATAGCTGTTACCTCACTCCCGCAACGCCTCTTGCCAAATGAGAAACAAATTGTCAGCTTCAAATTTTACAAAAAAAATTTCACCTTTTCTTGTGTAACAAAAAAACGTCAGCCAAACTTTAAAGCTGAGCAAACCCAATTGAATTATTTGGAATTGGTTCAAAATTAGAATAATTATCATTGATTAAATATTAAATCAAGAACTATATTGGACAGAATTGGTTTCATTCTTAAATTGAGGGAGAATACAGAAGAGTTTTTTTTTTTATTCAATTTTTTACTAGGAGAAATTCTTCTTGGCAAAAATAAAAACAAAAACTTGGGAATAATATCAAAATGTATTTAAAATTTCAATATTTTTCCTTATTTTCTTCCTCTGTGGAGATTAAAAAAAAATTATTCAGCATAGATTAAATGGATTAAATTTTTTGTTCATTTTACTGTTTTTTTATTTTTAAATTTAATTCTTCCACAGGTTCGTTCACCTTTCAAGTGGTTGGCGTCATAATAAACACATTCTTTTCCTCCTATGATTATAATTATACCATTTACATATTTCTCCAATTGAGAACCTTCTCGAGAGTTACTTTTGCTTGCACAAGACACGATGATTTTTAATTCTTGAAACGTCAAAATCTCTTCTATAATCCACGCCTCTGACGAGAATAATCTCGACTCAAGGCTGTCCTTGATTCTCCGGTTGCTGCACTTGGAGAAAATTGTGGAAAATAAAGAAGTGCACCTACCTTTCGAGCCGACCTGAACCTCTTGCCCATATTAATAATTTTTTGTATCATTATATATAATATTCTATTCTGTGATTATATTCTCAGCCGTTTCAAAGTAACACAATAAGTGAGCGACACGAGAGGAAAAATTATTATATTACTTTAGTTGAATCAATCTGCACACGTGATGCGGAGGCTCAAAGGGAAATTTGAAACCAATAACCTCTCTGGTGCAGAAAAACCCCGTTAGGAAATAAATAGTCTCACAGTTCACAGTCGCAGTAATTAATAAAATATTCAGTTTTGAAGATTGTTTATTTTTCTTCACTTAAATAAAATAAATATAAAAGGTATGAAACCAAACGCGAGAGCACTGCCCCTTCATGTTCATTATTTGTTCATTCATCCGATTTTATTTTCTCGCTGTTTTTAAAATTTACCAAGTTTGAACCCAATAGTTTATTTTGCGTTTGTTTTGCTCACGTTACAAAACAGTAGCCGTGCAGTCCAATGAATTCCCAAACACGGCCACTGTAAGGATTTGCCACACTCGCATTATTCCATCGTGTAAATAAAGAGTGGCGGCGATTTTAATGGCAATGAATTTTATTTTATTTAGGATATTATTCTTTCGCTATGTAGTGAGAATTGTATTGTTTTACTCGAATAAAATTTTTAAAGACAACAAATCTTGCATTTTGATGACATTGTTCCCAAAACCTTTCTCAAACAGCAAGTAGAATTAAAATAAATCTTAATTTGTATCAAAACCTTTATTGGATTTTGGTTTGATTAAGAAATAATGGAATCAAATACTCTAAACTAAAACAACTAAAATTTCAGTTATGATGAAAAAAATTGTTCTTTAACCAAAGTTATTTATTTAAATGTATACTTAATTTAAATTATAAAATATTTTGCACAGTATTGATCATTTTAATATTGGTTTGGTTCCGTTTGTATATTTTCTTCTTTAAAACTAAATATTTTCATTGAATATGTAATCATTTCAAAAACTGGGTGATTTAATTATATTTTTTGACTATGAACGTAAATGAACTGTTTTCAAATTCAACTTTCACTTTTCTATATATTTAACAAACATTTTATACTTTATAATTTTGTACAAACGGCATATTAATTTTTTGACAAAAAAAAAAATGAAAAAATTAAACGTACAGGGTTTGCTCAAAGCCGAAAAATTTGCATCTTTCGAAGAACATGTCCACAGCCTCAACAAAAAACCACACATCATCGCTCTCAACGAGCACTGGTGGTGTCGGGGCGATTACTTCAGTATAAAAGGCTACAAAACAATTTCATTTTTTGGCAGGAAAGAGAAAAAAGATAAAAAATCATACGGAGGAGGTGCTGTTCTTCTCGTCTCAACAAATGCTAATTTTAGCTACAAGAAGATTCCAACTTCTTCTATCGAAAATGAATTTGAGACGGCAGGGTGTGAAATTAAAATTAAAAAAACAACGTTGACGGTGTTTACTGTCTACCGACCACCCAATCACGGCACTATGGAGTCTTTCTTCGACAACCTGGAGAGTCTAGTGGAGCAAAATCTGGCACCAGAGAAGGAGATGATTGTTCTGGGGGATCTAAATATTAACCTGCTCCAGGACTCCGCCGAAAGCCGGAAACTAAATAGCATAATGAAAGGCTACGAGATGCACCTCATCAATAAAAATGCCCCAACACGAGAGACTGCTCACAGCAGCACACTCATTGACCACGCATTCACCTCCCTTCAGTGTGATGCTAGATTTGAAGTCAAAGAAGTCAATTTCTCCGACCACAACGCAGTGCACATCGAGTTTGAGGTTCGAGTAGAAGAAATGAAGGACTGGTTCGTCTTCTCAAGAAGCTATAATGATGAAAATTGGCTAAATTTCAAGGAAAAATTAAGTTACGAGCGCTGGCAGGACATCTTCGCCGCTACTTCAGCTGACACAAAGAGCCATTTGTTCATGGAAAAACTGAAAAAATATTTTGATGCGAGCTTCCCTTTGAGAAAAAATATCCGCAAAGCAAACCAAGCCGGGAAAATTCATCTCTCTGACTTTACAATAAACAACAAAATCAGGCTGCGAGAAATGAGTGAACAGCTACAAGAACTACGAAAGAAAGCAAGAGCAAATACAATCACCAATCAATCAGAAGCAGACAAGATCAAGGACCTGGAGCAGCAGGTGGCGAGCCTCAAAAGCTACGTCGGCTTCCTAATTAACGATGAGATCAGGAAAAACAATGAAGCAAAGCTCAGGAGTTCAAATAACAAAGTCTCAGCGGCTTGGAAAATCATCAAGGAGAACGTTGGCAATGAAATTACATCCACCACTATTTCAGAAATCTGCATAGACGGGCAAGAAGAAAAAGATTTGCAGAAAATTGCTGACTTCCTGAACACTAAATTTATCGAGCCACTTCCCGAAATGAGTGAACAAGAAATACAACTCGCCATTGAAGACGTCCCACTAGTGGAGACGATATTTTCACTTAATCAATTGACAACACCAGACGAGATTCGGAGAGTCATTGGCGCCTTTCCTGCAAAAAAATCAGCTGGCTGGGACGGAATATCCATGAGCGTCATCAAACAAATTTCCGCTTACATTGCCACGCCACTTTCGGATTTAATAAACTGTTCCTTCGTGGAGGGGAAATTTCCTGAAAATTTAAAACTGGCGACCATTGTACCTATCTACAAGAAGAAGGGCGAGGAAAACGACGCAGCAAACTACAGACCAATCGCTCTCACGTCAACGGTTGCAAAAATATTTGAGAAATGCTACCTAAATAGAATTGACGCCTACTTTTCAGACAATCAACTAATTCAAGGCTTCCAGCACGGCTTCAGAAAAGGCAAAAGCACGGTAACAGCACTCTATGACCTAGTCACGGACTTGCACTCGTCTATCGAGAAACGAGAGAAAGTGAACATGATCCTATACGATTTCTCAAATGCGTTTGGCTGCGTTGTGCCCGAAATCCTGATCGGAAAACTGAGATGCTATGGACTCGATGAAAAATCACTCTCTTGGATGAAATCATTCCTCACGGGTCGGAAACAAGTGGTTCAACTTAGGCACCTTGACGAAAACCAGACCATAACGAACGTAACATCTGCAACGTTGGACTCCTCCATTGGAGTACCGCAAGGAACGTCGCTAGGACCATTTAGTTACACGGCCTATGAAAACGACTTTTCGTTGGAAAGCGTAGCTGCCACCCTCTATGTCTTTGCCGACGATTTGACGAGCCTCGCAAGGGGTAATACATACACCGAAGCTAACGAGAAAACCTCGCAAGTAAACAAAAGTGTGGAGACCTTCGCCGAAAACAACCGTCTGAGACTAAATGCCTCAAAGACGAAGGTCATGCAAATTCACACCGCTCAGACAAAGAAGTTGGAAAAACCTTCTGTTCAACTTAACAACACGGAAGTCGAAGTGGCGAATGAGAGCAAGGTTCTGGGTGTAATATTCACTGACACAATGAACTGGCGTGCACAGTGCGAATATGCGAGTGGGAAACTAAGAAGTGCAACATACTTGTTTGTGAAAATGGGCAAGAGAGTGCCTAAGAGTAGTCTCAGACAGGTATACTTTGCATACGTGCAAAGCCATATCTTGTACTCGATTATTATCTACGGTGCCTCCCCATACTTTAATCTTGTCGCTATCGCGCAAAAACGGGTGCTGCGGGCTATGGCTGGCAAACGGTACTGGAAAGGACCCGATCCACTTGAGTCATGCAGACAACTATTCAAAGACTTTGACATCCTCCCAGCGTTTTCCTTGTACATATTGGAGTGCGCGAAGTTTGTAAAGAAATACCCTGATAAATTTGCCAGAAACAATGAGGCAGAGGAAGTTCACGTCTACAATACGAGAAACAAGCCAGTGAACGATGAAGACCTTCACATACCCCCAGTGACACTAAACTTGACAGCGCAAAATCCGGCGGTCATGATCGCTCGAATTTACAACCACTTGCCGGCCGAGTTAAAACAAATTGAAGATCTAAAGACATTCACCCTGAAACTGAAACAAGTGCTAAGTGAACACAACTTCTATGACATACACGAATACTTACTGTGCAGTTTTGACAAGTGAAATTTCTCGCGCTAATCTTATAGTTTTTTCCCTTTGCCCTAAGCAACGGGTTTTTTTCTCTAAATTTTAATTTTAGACCTGACATGTTCTAAAGACTACTGTTAATATTCTTGTCTAACAGAACAACAATAAAATTGAATTGAATTGAATTGAATTGATATAATTTAGATCAATGTCCTGATTTGGATTTACTGACTGTTTTTCAAATCTTTTTCCTTGCAAAAACTGTTTTCTGTTCTTTTTAACACGCAAATCATTGTTAAAAATTTTAGCCCTGACAAGAATAACGTGTACATAGAGAAAGTTCAAATAATTATTGAAAATAAATAAAAAAAAAATCATAAAAACTATAACTACTTTTTACGGGCAATATCCTCATAATTTGAAGGAACAGCAGGTGAAACTTTTTACTCAAAAAGTCATTGACTAAAGCAATAATCGACTTTTAAAAGTTTTCAAACTAATAATTTTATGGCACTTTTCTTTTTTTCTGTCCCAGAGTCTGAGAAAATGACGTTCATACCTGACACGCTAACTTGCTCAATTGCATTGAAACAATAAAAAAATAAAAAAAATGATTATTTCCACGAGTGCCAGATGTGAATCATTAATGAGCACCATAATTTAATATAATATGAAACTCATTACGCTGATATTATTTATATATTTGTTGGCGACGCCTTGACACACAAAATGGGGGAAAAAACGTCGGCGCCGCTGAGATTCTCTTGGGAAGTTGAAAACACTCAGCACGCGTTCAATTTTCCCTGTGTGAATCTCTACTAGGAGATTTTTTTCTGCAACAGGAGGTCTTTTTTCTCATGTGCAATGAGCTCTTAAAAGGGAGAGACACGCCGACAGGATTTGCGCTAGACGCGATTTTTCTCCCATTTGAAAATAATTGTGCCTGTTTGAAATTCTGAAACTTGAGAATAGGTGTTTTTTTTTTCAATCTTATTGCGTTTTTTTTTCTTCTTCAAATTCTTTAATAAATAGATTGTCAATTTTCATCATCTGAGCCTGAATCGTCCCAATGCGTGGAGTTTGTGATTTACAAAATTTGTCTTTTTCAACAATGACGCAAATTTGCATATTTTTTTATTCACTGCCCACGCAAATTTTGATGATTTATGTGTCTGATTCTGACAATGGTGAATAAAATGTGCTTTCTAAAAATGGAAATAACTAAGGCCAACATTAATCTGTTCAAAAGTTACAACAGTTCAAACAGATCAAGTTTATCATTGTTATAAATGGAAGAAAAATCGCGTCTAGAGCAAATCCTGACTGCGCACCTCACTTTTCAATAGGAAAGACTAGAAATGTTGACAAACCCGCCGCTCTCGGAAGGAGCCCTCTCAAGCTATCGTAATCAATTCTTTTAATTAAACAGCACTGCTGCGGAATTCGGACGTGAGGTCGCTGCCGAGATTCGTTTATAAGGTCGAGTGTTTCTCTCTCTTTTTCTCTTAAGGTGCCAAGTTCAGCGGTGACGCAAAGTATAAAATGATCTCTTTCACTCGCTCTGCACCTGCACAAATTTGCAAGCATCGCAACGCCAGCCTTGCTGCACCTTTCGGCGCTGCCCAACCTTTGGCAACAATTTACAAAATAAATTATCGATTTCCGTTTTGGAGATTCAATTAATTTATATAGGAAGTAAAAGTAAATTATAATTTTGACTTCGGGAAATTGTGAAAATATAATTCTTACAAATTCAAATTGAATAAGTATTTTGAGAGACTGATTTTATGTTAATAGATTAATTATTTAAGTATTGAATATTAACTTTCCGCTAGTGATTTTACATTGTCATTGTACAGTACGTCAAAATGATTTCATTAAGTTAATTTAAATTCATTACTTCTTTTAATAAACTGCTAAATAAATAAATATTTCTAAATAACTTTTTAGTTTTAAACAATGTTTTACAAATAAAATAAAAACTTTTTATAAGCAATAAGTATTTTGATATTTTTTAAAATATTTTTAACTTTGCCGAATTTAACTGTAATTTAATTTTTATTTTTAAATATTTGCAATACTTTATATTTTATTGAATGCTACAAGCCACAAATAATTAATTGTTTCGTTTGAAAAATAATTTTTTTTTAATTTATTAAATAAAATGAACCCACTTTAATAATGAATATATACAATCCTGGAAACTAGATCTCATCTTCTTGTAGATTTCTTGTTGGCTTTTAAGATATGGAATGAAAGATATTATATATTAATATTATTAATATTTGTAATATTTATTAAATTACCTAGACTTCAACATTGTTCAAAATAATTAAGAATGATATAAATTTAAACTTATATTGATTTTTACCAACATTTGTATTAACGCGGTATCAATTTTTGCATGAAATCCTGTTGAAGTTTTTACTTTTTAATAAAAATTTCAGTTCCAAAGGCTCATTATCGACAGATGCATTTATTATGAAATATTAAAGCCAAATTTAACTTAAATTTGCTAATTGTTTCAAGTGAATTTTCCTGATTAGCAGACTCAGATTGCCAAATTAAAGACGCAGAGGCCGAAGTGTGAAACGGTGATGAAATCGGCTGTTTTTGAGGATGTGAAACGCGGACAAAGAGGGTCGCCCATTGACCGTAGCGTGCGATGCTGCACCGTCATCTTTGTTCTTTTAGAGGACTATTAAGATCAAGGCCTGGGCCGGCGAAGATATATTCAAAGAAAGAAGTGTTAACTAGCGCGTCGTTTCTTTCTCTCTTTCTTTTATTTTGTACGAAGATATGCATAATAGTTTATTTACATTTTTGTCACCTTGACATTTCGTCTCCTCAACCTTTGCAGTCGATCGAGAACAATGAAGGAAATAATCAAACCCTGTCGCCTGAGCCGGTGTGAACTCGATTCTTTTATTTTTTCATTGGCGCTTCTAATCTTGACGTAATTGTGTTTTCAGATTCAATTTCTGGAATGAGTCAGCCAAGGGGGGCAAAAACTGCTCGAACAATCGCTGCTGTCCTAAAAGATAAAGACGACAATAATAAATTATATTCAATAACACGTCCGAGTACCTTCAGCATTTTCCTCAATGACATAACAAATAAGAGCGTTTTTATAAGGAAAAAAGCTTTAACATTTTAACAACAATAATTTTCCTATAGTCGGGAGAGAACAATAAGGTGTCCCGCGGGAACAAAAAGTCGGGATTTCCCAGCAGGAAAAGTTTTGTTTTTAATTTTTACAGCAAGAAAAAGACATTTTTTTTCTAAACATTCTGATTTGCAAGTTAAAAAAATTTGAGCCAATTCTGCATCGCAAACTTTCAGGGACAAGCTAAATTTTAACATTACCTTCATTGCTAAAATTAACAATTATGCGTTCACAAGAATGCTGTAATGTAGCCTTTTCTAAATCAAACAATGTTAGGCTGTTTGACATTCTTATAACCAAATTTTAACCTCTAATTTATTTATTTTTTTATGCCTAAATTTCGCTAGCCTTCTATGCACGCAAATTTCATTTTTGAAATTACAGATTCATTCATTCTTGAATTTTCATTCTAAAACATTTAACCATAAGCCCTAGTCTTTCCGATTCAGAGAAATTGTGGAATTCTGATTCTGAAAATATTTTATTTGAGAAAAAAATTTATATTTTGACGAAAAAAAGTGATTTGCTTTAATTTTTTGTACAGAAACAAAATTGAAATAATCTCAAATCTAATTTTTACAATTTTTTTTTGTAAGCAACGTTTTTACCTAAAATTTTAGACCAAAAAATGTTGGCTTTTTCTCTTCAGTCTTGGTCATTTTATTTTTATCTTATTTGACAAAATAAATCACCCATCTTCAAGTAAAAAAGTAGAGGAATTTTATCATCCGAAGCCATAACATATATTTAAATTCGAAGGCGTCAAGCCTCTGGCTAAAGGACATGTTAACTATGTAGTGCGGACTGGAATTCCCCGTGAAACCTGTCTTCTTAGACGGGAATGTGGTGGATAGCAAATTTTTGCACAGGTTCATGGCCTTGGGATTTTCAACTAATAAAAAAATGTTATCTTTAGTTTGTGTGCCATGCAAATTTTAAATCTCTCTCACGTCCTTATTTATTCAAGTCTTTATTTTGAAAAGCATTTTAGACCAACTTCTTAAATTCAATCTGTAGATTCACAAAATATTTTGTTTATTCGCCACAGATTAGTTCTTTTTCACTGGCCTTTTTTATAAAAAAATTTTAATTTTTTTTCATGCCAAGCTAAAAAATTATGAGTGACTTTTTAATGGAAGCAAAACAATTATCGGTTCTCTTTACGATTCAAAAACGCTCGAGGAATTAGGGAAAAAACATGGATTTTGTGTGGGAATTTTGTGAAAGTGATTCATCAAACAATCAAAACACATACGAGGGAAACAGCACATGACAGAAGAAAATAATTTACCAAATGTTTTTTAATTAACAATGTCTTATAGATTAAAATGGAAATTCACACTAAAATTCGTTAAATGTTATTGCTCTGCTCAGCAAAAATAATGACCTTTTAACCTTTGCGTAGTGACGTGGTTTCGAATTTTTTATGACTCCAACAGTGTATAAATCACTTTGTAAAAGACCATTTGTGCTGCAACTTTGACAAGTCATAATTATGTTCAATTTTTTTGCCCAACTTTAAGCTGAACTTTTGAACACCGTCTATACAATTAAAATTTCTGCACATGACTTTCAGAAAATAATTGCGGTAAAAAATAAAACAAAAACCGGCTGAATTGCAGTTTTGAACGCCATTTTACGTTTTTCTTTTAAAGCCAGACTTCAGTTTGCCCATTGTCTAAAATAACTTATCATTCAGGACGGAAAAAAAATCAATTTTTTACATTAATTTTAATTAAGTTTCTTAACTTGGGTTTGGCCCATGTCTCGTTTTGCATAGATGAAGCCACCTGGAAGTTCAACAGCACCTGTATTAATATCTCGACCGACTGAGGACGCCCGGCCTTGGTGCATTTTCGAGCGCTTTTGCAGCCGAATCTATTCCAGAGCCGGTGTTCCATGACCGCAATCGATTCTCGCGCTTTTTGCCCTGCTGGTCCACACGTCTACACGTGGTCAGGCCCTGATACCTGAATTTTAATTGGCCGCAAATTTGCACAACAAACCTTCGCTGAACTATTGTTCTGGAGGGAAAACGAACGCAATACGTTTGGAGACAATTTATAATAATTATAAATAATTTTTAATTATTGTAAAAAATGAAACGGTGAAATAATCCGGACTTAATTAATGATGTTCAGGAAGATTTGCCCTCAGGCTTTGAAAAAACCTTATTTTTTGCCTCTAAACTTGAATGGTTTTTTTTTACTAAGAATTTTTACGATCCCTGTTTTTCAGGAAACTATTTTGCAATTTTGAAGAGAGTCGGTGCGTCGGTCGGCGCGCACGTCGGACGTGGAGGAGCGAGCGCAGGGGTACTCAAGACTCCAATTGGAGCCGCCGCGACAGCCGAGAAGGGGCACCTCAATGAGATCCGACGCTGCAGATGCATAAATACAAGGCGTACAACTCGACACGCGCTCTTAGTTGAAAGTTGTTCGTGTGAAAGTCCAGCGAGCAGAGTGCGTCTAACTAAGAGCAAGGTTAAGGATACCAACCACACTCGGTCGATTCGAACATGTAAGTTTTCAAAATATTCATCTACTTTTGTCTCCTGCTCATCAGCCGGAAAGGCTCAAAATTGGGAATTTAAAAAAAAAATGCTATAATTTATTTTTGGCAGTTTTTAGCGAATTTAGGTTAAATTAATAATTAACATTGATTTACTTATTGAAAAATAAAAATTTTTCATGAATATATATTTTATAGTTAAATTAGACACTTTTTTATTATTTATGTTTTAAAAATCTTTTAATTTTTTATATTATAAATTAAATATTTTTATTAAATTTAACAGAAACCTTTTTCAAAAATTTAAAACAAGATCAATGCGTTTATTTTTATTAATTATATTTGTGAGTGAATGAAAGTTCCCATTTATATTTTGTGTTTAATTGCAATATAGTTCTTTAGTATATGGTGTGTTCTTTTTTTAGAATTTAAATGAATAAATTGCACTTGAAATAAAACTCCTTCATCCTTAATATCAATAATAGTTTTTCTTTGAACTTCGGTGTTCAATTTCTTGAAGTGCCACGACTTTAATTTCACCCTATTATAGTCGTCGTCGTCGTCTTTGTTTTATGAGAGTGTATCATTGTCGTGCAAACAGGTATCCCGTGGTTTACCCTTGATTGTGATGCTAAACATTAGCTAACGATCCAAGAAGGAACTGAAAGAGATGAAATAATGCGGCAGTCCGCATCTCAAAGCCGCCCATTAACTGCCGAGTTGGATATTTCCAATGCTATCAGCACCGCAAGAAGTGCAATACCTTGGGATAAAAACACTGCACTTTCCTATCGCATCAACCTTGTTGTTATTTTTCTGCCTCTCGCGCGGCGGCGTCGGCGTTTCTATCAAAATCGAGAGCAATAAATGCCAAAGAAGGACGTGCGGCTGCGTAATTGAAATCGCAAGCAACCTGCTTTATGCCGAAAAGGGTTAAAGTAAAAAAAGGTTGTAATTTAGAGAGTTCCTTTTTGCTCCTTACATTAATCAACTCGCAAACTTCCTGCATAGTGGGCCAATAAACTTGCGAAACTCGGCACCGGTTTTTTGTTCCCACTGAAAGGGAAGTGCGCGAATGGTTCCGTTCTATTGGTTTCTCTTTGATCGATATATATTTTTTTTGGGAAAAAAAATCAGTCGTTTATTAGATAATATTACGGGAAATGAGAAAGCGCGGCAAAAATTTTGTTTGATCGCGATGGCGCGAAGCAGTTTGATCAATTTATCTCTCAATCAATTTCCGCACTCCGGTGATGCGAGATTCCCGTTGCTTTAAACAGCCTTATATGAGACTATATGAAGCATTACTTTATAAAAATAGAGGTTTAATTTTATTTTAGAAAGCATGATGGGAAATACAAGTACAGTTTACATTTTATTTTTAAATAAATCAAATAAAAAATCCAAACTTTACCACAAAATCGGGCGTTTAAATCTCTAAATTTTACTGATAATTTACTATTTCAATATTTATGCAGAAAAAAGACTTTTAACCGATCTGAAAAAATTAATAATTTTAACTTGAAGATAATTTTTTATATGATTAAATTTAGAATGTGTTGATGGGTCTGTGCAGAGGAGGACTAAATAAAAATAGAAGCGGAATTTCACCCAACACGCCACCAACCAGTTTCCGCGCTGAGATTTGTAATGTTTTGACAGATGCGCAACATCTCTCCAGACTTTCTATTGAACAAACACTGACCAGCTTGTTAGCATGCGTTATGTAGTTTATTTTTATTTTTACCTCATTCACAGCCCCGGCCCCTATAAGTGCATTTCGAGAGCGAAAACGGGAGACAAAAGGAGAATGATAAAATAATAATGCCGCGTGCCCAATTAGTTAAAAGGTGCTTAAAATTGTGGGTCATCATGTCACCATTTTTTTAATTGAAGAAGCTACTAGAATTTCTGTATAAATAAATAAATTAATTCTTGATTAGTCAGCGAGAAGTGCGTTTCTTCCATGAAATAAGAACAAATCCTAAGACCAAAACTGGTATTTTTTAGGAGCCTATAATTTATTTATATGCAAGTTTTTCTAGACAATAAAAAGCCCTTTTTATCTTCATTCTTTGAACATCTCCTCAAGTGCCCATTTCTTTGCAAATTTACTTTTTTTATTATCTGATATTTATTGCTGCAGTTAAATTCTATTTAAAGCAAGATCACAATCGAGGGGTGACTCATCTTGCGTTACAAATTAGCGATGTATTAAAACTTGAAGTTTCCTCAATGACTTCTAAGAGACGTTTATTGCATTTACTGCTATTCAAGTATAGAAAATATAATAATTCACTTCCCAAACAACCCACTGAGTGAGTAGACACCGTTTTAATTCAAAGAGCATCAATTTATATAAATTGAAAAGTTGAGAGACAATGTTGAAGTAAAACGTAATTGTAAAACTTTATTTGTTAAATTCACATCTTTTCTCTAAATTATATTTAATTTTTATAATTTTGAATGTATAAATTTAATGATTTATCCCGTTATGGGAAGCAATTGTGAGAGATCAATAAACACAATTTGCAACTATAACGTTGGTATAAATTTTTTAAAGGAAATGAACTGAAATTAGAATCTCCTTTTTGTAATTCTTGTAAATTGAAGTAAATTAAATTAACTCACAACTCCATTTAAACTCACCTCAGTGAATGGTATTCAGGTTAACTTTACTTTCATAATATATCTTGCAATTAGAATTGAAAAATCTATTGAAATTACTTCCTGGGATGGCTTTTGTATTGCAGGTTGCAAAGTCAAATTTTAAATTATTTTATTTTAATTTTCAAAATTTAAAAGATGAAAATAATTGTAGGAAAGTTTACTTTAAAGATTTAAAAATAAAATTCACATACATTACTTAAAATTAAAATAATATTTTAAAATTTTAGTGATGAATTTTGTTGCAAATAGAAAATAATTTCAAGAATTTTTGCACAGCACGCCGAAAGAAAGGAAATTGATTACGCGAAGAAAAGTGCATAACTTTCTTACTCCACACATAATAGTCGCGTAATAAACGTGACTAGGTATGTCGTGGTTGTTTCTTGTTTGCGTCCAGCCGGTTGGTTACGTATATGTTGAGAGGACGTTGACGCCGCGAGTGTTGAAAGCGATTTACCTTGCATTTTATTTATTTTTTTTTTTATCGAAATCATGTCACCAGGAAAAGAGGATAAAGAAATAAAATGCAAATAAATTGCATCCATCCGACGTCCTTACAAAGTGTCAAGTCGTAAATAAATCACTCAAAGGAAGGATCGATTAGAAGGAAATGAGATAGACACGGCGATGCCACCGCGAAAAGTGGATCAAGGGCGGAGTTTAATTGTTGCCGCGCCGCCATTCATGCGATTGCCAAAATATTCTAAGGTTAACCTGAAGCTTTTCTTTCCCAACAACTTGAGGCTTTCGGTCGAAAATTATTGGCAATTAAACCTCTCTCGTCTCTTTTCTTTTTTACCGCTTTTATTTTAATTATTGTTGTCGCGCGAGCAGAGAAAGTAGCGCACAAGTGTCTGACCGAGTGAAAGAAAAATATCTCGTACGTGTTTTTCAGGCCGCCGCCTTGCGAGCTGCTGGACGACCTCATGGAGCCGACGGAGCAGATCCAGCCGGGCATTCCCGACTTTTTCCGCGGCAAGAAAATTTTCATCACCGGCGCCACCGGATTCATGGGCAAGGTGCTGGTCGAAAAACTTCTGCGATCCTGCCCTGAACTCGGCACCCTGTACCTGCTGATGCGCCCCAAGCGAGGCGTCCAGCCTGAACAGCGACTCAACGAACTCCTCCAGAGCAAAGTAAACAAAATATAAAATAGTAATAATTTGTCTAGTAAAGAAAGAGGCAGCTATTTTGACTTAGATTTGGGCTAAAAAAAATTAAATAAAATTCAAAAATTCTTGGAAGTGCTTGAATTATTTTTTCAATTTTGTAAACTTTGATCTCTTTTTATTAAAATTGCATATAATTAAGTTTTTTCTAACTAATTTGAAACGGTTATAGTAATTTTGTATTGATTTTTAAAAAATGTAAATAGAAATTCAAAATATTCTAATAATTTTAAATTTGTTTATTCATTTGGCAAAAAGGGGAAAAAGTAATTTCTACGTACACATATTTCGAAACAGAATGAAATTTTTTTTAAAGATTTATTGTCAGAATAAATTTTGTAGCAAATTAAATGCAACCAAAAACGATTTTTTTTCCACCGGTTTAAATTAAATAATTGAGTTTTTGAACCTCAATAATGTTGAGACCTTTTTAATCAAAATTTTGTCCGAGAACCTTCAGACTTAATATTTTTTTATCTCAAGTTTCAATTTTTGAGGAAGAGTTTTGAATTTATGTTCTGAACAATCACGAAAACATTCCGATTCCTCAAAATGCCCATCACCAAGTAATGCAACTTTGCAGTTTTTCGCCAGACTGAGGGCTGAGAGGGGCGAGGAAGCCATCGCCAGTCAGATCAGAGTTGTTGAGGGCGACGTGTCCAGACTCGGACTCGCCATTTCGAATCCACTCAGAAAGGAACTGTGCAAGTGAGTAATCTTTCAATTAACACAAGTGAGCGTTTAAAAATATTCAAATATTATTACACGGAAGTTTATTTATAAATTCACATGAATTGGCTTGGCAAACATTTCTTTAAATTTTTTAAATAAATTCCTGCGTTTGTTTAATTTTACTCACAATCAGGACTAAAATATCTGATGATTTAACTAATAATTTCCGCAGAAACGTGAACATTGTTTTTCACGTCGCCGCCACAGTGAGGTTCGACGAGCCCCTGCGCAATGCTGTGCTGCTGAACACGCGAGGCACGCGAGAGCTGCTCGCCCTGGCCAAAGAAATGACCAACCTGAAGGTAAATCTCTTTGGCTTTTATGTGCAACGTCTGGTTTTTAATCGTTCTGACGTCACTGAAGCATATATGATTTATTCAATTCCCATTGCAATTGCTATAAATTTTCCTCTCAAAGTCATATAAAAAAAAATTTAATGAGATTTATTGTTAAATTTGATGATATCAGACTTTAATGATGGGGTAATTTGATTCCTTTGCAATATAAAATTAACATAATAATTGATTTCCGGAAGGAGTCGGAGGAGATTAATAAAAGGGAATATTATTTGATTTTTTATAAGGTCATTAAATTAATTATTTATTAAATTTTTTCTTATTTTATTTATAAATTTTTAATTTATTTGTTGTTTATTACTAACATTGCTATAATCACGCGGTTAATATTAAATTTGTATGAAATAATTATTCAATCATCCTGAAAACTTTGTTTTATTTGAATTTTGATAGATGCAAGCTTTAGTATTTATATTAAAAATATTAAAATCAGAAAATAAAATTAATTCCAGTTTTTCATCTCAAATTTTCTGTAAAAACTTAATTATTTAATTGTAACTAATATCAGAAAATTTAAATTGAATTATTTCATTAGGCATTGGTGCACGTTTCGACCCTGTTCGCAAATTGCCATCACGACCACGTGCTCGAGGAAGTGTACCCGACGAACGCCGAGCCGGAAAAGCTGATCAGCTGCGCCGAGTGGATGGACGACGCCTGGCTAAACCTGCTTTGCCCTGTGTGAGTTCAAATAGAGAGCAAAAAATATATTGAACGCCGCTTGCGACACGCAGAGTGGCTCGCGGCCGGAGCCTTGAGAATTACCGAGTTAACAATAAATAAATCGACTCGAGCATTTACACAAAGCAAGCAATGTGCTCCACACCAATGCCATTCCGGTTGCATAACTTTGATCTGCGAGTTATCCTTCGAGACTCGTATAATAATATGGCCTAGGTTTTAAATTATTTCTTGATTAATTGTTCAATTCTTCCTTTCTTTTATATTATTTTCCTAAATTAAGATAAATCAAAAAATTCAGATTGGAAGAGGATCCTTGAACATTTTTATGAGTTTATTAATTTTCTGAATTTTCTCGCTTTTAATTTCAGTCTGACTGAAGAGAGGCCGAACACTTACGTCTACACAAAGAGCCTTGCCGAGAAATTAGTTTCGGAGGCGTCGAAAACGCTCCCTGTGGCCATTTTTCGCCCTAGCATTGGTACCGTATAATTTAATAATCTAAAACGTGCATCACTTACCTTTTCGTTGCCCTGCAGTAATGTCGACTTTGCAAGAACCGACTCCGAGCTGGGTGGACAACTTAAACGGACCGTCCGTGGTGGTCCTGTCCGGTGGCAACGGCATGTTGAAGAAGATGCTGTGCCACGAGGAGAAGGTCGCGCACGTGGTGCCCGCCGATTTGGCCATCAACGCGATGATCACCCTCGCCTGGTACCTCGCCATCTGCAAGTGAGCAAAAGAAATTGGATTTTTTTATGTAATCAATTATTTATAAAACTAGAAAGTAGTTAATTTGCAAGGGTAAAAATTATTAAATAGGAACATTTATCCAATCATATTCATGAATTATTTAAAATTTTTCACGTTATTGACATTTTATAGTCTTTTAGAATATTTCAGTTTCCACTACAAATGTATTATTTGATTGAATTTTATTAAAAAAATTCATTATAACAGCAGAACAGAGGAATTTTTCATTTCAACAAGTAGTCAGATTAATTTAGAAAATTTATGTGAAGAGAAGATTGAAACTATCAAGTTTTTTTTATGAAGAGGGAGAATTTGTTATGGGGGAAAATAAAATAAAAATGTTTATTTAAAAAACTCTTTTATATTTGTTCATTTTTAGACTATGTTTCTATTTTCCATGAAATGCAAAACTATTAATTTGCAAAATTTATTACTATTTTTTTCAAAAATTGCAGACCCAGCGAGTGCACCGTTTACAATTTCACTCCTCCTGACGGTTTCGGACCGACGTGGCAGCGATTTGTGCACAACATTCAGCGCTTTTACCGCCAAATGCCGTTCAGCGCGTGCACCAGCGTGCCCACTCTCGAGCTCTGCAAGTCAAAGGTCAGCGTCAAGTTGTCCAGCGTCTACCTGATGATGTGGGCCTACCTGGCCGACCTGGTCAACGTGGTGATGGGCCAGAAAAAGAGGCCAGTTTTGTTATTTTTGTTAAATGAGAGATGATTAATCGAAAAATTGCAGGTTTGCGAGACTTCAGGACAAGGTGAACGCGGCCATCAACAGCCTGACCTACTTCACCACCAACCAGTGGACGTGCGACACCGAAAACGTGACCCGAATGCTCAGCTCCCTCAGCCCAATTGATCACAAGAATTTCAACTTCGACCTGAGGAAAATCCCGTGGGACGATTACATTTTTGAATACGGAGTCGGCATCAGGCAACACATCATGAAGGACGAGCTCGCGACCGTTCCATCGGCCAGAAAACGCGTTAAATGGTAATTCAATTATTTTATCCATAAATTTTTAACCAATTTAAGAAAAAAAATCAGCAAAAATATTTAGAATTCTCCATTTAAAGACATTTTTCTTTACTTCAAAAGTTTCTTATAAAACTATTTTCCAATTGTGAAAAATATTTAAGGTTAAAAGTTTGTATTAAGTCTAAGGAAAAACGTAAGAAAATAAGATCAGAAACGCGAAAATTTTAAAATTTATTTACCTGGAAATACTTATTTTTAATAATCATTTGTTTTTATGTCACAATTTCCAAATATATTTGATATCTCTGTGGTCAGAGGTCAGAATGATTTTTTTTAAGTGAATTGGGATTTCGCTAATTGAAATTATCCGCCATGAGTCGTGATCATTGGAATATTTCAAATCGAGTTTAATTCAAATTATCGACTAATAATATACGGATTTTCTGTATATGTTTAGCAAATAATAATAGTATTGGACAGAAAAAAAAAACATAAACAAATTCTAAAGTTGAATATTATGTATAATATTTCTAGGTCAAGAATTATTACTTATCTTATATTGAAATTGTGAAATGCGCCAATAGAAAATAAATAGTAAAACGGCAACAGCAACGAAGAATTATAATTTCTTTAATATTTCTCAATCTCATGAGCATTCGAGCAATGATGTTGACAAACTAATTTATGTTTAAATTTGGTTTTAGAATGTAGTTTGAATTTATTGCCTATTAAGTTGCATAATATTTGTTCTTTGCCTAAAAATATGTTTTAAATTAATAAATGCACAATTAAATCTTATTTTTAAATTAAAAAAAAATAAAATACTTGAGAAATATTTAAAAAAATAAAATTTTAATTTTAATTTTGAATAACCTTTTTCAGGATAAGATGGGCCCAAACCGCGATGTCGTTTGTCTTCCTGGCCATTCTGGTGCACTTCCTCGCGTCCAGCTACATTTACCCGCTTGAACACGTGGTCACGTCGCGTCTGCAGAGCGAGTCGAGTGCGACCAACAGCGTGGTCACCTCGTCCAGCGTCTTCACCGCCAACAACGACAACCTTCTCCTAAGTTCCATTATATGAAAAACCACGATAACTTTCTGTTTATTTAATGCACCACTCACTATCGATTGCTGTTGTTTCCCTTAAGGAACACTTTGTTGACATTTTGAATTTTTGCCTCTGGGAGATTTTCTTTTTCTCAACCGAGCAAGCACAATGTACTAGGGCTGTCTCTTTAATATTATATTCTCGTTTCTCGTAAATTATTATTCTCTTGCAAAATAAAATTTGAGCGCTGCTGTGACTTGAACTCTCATCGAAAGGCTCAGGGCTACGATATCCTGTACATACAACTAATTGCGACCACTATTTATGCATTTTACGTATAAGAATTGTTAATCTTATATAATTATCTCAATTAAGTTAATAAGTAAGCGATTGATTGTTGATTAAGTTTTACGGCCTTTATTAATTTGAATAAAGAAATCACGTGTTAATATTTCAAAATAAAAACTATTTTTTTTAAATGCCTTTAAGATTAAGTCTTTTACTCTGGGATTTAGTTAAACTAAAACGCACTGCAAAAAACTGGTTAATTTTTTTGATGCTTTATTTATTGTAATTTTTATTTCCTTTCCGTTTACAAGGAAGTAAATTTGACACTTTAAATAAACCGTGTTTTGCTAAATAAAGCAAGGCTGGATTAGGCTGAAGCCTCGGAAGTTGAATTCGCAACCAGTTATTGATTCATTAGATAAATTATTTGAAATAAAAAAAAACTATTAATTTAATTTTCAATTTTTTAACTGTGAGATCGCGAAAAGGAATTACCCCTAGAATTCATAGCCGTCTCAAACGATTTAATTAAAAATTAGATCGATGAATTTTCGTCGGACACGTCATCAGAGTTTTATGCGAAGAGGGCAGTCGATTGTTGCATAATTGTTCATATGTGTCGCGTCATTGCGTTTCCGCTCACCGAATTCCCACGGGGTGAAGTTGAGCGGCCGCGCACGGACGCATCCTCGGCCCACTTGCCCGGCGGCCGTCGTCGCGCGTTCACCGGACTTTTGACTTTTGAAAGCCAGGGCGGAAAAATGGAGGACGATCTCATCCAATTCGACATGCCTACCATCCCTGAGTTCTTCAAGGGCAGGTCGATTTTCATCACGGGCGCCACAGGCTTCATGGGAAAGGTATGCAAGATTTGCAAGAAATTTTTCCCTTCAAATATTGCAACTTATTGATGAAAAATAATATTTATTAATATATTTTTTAGAAATAAATACATAGTAAAAATGCATTTTTTTTTACTTAAATAATTTCTTTGATGAATGTAGATTGAATATAAATTAAAACATATGTTCAAATCAATTAATATCATCAAAATTGGACCTTGCCATAAAATTGCCCGGTTTCTGTTTCCATTTTCTCACGAAATCATCCCTGATGTCATTTTTTGAATTCAGAAAAATACAGACAAAAAGGGGGATGAAAAAAAATTATAATAATCGTTATCATTACTTTTAGATATACATTTATATAGATTTTTTTCTAATGTCTCCTTTTATTTAAGATATTTAATCAAATAATTTAGTGTGGAGTAGAAATTAATTGTTAATTTCAAAGGTTTTGGTGGAAAAACTGCTGCGATCCTGTCCCGAACTGGACACAATTTATCTGCTCCTACGGCCGAAAAAAGGTCACTCGGTGGAAGAGCGCCTGGACGAATTTCGCAATTCCCAAGTAAATTATTAATTTTTTTTTAATTATCAAATAAAATTCGAAATTTTTAAGGTTTTTGCTCGGCTGAACGAGGAGCGTCCGGGGGCGTCGATGGGCACGCAGTTGGTGGCCGTGGCCGGCGACGTGAGCGAAAAGGGCTTCGGGCTGAGCGAGCAGGACCGCGACACTTTGGTGCGCCACGTTTCCGTCTTTTTCCACTCGGCCGCCTCCGTGCGATTCGACGACCCGATCAAGAAGGCCGTCTCGCTCAACCTGAGGGGCACCTACGAGGCCGTCCAACTGGCCGAACAGATGCAGCACCTCGTCGTGCGTAATATTTCAAAAAATTTCGCCCGTGTTCTCGCTTTCGGTGCTGGTGACCTCGTTCACGCACGCCAGTTTCTTAGTCACACGGTGACCTGCCATTATTTAGCCCGCGGCTCAACTTTGTGTGCAAATGACCAGTCGGCGAGCAAAAAAAAAATGAGAAGTTGTTCAAAAGCGGCAGGAAGCATGAGCATGACAAGTAACTTAATTACATTATTGCTATCGTTGAATCTCTTTTAAAAGATGACACGACAGTTATGTATGAAAGTAAAAAAAAAATTTAAAAAAATTAGTTGCATCGACATTTAAAAAGGCGATCGTGTATTAAAAAACGGGCTTCATCCTCTTCTTTGAGGAATTTTTTTTATATTCAAAATTATTTTACGGTCTACTGCACTGCTCGATGCCGTTTATAATTGAGATTTTATTGCTTTTTATTCTTTCTCAATTATTGCTTGAAATTTAATTTTGAAAATTATTTTTGAAGATGAAACCTTTATTTATTTATTGAATTTAAAAAAAATCAATAATCATCTGATTAACCAGGAGAATGGTGTATCAAAATTTTTACTGAAACGTTTCTTCAGAAGATCAATTTTTATCAAATTTTAGCCCAGCCAATTTTGAGAAAAAGCATTATTTGCGTAAATTCTCACTAAAAAATCTAGAAAATTTTCCAAAAACAAAAAAATCGGGTCTTTTTTTAAGAAAAAGACACTCCTTCAAAGATAAGTACAATGCATTTTATGAAAGCACCTCTTCAGGTCAGAATTTTTATGGCTTCTTTTGGGCTCGCTTTAAATGAATAAATTATCCTCAATGTACGTATTTAAAAAGTTGCCAAAGGCATGCAAAAAAAAAATGCAAAAATATCAATAAATGTCCTCAATTACTGATCATTTTTAAACTGGGCCAAAAGCTTTTAATGCTTTTGTACTCTAAGGATAATTGAAGCCGTATTTAAATATCCTGAATGATTTAAAAATACAGTTACAAACTGAAAAAGGTGCAGGTTTCTTAAATCGAATTTTTTTTACGCCACCGACTATAAATTTTTGACCGACTTTTTATTTTATTCATCAATAGAAACTAATTTTGGAAAGTTTATTCCGAATTGAAAAGGGTTTCAATTTTTTTAGGTCAGCAAGATGGACAACACACATATTTTTTTTTTCTTCTTGCGCACAAAAGAAAGTAGCGATAATAATTTAAAAACTTGTACTGTCAAGATGTATAAAAAAAATTATTAGCAATTAATCATGCAAGTGCCGGACCGCAAAAAAAAAACAAAGAGGCCGAAAGTTTACAAGCGACTATTGAACTTTCTTGCGGAGTACTTGAATCTATTCAGCCATGAGTACTCATTTTTTTTATTTTATGAATTGCGCGTCATCAATTACCACTTCACGCTTCAAATGGCTTTGTGTAGAAATCTTGCATTTTTAAGAGATTAATTTTGAAGTCTGTTTCGCTATTACATGAAAAAAATTCAAAGTTTCTATTTATGTTCGTAATTTCCACTGCAGGTATTTCTGTACGTATCAACGACCTACAGCAACACGACCAGGTTTGTAACTGACGAGGCGGTCTATCCACCAGCAGCAGATTGGCGACTTCTGCTCAGGATGATTGACGAGCTCGATGATGACACCCTCGAAATCGTCACTCCAAAGTGAGTCAATCAAAATTTTGGGCATACAATTAAAAAAAAATAAATTGAAGAAACTATCAATATAATCAAATCTTCTTGTAAGGAAAAAAATTTATTTACAATTATTTAACTAGTTAAATTCAATCGTTTCCGATGTTAATTACATAACGAGCAGGTTCATTTTCATTTTGTCGATATAATTAATAATAAGCCGCTTTGGTCCAAAGGGAAAGTGGCTTGTTATGTTAATGGGAGCGATTTAGAGGTCTACGCGCTGAATTGCTGTTAGCTCTTCTGGTTTGAAACAAATATTCGCAGACGCGCCACAAAAAGTTGAATACCTTGATCGGGTCCGCGAAAAGTTTCTATCCGTTTTCATCTCAATATTCACGTGGTCTGGTAGCCTCTTATTGTGCCTCCTAAACTGCCAAATTTTATTGCGGGGGCAATCGGAGCTTCCTGGACGAAATCTCTTCCGAATGGAATTTCATACGGAAGATCAAATTTGTTTACTAGTGCGTGCAACCAGGAAAAAAACAATTATATTATAAAAGCAAGGGCTTCACTTCAAATGAAAAGAAAACGCCCAGTCACGCTGAACTAATTATGAGCAGTTGAAGGACCGCTGAACTTTAATTTAATTGCTGGTAGAGTTTTAATTAATTACTGCTGAGATCGCAAAATTTTCAACCTTGAATGACAGATTTTAAGAGAGAGAATTAAATTTGTACTGATGACTTTTTTGCTTTAAATATCCAGCAGTACATTAAAATGGGCAGTCTTACATTTAATTAATGAAATTAATGCAATTATTGAAATATTGTTAAATTATTTGTCCAATCGCTTCAATAATTAACTTTTGAATAAATTAAAAAATATGAAAATAATATAAAATTTAATTTTGCACTCCTTTTTTAACACCGATTTTTACTTTGCTTTGGTTTATCATGAATTTTCTATATCAAAATTTATTTGAATGATTTTAGAATTTTGGGGAAATTGCCGAACACCTACGGCTTCTCGAAGGGTCTGGCCGAGTCGGTGGTGAACGACCACCGTGACACGGTGCCCGCCATCATCTTCAGGCCGTCCATCGGTAAAAGCAACTTTTACTCTAAGGAAGATTTCAACGCTCGTGCGCGTGCTATTTACCCATTTTTTTTGCCGCAGTGTGCTCGTCCGTGCAAGAGCCGTTCCCAGGCTGGCTAGACAATCTAAATGGACCGGCGGGCCTGTTGATCGCGTGCGGCAAGGGCCTCATCCACTCGGTTTTCTGCAACATGGACCTCATCAGCGACTTTTCGCCGGTGGACGTCGCAATCAAGGCCATGATCGTCGCCGCTTGGAAAAACGGAGTCCGCAGAAGCAGAGCCATGCAGTAATTTTATGAATAATTTTCTTAGAAATTTAATATATCAACATTTAAGAAAATTATAAAAAAAAATTACTTAATATTGGGAAAATGCTTTCATAAATATTCGGAAATTTTTAAATCTCACTCGCTAAAATAATCAACTAAAAATGGTTCATATATCAACATTATTTAAAAAAAAAAGATGATTGATCCTTTAAAAATATAATTATAAATTTGAGAAAAATTATATTTCTTCATGCTGATGTTTTCAAAAGAAATTTTTCAAACAAAATCATAATTGGCAATCGATCAGGAAAGAAGGTTCGAGTTCTGAGCCAAAATCCGAGTTGATTACGGAGGACGCAGACGACGGCCGCTGTTCGACCACCATCCCTGTGTACAATTGTGCCACCTCGCCGGTCAGAAACACGACCATTGGCACAGTCGTCACGATGGCCCAAGAATTAGCCTCTGAGGTGAAGCTGCGCTCTCATTTTTTTTTAAACGAACCACTTCAATTAAACTACAAATTTGATTTAGATTCCGTTGAATGACTGCATTTGGTACCCAACAGGAAACACAACAACGAACCGTTTTCGACACACGATTGTCGTTTTCCTCATGCAAATTCTTCCTGCTTGCATCATCGACGGTCTGTTAAAAATCAAAGGAGAAAAGACCAGGTAAAATCCCAATAAAAATTTCCCAGGCATAAAAATTTTACTCTAGATTTTTAAATTCTTAAGTTTGAATCAACTATAATTATTTAACTAATTGTAAAATTGTTTAATTTTGAAATTTAATTATTTGACACCCTTGCCTTGATTGGATCAGATTGCTGAGAATGCAGAGACGGATTTTCCTGGCGTGCCACGCTTTAGAGTACTATTTGAACAACGCGTGGAGTTTTCCGAACAACCGGTTCCAGCGTCTCCTCGAGGAAATCCCTGATTGCGACAAGGAGACGTTCGGATCGACCATCTGGGAGGTGGACGAACGGGAATACTTCATCAACTGCATGAGGGGCGCCCGCAAGTACTTATTGAACGAACCTGAAGACACAATGCCCGCCGCCAAGAGGCACATAGTCAAGTAATAACAACAAAAAACTTAATCATGCAAGCCAATTTTCACGAATTACTTCCCGCCGGGTAAAAAAATCCGCCTCCTTTAAAGTGGCCCAGTCTGCTGTGTTTCTCTCAATATCAGCTTTCACAATAATCGCAACCATAATTAGATTATAATTGCAGGAAATTTAGCTGATATTTTAGCATTGTAAGCAATTTAACACAAAATTAATTAGAAAGAAAAATATTCTAAATTAAATTCATTTTTTTTAATTATCATTTATCATAAGATATTTGTTTACTTTATTTCAAAAATCCATTAACTCATTTTTTGATACAACACTAAAAACATTTTCTTTCATTATTATTCTTCCTTTCAAATATTATTTTTGTTTTGTTTTTCAGGATGTACTGGCTTGACAAAATCGTGCGATACGGGTTGTTGGCGCTGATCGTCTATGCTTTGTTCAGCATTTTCTTCGGACCTTCCAATATACCAAATTTACCTCATTAAATTAGTTTTCTCTAAAATTTTCATCCCAAAACAAATTGAAAATAAGCAAATCTTTCGCCATCTTCATATTTTTCACTAAAAAAGGAAAATAAAATGTGATTGTCAGAAAATCCTCCTGTTATTAATCGTTTTATTACCTCCGTTCACGATACACTGACTGAATATCTGGCTAAAACTTTTATAGCCTCCACGGCACATTTAAAATATTTTTTAAGAATTCATCTCATCATGACCGCATTTTTAAATACAGTTTTCTGGCAATAAAAAGATACAAATTTATTTTTTTTTATTTAAATTTAGCAGCACGAAAAGCGCTTCACACTTCTTGTGTAAAATCCTTCTAGATATAAGTTAATTAAAATAAATTTTTTGCCTCAATTTTTGAAGGTTTCTAAGCTAAAATAAATAATACAATTTATTATTAAAATTCCTAAGAACGTGTTGCGAAATAACCGAGGAACCTTTTATTGTGTCAAAAGTAGCTAAAGCCTTTTCGAAACCGGTGGTCGACCTTTACGTACGAGAACCACATCGTTGTGCCTGACCATAGTGTGAATAACGATAAATTTATACATTCAGAATTTCTCTCACTTCTTTATAAATTTTTAACGGTAGTATTAATTTATCGCATTTTTCGCATTTGAAATTTTTTAATCAAATTTTGATCCGAAATTATTGCTTTTTTAAAGTTTGAAACCAGCAAATAAAAAGGAATTAATTGGTGGTTTGGGAACGGGTCTAGACGGAATAAGGTGAACCTCCAACGACCTCCTCTCGCAGCTTTGTGCCGTGTCCTGTTTGAAGAAAAAAATATTAATGTTGGAAGGGTAATAAAGATTTAACATAATTTTTTTATCCATGATGATTTAAGTAAACACCTAATTGCTTTCATAAAAAAAATTACAAAGACATTGAATAAATAGTTTTGCAAAAATTAATTATTGGCCCACGTACGGTATTATTGCAAGGAAAAAATTAATATTACAGTTTAAGTAAAAAGTTTCAATTACTATTACAAGCGTAGCTCTCTGACGTAATCTGTGGAAAATGTCGCATGCTTTTCTCTTTTTTCTTTCGTAGGCGTAAACATTGCAAAATAGCAGAGATGGATGTTGCACAGAAAATGAAACAATCTTGACCCTCGCAGCGAGCAAAAGGAGATGAGAAGGTCGCCCGACTTTTTGTTCAGACGAAAGAAACGGATGGATAGAAACGCGTTCAGAGGAGGGGAACGAAGGGCGCGAGAGATTATTCGCGTGTCTATAGACTTTTGGAGCTCATTTATCGGTGGACACCAAACACAGCCGGGTGTTTCGAGGAAACAGGTGGACATTTCTTCAAACTGCTGTTTTCAACTTGAAAACGTAAGTAATGCTTGATTAATATTAGAGTAAACAAAACTAATTCGCTTATATTTTTTGGAAGATTTTGCTGAGCTTTGTAAAATTAAAATAATCGATTTGATTCTTTATTATTTATTTTTAAATTATATTTTATTTTTTACATTTTATTATTAACTTTGTGTTCAGATATTTCCGGATGTGATTGATTTTAAAGAATTGAAATTGATTAAGAATTTACAAAATGGCCAAACATCAAATATTTAATGTGCGTTTAAATTTCATATTTTGCAATTAATTTCTAAAATTGTGAAAAAACAAAACTATGTTGAAAGAAAAAAACTATTGTTATGAACAGTATGAATAGATTTTAAGTCAAGCAATTCAATATTTGAGCTGCATAACTGAATTGAATTTGAAAATACTATTTTAAATTAACTTTAATAAGTTAAATTTAACGAAAACAAAAAAGATAATCCTTATGCAAATTTTCAAAAGTGAAATTTTTTGAAAGGAAATATAATGCCAAAACTATGGCCACTCAAATTACATGTGAAGTTTGCCTGGGCTGGGCCAGGCTTTCAGATTCACACAATTTTTAAAGTCAAATATCTTCATCTGAATTTTAACCAAAAATTAAATTTTCACGCCTGAATGAATGTTTTGTTCTCTTCTCTCCACGGTCTCACGGTCTGGTGGTTCCAAAATATCGCTGCGCACAGTTTTTAAGAAAACTTGAAATGAGTACGAAACAATAGTTATTAAAATTTTCCAACAAAATTAGCTGACCAAGCATATAAAAAGATAATTAATTGGAAAAGTGAAATTTTACAATAAAAAAAAAACAACTTTTAGATCTTATTTCACAAGTAAATGGGATTATTAAGAAGTGTAATTGAATTAAAATTATTTGAACTTAATGAATTTATATTAATTATACTGAACTTCCGTACTTTTTTCCCAGGTTGCTACACATATTTGATAATTTTCATGATCATCTGAGGGCACGTGAATGGATTTCAAACTGAAATTTACTTCAAACACACACTTTAATGCACCTCAATGTTAGCTTAGTCTCTCAAATTGTGATTAATTATGTAGTAAAATAATATCCACTTTGTTAAAAAAGTCCAAATTGATGATGGTGCTTATAGCAACATCGCGTTCTGCCTTTCCGCGTCCCTCATTTGTGCTGGACCGAGACTGGAGAAATTTATTCATAACACTCTCTCGCATCTCCAGAGTTGAAAACTGTGTATTAAAAGCATTCGATAGTTTTTTTCTTACCTTTTCTCTATTAGGAAATCTGATCGTGTCCTACTTTGACTGCGTCTATTTGACAATAATGGGGAAAAAAACTTTCAAACCGGCTTTTAGAAGTAACTATAGGGCCCAGACAAAAATGTAGACCAGGCGTGAACCGAAAGGTCCAACTAGAATTATGAACTCTAGTTTTTTGAGGCGAGATTTATCATCACATGCACCGAAATCCTTTTGTAGGTTAGTGAAAAAAAAACTGCGGAGATGTTTTGAAAGACCGGCCTGCGGTAATTTCCTCGACTCAATTTTAAGTGGGATTTGCTTACGTCAATCACAGTGATTTTTATTGATTTTTTTTCACCAATGGAAGAGACGCTTTATTAGCCGCAGGTCAGCTATTCAGTATGATTTAAGGCCGACTAATTATTGCTTCTTATTAATTATTTATCAAGAGTTATTATTATTTATTCTACTCAAGACATAAAAAAAAAAAATTGAAATTGGAATTTGTTTGTCAATGATTCATTTAAAAAATCTTCAAAATAATCCAATGTATGCTCGGGGCTTCACCAGCCATTGTCTGCACAGACCCCGCAGAGTACGACTCTAAAAAAATTACGGTTTTTCAATTTTTTAGAGAAGTCGGCAAAATAATACATATATTATACTTAAGAGTGGCTCGCGGGATGATCAAAATAATAAACATTAAGAATATACGTGCAAATTCGCACAACCCTAAGAAATATTGTAAAGATTTAAATATTTCTTACATATCAATTAATCTATTTATTTTCCGTTTATTCCTGTGATTAAAAATTTACGTCAATAGCTGATATCGTCAAAAATTAAAAATTTCAATTGCAATTTAAAGCTCACATTGATAAGACTTTAAATTTAATTGCAATTTTCATCAAAATTAATTCGTACCTGCTAAATTTTTCATGAATTAAATTCTTTCAGTCCGCAGTTCAAAAGTAAAGAGAGGAAAAAGTATGAACTAGAGTAAAAAGCCACTCTAAAGATTTGAAAAGATTCAATTTTCAAGAGCAAGGCCGAAATGCGTGGGCTGCCAACAAAGGTTCCTGATGCTTTTTGTGATTTGTGACACATTTTTTCCTAAGCGGATACTACACAAATATTGTTGTTGTAATGTTGCATAGAAAATAAAGCATTTATTGCAATCTTGACATTGAGAAAAATAGGCGCTACTTGACGTCTTTGAAGGCGCAAAGAAAAAGAGTCGGAAACAATTCAAGTGTGCGACGATTTTTTTTCGCTTTTGAAACAGAATTTTCTCTTAAAAAAGAAAGAAATATATTAAAAACAGTATAGTTATGACACCAAATTATCTTTAATTAATTTTAAATTTTTTACCCAAGTTATCTAAAAAAAATTGATGGTCAACAACAGGAAGTATAATATAATTATTTTACTGCTTAATATTTTGCTTGCGAATCTGCAGGTGCGTGTACGAATTTAGTGTTTATGGCCAATTCCACGATAATTAAGGACGCAGCCCTCGGCGTCATTCAAAGCTTTACAAGTTAGGTCTGATGGGAATTCTTACGTTTTTACTTTTACAGCGAATTGGCAACTCAGATTCATAAAAAAGAAGCAAAATATACATTGGTAAAACGATCTTTACACAAGAATTTAGCCTTTTCATTAACACTAGTTTATGCTCTCAACAATAAGTCTCTCAAATTGCAGTTTGTAATTAATTAGTTCGTCCAGATTGATTATATTTGTATAACTTTGAGCGGAGAGAAACAAAAACCGGAGAAAGTGACCGTTCAACTTTTATTTTGAACTTAACCCTGAGTTTAATCTCTTGCTAAAGCGTTAATTGAAGGTTTGGATCAAAACGAACAGTCGCGAAAAATCAATTTGTCCGTGAATAGAGACATCTGAAGGCAATCAGACTTGTCTAGGCGAGAGGTTCTTTTTTTGTGCGCGAACAAATCTTGTTAGTTGATATTTTGTTTCGTTGGAACGGAATACGCATTAAACATGTTCACCTTCAGGAGGGGGGAAATTTTTGAATGGTCCAATTACCAGTTTTTGAAACATGCATTATCATTATAAGTGGAGAACATTCTATTTATAAAGATTTTAAAGATTCTTTGTTAGTCTTCCTGGACTTCCTGTTCTAACACTTCAAACATGTTCTTAATTAATGCATGAGTTTAATCCCTGAAAAGTTTTTACTTAATAAAAAAGTAAATTAGAAATTTATGTATAATTTGATTTACACCCAAGTTATTTTGTTTTATGTAATGCAAATTTTAATTATTAACCACTTCTTACAAAATGTAACCTATTTCGATTGTTATTTAAATTATTTTATTATCTGATTAAATATTAAATATTATTTCGTTTTAATTTCAAATTCAAACCTATGAGGTAAAGGCACAAATTTGAGATGTTCTATGAATTTAAAATGAATATTATTAATATTTTATTTTAAAAATTTATTTAAAATAAAATACCAGTTATATAATTTAAAGTAATTAAGAAATTAGTGTCCTGTAATTGGGATGCTGTATTTTTTTACCATCTTTCTTTGATTGTTATTAGAAATTCAATTCAACCAAAATTTTACTCTTATTTTTTGGAAAATTTTAAATCAAAATAATCTTGAGTATGATCTAGTGTCACTCTCTAGAGACATCCTTTCATTCAATGAGCTTTTTTTAGTAATAAAGCTTAATTTCATAAAACAGTTGGCTATTTCTATAAACGGAAAATTTCTGAACCACTTTAAGGAAGCAAAAAATTGTGTACACACGGCGTACATGACGGAGCCTGCTGGCAAAAAACCTCTTTAATTAATTACGCACCACGGTCAAGACAGTCATTCTTTGATGCGTTTACTCTAATGAATCTCATCTTTGTTGATGACAAGTAACATTATGATTTTTTCACTTTTTGCAGATCCTTAGTTGGCTGGTTGGCGCAAAAAATAAACAAGCAATGACAGAGACGAAAATGAAAAGCGAAGTGGCGGACTTTTACAATGGGCAGGCCGTCTTCATCACGGGCGCGACCGGGTTTCTCGGAAAGGTTTGAATTTTTTAAATTGTGTAAAAACCGAGTAACATGATTTGAGTTTCTAAAAAGGTCCTGCTTGAAAAACTGCTGCGATCTTGTCCCGGCATTGAAAGTATTTACATTTTGATCCGCGCCAAGAAGAACAAAAATGTGCTTGAAAGAACCGACCAGCTTTTCATGGATCAGGTACGTAAATTTTGAGGGTGACATTATTTTAATTTAAGACATAAATATAATTTTTATAATATTTTACAAGGTTTTATCACAATTTCGTCAAATATAATATGTACTTTTAAATTTAATTAATAATAAAAAAAATGTAATAAAACGATTAAAAATATTATTTTTAGATTTACAAGAAGCTGGAAAAGACAACAATGTCAAAGGTGATGCCGATCAACGGCGACGTCTCCCTTCCAGGTCTTGGTATCAGCGAAACAGTAAGAATTTTTTGATAACTTAATTCAAAAAATCTATTTATTATTTCAATCAGGACCGCGCAACTCTGACGGAAAAAGTTTCTGTCGTTTTCCACTCGGCGGCGACCGTGCGATTCGTCGACCCTCTGAAGCACACGCTCATCACCAATTTGCGAGGCACAAATGAAGTGATCAACCTTTGCAAGGAGATGAAACACCTCAAATCCTTCCTTTACGTGTCCACCGCTTACTCACACTGCGTCCGTCGCGAAATTGACGAGATCGTCTACGACATACCCATGTCCCCCGAACAGTTGCTCAACTGCTGCGAATGGATGACCGACGATCAGATGGAGTTCATGGCCCCACAGTAATAATGCACCCTTAAATTGATTAATTTTTGAAGTAATATGTAATTTCAAAACGAAAACTCTTTCTACTTGATCTTTTTTACAGTTTATGGCAGAAATTTCATAAAAATTATTACAATACCCCTTTCTTTTACTATAAAAATCACGATGTTCACATAAAGAAGTTTTGAATAATTATATCTTAATTTATTTAAAATTTTAATAATCTCAAACCTCGTTTTAATAAGGCTTTTAATGAATTTATTATTTTTAGTATCATGGAAAACTGGCCCAACCCATACGCCTACAGTAAGGCTCTGTCAGAGAACCTGGTGAAGAAACGCTGCGAAAATATGCCTGCCGCAATTTTCCGCCCTTCGATTGGTATGCATTTCTTTAATGCAAAAAGTTCCAATTTTTTATTAAAAAAAAATTAAATTAATCATTTAGTGGTGAGCGGTGCCCAAGAACCTTTGCCAGGCTGGAACGACAACCTGAACGGCCCTACCGGAATCACTGCTGGAATCACCATGGGCATCATCAGGTCGATGAACGCAGACAAAGACGTCAACGCAGATTTGGTGCCCGTCGACTATGTCGTCAACTCTATGATCGCCTCAGCCTGGGACGTCGGAACCAACAAGTAAGCAATAAAAAAATTACTTTTTTGGTTGATTTTAGAAATCTGTTTTCAGGTTGCCGTTGCAGGTTTTCAACTTCACCAGCGGAGGTCGGAACCCCCTGACTTGGGGCCGCTTCCGGGAGTTGCTGATCAGCGTGGGTTTTGACGCGCCCCCGCTTAAGGCCCTTTGGTACTTCTGCTTCTTCATCATCAAGAGCACCAGAATGCACAACTTCGTAGTCAGCATTCTGCACTTCCTGCCCGCCATCCTCCTGGACATGGTTTCCACCCTCCTCGGCAAGAAGAGACGGTACTTAATTTCCATAAATTTAAATTACCATTAAATTTTATTTGTAAAATTGCAGCTTTTTCCGGCTGTACCAGAAAATTGATCAGCAAACGAGTGCGCCGGCGTACTTTGCCCTTCGTCAGTGGGAATTCAAAGACGACAACGTCCTCTCCACGATCAAAAGAATGACACCTGAGGACCGGAAGATCTTCAGATGCGACATCGCCGATTTGGACTGGGCCACATACATGGGCGACTATTACCTAGGAATGCGGCAATACGTGCTCAAGGACGATCCGTCCACCGTGCCAGAAGCCCTCAAGAGATACAAAAAGTAATAACAAAAATTGAACTAAGATCATTGATTTTTTTTAGTGTGAATTGGCTAAAATTATTATTGTTTATAATTTAATTTTTAGACTGCACTACCTGCATAGAGGCCTGCAGGTGGTCATGCTCATCGGATTTCTTGGCATCGCCCTTAAGTTTTTCACCCTGATTGCTGCAGGAGTATCTTCAGTTGCGACTTCCCTCCAGTTCTGATAGAGTAAAAATAAGGAGTTCCTGAGTTTCTCTCTCTTTCAACTTTGCATTCACATTTTGATATTATATTTAAATTATTTATCTTGATGATTAATTTAAATTTATTTGAATTATCTCTTAATTATACTGTCCCACTTTATGCTCTCCCATATATCTTAAATAAAATATTACATAATAATAATAATGAATATTTCAATGTATTATTTCTTAATTTGACCAAGTTTTCTTAGAAGTTAAATAATAAAAGGTATGCAATACTTCAAAACTTATTTTTAGATGTATCTTTTTAAAATATATCTTCTTAGGTTATTTAATACGGAAATTGAGAAGATGGAGTTGGGCCAGGAAGAAAGAAATTCATTTAAGAGCATGAACCACACAAAAAATGTATTCACCTTCGCTTCATCACATGTAAGCATGCAAAATTTAAAAATATTCATTCAAGGATTGGTGAAATATTAGAGGAACAAAAAAAACGAGAGGTTTTTCGATTTATAATTAAACACATGAAATAACTTGGCATCGTAATTATTATTGTTTATGCTTCACCAATCAAATCATAGAATAATTTACAAACATATTGATTTTCAAGCTTTTATCTTGAATTTTAATTGCATATATAGAAATTGAAATTGAAATTATCAAATTGAAAGAAAAATAGTTTTTATTTTAAATTGAATTGAAACTCTCAGGGCATTGCATTTCCTACCTGTGGCAATTGTTTCTAATAATAGAATTTAATATAATTGCGATACCCTCATTTGGATCAGATTGCCGCGAAGTTGGATTTTCCAAACAACCGTTTCCAGCGTCGATGTCCTCGAGGAAATCCCTGACAATGAATGCGACAAGAGAGGTTCAGATCGACCATTTGAGAAGAATCCGCCGCCAAAAGAGGCAAGTAATGAAAATATTTAAATCAATTTCGACGACATCGCCCCTGCTGGGCCCAACCCTGCGATCAAATAGATACGCGCACTTTAAAATGGTCCATTGTGTTTTCTCGCATCGTCAACTTGCACAATTAGACTCGGCAGTTACGATAACATCAGAATAACTGGTTTTGCCATTTCCAATGGTGCTGTCTGCGTTATACAAGAAGCAAAACAATAGGTTTTGTTGTTTACCCAAACTGGTTTTAAATTAATAAAAATTATAACAATTCATTTTTTATATACAAGTCACAAAGTTAATCTTTAAAATAAAAATTTCAATTTATTTCAAATGCATAACATGACACGCAAAAATTACGTAATCTCCACATTTAATTAAGCTTTAAAATTATTTATTTTTATATAATCTTACTGTGGGCCCAGTTAAAAAAAATGGCTTAAAATTAATTTCTTAGAAAATTTGGAAAAAATTAATTCAAAACACATGACTTCAATAATAAAAGTAATTGCATGAATTAATTTATTAAAAAATTATTTCTTCTTCCTTACATTAATTTAATTAATGGTATTTTCATGACTTTCCTTTATTACGAACTGAAATAAAATATAAATTGACCAGGATGGAAAAATCTGCGATCTCATGCTACATTTTTTCTTATAATTAAGTCAGTGACAAAAAGAGACCTTCTCGGCTATGTATGACTCGACGTTTCTTCCATAGAAATAGTGATGAATTGCACACTCCTTATAACTTTAGTTGTTATGTGCGATTAAGGAAGCTGATGAGTGAGGATAAATCAGTGACGTGTCCATTTGAATAAAATCTATTCATGCTCTGGAAAAAAATCTGCAGGGTAAAAACATTGTTTTATATATTTGAACCGGTTTTTCGTGTGAAATAGAAAAACATGGATAAGTGTTCGGGAAAAACCAGAAGTCCCGCGTGCAAATTCTGACCAGATGCTCCGAAGCGGTTTTTGCAATTACGTAAACAACTCACATATTTTAAACGCACATGTAATAATTCTCTCTGCGCTCATTTGTAACGAGAGGCGGCGTGAATGTGAAATTCGCTGTAATTTATCGGACGACTGACTGAGCAGAAACGAGAATAATATCATAATTAAATAATGGCGCACATAATTGAAATTGCATCGTCCTTGAACATGCACCCTTTGAATTCAAAAACCAGTCACGATGAGACACTTTATCAATCAATATTTGTAGATGTGCCGGGATTCCCAAACTGGTTTTCAACAAATTATCTGTCTTTCTTTCGCTTCTGTTACGTAACATAATTTTTTTTTAAATAAAACTACCAACGCCGTTGCTGATGAAAAAGCAAAATTCAATGAAGGTTTGATTTTTTAAATCAAGCGAATTGAGGCCAGGAGAAATTAGTAAAATCAAATACACTGAAAGCGAATCAAGCTCAAGATGCAGAATAGGAACTCCTACATTACTTTTTACAGTATGAATGTGTTTGTTCAATGGAAAGGAAAATGCAAACATTGCGCCTCATTCCATTTGAAAAATAATTGCGAGAGAGAAGCAATCATTAGGTGATTCAAATGTTTTTCTTTACTGCATCCTTTAGAAAAATACTGCGTACTATAAATTTAAAATAGTTATAAATGCAGTTAAATTCAAATTAAAACGTTCATTAAGTTAGAAAACTAAAAAAAATCTTGAATTCAGAGATGAAAAATTACCAAATTAATTGCCAACTCTTAATTTTAAAAATTATTTAGTTCAGAAGTTCTGAAATTTCCATAAAATGTATTTTGTATTCTTGTTTCAATTCGTAGCATTGGTCATTGCGGGGCATAATTATTTTTCCTCTGAGAATATAATCATTTTATGGTTGTTTATTTGTTGCAATCATTCTTTTATTATTAAATTATGTATAGTTATTTTTTACTCTTGTCCAAACATTAAATCCAAATTGAAAACAGAAATGTCTCAATTATAAAAAGACAAAAGCAGTTTTTTAAACTCATTAAAATAAAGTAATTGACGTAATTGTGAAGAAAACAATTTAATCCAAAATTTAAAAAGATCGTGAAATAGAAAATCCAAAATATTTTGTTAATAAATGTAATTAAAAATCATGTCGGTTAGGATTTTTTTTTGCATAGAATTTCCCTTGTTGTTTGTCTTGTCGGAGGAGAAAGAGGAAAAATATACTGCAATTATTATTATTATGCGCGCAGGTTTGTCGGTTGCATCGACAGACAAAGTGGGCCAGACGATGAGGTCGAGCTGCGTGCACTTGTATGTATCCTGGTCAAGCAACTTTTCGTTCAAATCTCGCAAGGTAAAAGTTATAACTGCGCGTGTCCCTCTTTCAAGCTGAATCGCACAAAAGCTCGTTTCCACGACTGATCGCGCACAATAAAAGTGAAAATAATTGCAATAAAAATATTTTACGGCGGGGTTATTCGTTTTGCGCGAGTTTCTGCAAGCCCATTCATAAAAATCTGAAACTTTAATATAATGACTTATTAAAATAACATTAAAACGAAAATAAAAATTATTTTCGTACATCAAATTCATTTACACTGAAATTTTTAAAATTTTGGAACACGAATATGGAAGAAAGTATTTGTTATAAATTAGAAAAAGTTGTATTTTTGTTCGTCATTTAACATTGATTAATTCAAAGATTATAAAAATTTTATTTTCATTTTAAACTATTTTATATTCAGACCATTTTAAGTTATAATTTATTGTATAGAGACCCGGCAGCAACACAATAATTTTCTATTTCCTTATTGTGAATTGTTAGGAGCCAAGACAAAATGTAAATAATACACCTTAGCAAAATTGGTTAGCAACATTAAGTTTGACCTTTACAAGCCGGCTCATTGTGCTGGACCGGATTGAGACTTCGGAGAAATTTATTCCGCTTCTTTATCTCTCGCGCCTCCAGAGTTGTCAACTGTCTATTAAAAAACCGATTGGATAGATTTTTTTGCGGTTTCACAATTTGGAAATCCGATTGTGTCTTAACTTTGTTTATTCCGTTTATTCGAATTTAATGCGGAAAAACTTTTAAATAGGCAGAGGAGTGACGTGACTATAGGGCCTAGTAAGGTTTAGACCAGAGGTCTGGCATCCTAACTGGATGGATTTGTGATTAGTACCTTCCACCGTTTTCATTTTGTAATTTAGTATGCGAATGAAATTAGACTGAGATAAATATTAGAAAGACCCTAACAGAAATTTAAATATTTAATTTCAATGTGAAATGTATTTATTTAATTTTATGCTCCAGTATTTATATTATTTTCCATTCATTTAGAATTTACGTCAATAATTGACAAAAATTTATATTAAAAATTAGATAAATCAAAATTTAAAAATACATGTTCATTCCTGTTTTACTCATACATTTATTATGTCATTTTGGTTGAAAAATTTATCTGCTAAATTGTTGTAAAATTTTAATGGCGTTTTATGTTTCATTTCAGTTCCCAGATTGATTGTGAGGAGAAAGAAAAGTAGAGCACAAAACGCCCTTCGAAAGATCTGAAAAGGTTCAATTGTCAAGAGCAAGGCCGCGGTGCGTGGGCTGCCAACAAAGGTTCCTGACAATCCTGACGTAACTTTTAATAAGTATTAGCTGAGTTACAGATAAATATTATTGCACAAATTAATATTGCTGTTGCATAGAAAATGAAACAAGTGACAATTAATCATGACATTGAGAAAAGGAGATGAGAGACGCCGCCTGACGTTTTGTGCAGTCGCAAATAAAAAGAGTTGGAGACGACTCGAGTGGGGGACGATAGGGATTATTTGCGTCCAGAGCTGGAGCTCATTTCTCGCCGGTTAACACCGACCTCAACCTGGTGCACCAAGGAAACGGGAGTGTAACGGAGATTTTTGTTTGAGTAACTATTTTCCATACAGAATGTAAGTACTGATTTCAGAATTGTCTAGAAGTTTAAGATCTAATTGTAATTATTGAAACGATTTGAGGTTTTAATGTATTCGTATAATTACAAAATGATAGAAAAATTAGATTTAATTGTGGTTTATTTATTTCTAAATAATTTAAAGTTTAGCGTAGAAAGTGGAAAGTAGGACTGGTTATTTAGGATTTAAATATTCTAAATTTTAACGGGACTACCATAATATAACTGGTATTTTTAACAGTTTTAACACTTAAAGAATTTTAAATTACACGTCCGGTAACCTCATTTAATTATTATAATGTGGATTTTTTTTAAATGTTTATTTAATTCAGAGTGAGAAATTAAAACAAGAAAACAAGAAGGCTTAACGCTCGCTTCAAGCTCAAATGGCTTTGAGAAAACCCCATTTGAATTTTTGAATACAAAGAGAAAATTCTGAGCTGTTTTAGTAACAATTTCGCCTTTTAAGTAATTTACCTCTCAATTATAATTTCGAAATTATGAAAAATATTATTAAAATTAGAAATTTATATATATTAAATTTATTTCAAAAATATGTTTTCTTTTAAAAACCGCTGCTAAAAGATCGAAAATTTTTAAAATAATTTTACACCATCTCTCCAAACCAATATAATACCTCGCGGTGTATTTATTTATTTCATAATGCATGTAAAGGCGATTGTTGATTCTTAAATATTTGCATTCATTGAGCAAGAACAAGTCAACTACTATTCAGAAGAACATTTTAATGCATCTTTAAATGGCTTGGAAAAAGAAAAAAAATTCAGTTAACACTTTTAAAAAGGAGGCATTTTTTCATTCTCACAAAATTTTAATTTTTATACAAACAAAATTTGGCATAACTTTAAAAAAATTTGATGTCTTCAACACGAATCTATTTGGTTAAAAAATTTTATCTATAAGTGAGGGTGAACAGGAAGTGAAAACAAAAAATAATGGCGGGTCACGCGGTCGGATTTAGAGTTGAGATCCTGCTGCAAGGTTTTGGTATTTTGCCTTGATTTTATTCTTTGCTTACTCTAAAGGTAGGTCCGATGACAATCATGTTTGCTCGCCCAGTAAATTGTGGACTCAGCATTAAATAAAAAGGCAAAACACTTAATCATTGGACCGTCTGTCTTCTCCGCCACGCGAGTTTACCTTCCTCATCAGCACTAATTCTATTCCTCGCTAGACTCTCTAATGAATACTTTGAGTGAGCAAACAAATCTTTGAACAGTTTCTTTATTGAATTCGCTAACTTATTACTTTGGTGTGAAAACCGCTCTAGGGTCAACAAAATTAAATTAACGCACAATATTTATTTTTTGTTAGGTACGTTTGGCTATAAGCACATAATTGGAGGGTCAAAACAAAATGTCAGAGTTAAACGACCGAATCAATATTTCAAGTTAATGGAGACGTGTCTGATGACAATCAATCTTGCCTAGGCGCGAAGCATTTTGTGTTCCGAGGCGAATCTTGCTTGCTTGATCTGTTGACGTCTCATCGTGAGTGTAACGAAATATGCTTTTGCTGCCGTTCGTGAGGCAGGAGAAAAAAATGTGGAATGGTCCAGCATAGCCAGAAAAGAAAGCTTAATTTCTTTCCATCCAGCGTCATCGCTTCCAAAAATCGAGGTCAAATTATAAAAGGACCCCGCCAATCTTTCCTGCTACCAACATTATCCAAATTATTATTAGCATCAAGTTTCGTCAAAGCATTTTGAATTGACATTGTTTTTTATTTTTTGCAGATTCGCCTTAATTTTTGTATAATAATTGCTTTGTTAGGATCCGGTTGCAAATATTTTGCCTGGGATTTAATTACTTTATTGCACTAGTTTATTGGTTTGTTTGCTAGCTTTTTTTAACATGTAATATAGTTATTTACTTATTTGAATGATTAAAATTAATTGGTTAAATTTTATCATAAATCACTAGAATAGAATGTTTGAAAGAAATTTTGTGTAATAAACTTTTAATATGTATTATATATTAAATTAAAATCTAAGACAAATTTTTCCCCTTTGATCAAATTAAAGGCACCATAATTTACGGATGTTAGTTTTGTTTGTTTAATTATAAATTGAAATATTACAAAAGATCAGGAAACCCAGATGGACAAGCGGATGAAAAACTTTTGATTAATTTTAATTTTACTTTAAAAAAGGTGAAAGTGATTTATTGCGCACATAAAAGCCTTCTGATATAATCAATAAAGACACTTTGCAACCAAAAGATCGTCAAAGATGAACCCAAATTTTGCTCAAGAAATTATAAAAACGTTTTTGCTCGCTAGATTGACTAAAGCCAATAACTGACCGCGTTAGACTATAAAAAAAATCGTTGACCAGCATATTAGTATAATACTCTAGTCGAGAAGAAGAAAGTCTGACTGAATAGAGTTTTTGTACGCAATCAATCTTCGCAGTGTTTACAGATGATTGATTTCGTGATGAGACTTTTGAGCGTCGAAAAATTATGCGCCTCTATGATTAATGTGAAAAAAAATTACAGGTTTGCTTCTCCTACTTTTGAAATAGAGAATGGAAATTGAAATTTATTAATTTTGCTGATTGTATATAATAGACCAGTTTAAATTTTGGTGCTTACTAAGGACCAATGACAGATCAACTCTAACCATATTGATAAAAATAAAATGAAATTTTATGCAAATTATTAGAAAATTTAAAATCATACGAGAAAATCATATTGGTCGATGTGCTGTAGAATATATGCAAGTTTTTTTTTAATTAATTATTAATATTTTTTATATCGGATTATTATTATTTGAAATTAAATTTTAAATTGAAATATTTCAATAAAAATTTTCATGTAAAATATCTATCAAAATTTTCGTTCAAGAGCGGGATGCAAAAAAATCCTGACAAAGATTTGAGCTGAATCATTTTACGTAAGCTCGAAATTGCGCGCACGCATCTCGTGCATGATCTTTGGCAAAACTACCTCGTGTAATTTCGCACCATGGTCAAAATCCACGTTCCCAAGACCTTAACACCTTCAGGCGTTTTAATTTTACAAACTCATCTTTGTTGATGACGCGGGTAGACTGACACAAGTAGCATTATAATTTTACTTTTTGCAGATCCTTAGTTGCCGCAAAAAAATAAACAAGCGCAATGACAGAGACGAAAATGAAAAGCGAAGTGGCGGATTTCTATAATGGGCAGGCCGTCTTCATCACGGGCGCCACCGGTTTTCTCGGAAAGGTTTGAATTATTTTAAATTGTGTCGAGGAACATGATTTGAGTTTCTAAAAAGGTCCTGCTTGAAAAACTGCTGCGATCTTGTCCCGGCATTGAAAGTATTTACATTTTGATCCGCGCCAAGAAGAACAAAAATGTGCTCGAAAGAACCGACCAACTCTTCATGGATCAGGTTAGATATATTTTTTTAAGAGGAAAATTTTGTTTTCATTAATTGCACGAAATATGTAGAAAATTCTCAAATTAAATCGTCTCTGAAAAAGTGAAAAGAATTTCAATTTTTTACAAAATTCAATTCTACTTCTTTATAAATTTTAGTTTTAATTAATATTATTCACTTCAACCCCATAAATACAAATAAAATGAAGACATTTGCTCTAAAAATTTTTATATTTTTCTAGATTTACAAGAAGTTGGAAAAATCGACAATGTCAAAGGTGATGCCAATCAACGGCGACGTCTCCCTTCCAGGTCTTGGAATCAGCGAAACAGTAAGAATTTTTTAATTGCTTAATCCAAAAAATCTATTTATTAATTTCAATCAGGACCGCGCAACTCTGACAGAAAAAGTGTCTGTCGTTTTCCACTCGGCGGCGACCGTGCGATTCGTCGACCCTCTGAAGCACACGCTCATCACCAATTTGCGAGGCACAAATGAAGTGATCAACCTTTGCAAGGAGATGAAACACCTCAAATCCTTCCTCTACGTGTCTACGGCCTTCTCGCACTGCGTCCACCGCGAAATCGATGAGATTGTCTACGATATGCCCATGTCACCCGAGCATTTGCTCAATTGCTGCGAATGGATGACTGACGATCAGATGGAGTTCATGGCCCCACAGTAAACCAATCAATTAAATCTAGAAATCGCTTATAATTTGACTTTCTCTATATACAAAATTATTTTGATAAATACTTAAAGATAATTCTTTGGTTAAACTGCAGTTAGTTTATTTATTCTCTGGAAAGTATGGAATAAAAATAATTTTTACTGCTTTCACTGGAAAAGAGAGTCTTATGAAACGTAGCTTAATTAAACTCATAATAGAGACTAAATTTAAGTTAAAAAGTACTATGGCTTGTCAAGCTTGAACTAAACAAATTGCAAATAATTTTTATTCAATCAAATCATATTAATTGTTCTTGAGAATTCTAAATATTTAATCTCAAACTAAAGTCTGGTTGCTTAATTTTATCCCTTCTTAATGATTAAAAAAATTTCCTCTTTAGTATCACTGGAGATTGGCCTAATCCATACGCCTTCAGTAAGGCTCTGGCAGAAAACCTGGTGAAGAAACGCTGCGAAAACATGCCAGCCGCTATTTTCAGACCTTCAATTGGTATGCATTTCATTAATAAAAGAAAATCAAAGTTTTAAATTTACAAAAAATTATAATAATTGATCAGTGGTGAGCGCCGCACAAGAGCCTTTGCCAGGCTGGAACGACAATTTGAACGGACCGACCGGGATCATCGCTGGAATCACCATGGGCATCATCAGGACGATGAACGCCGACAAAGACCTCAACGCAGACTTCGTGCCCGTCGACTATGTCGTCAACTCAATGATTGCCTCAGCCTGGGACGTTGGAACCAACAAGTTAGTTTGTATTTAAAAAAATAATTGTAGAATTTATTAATTTAATAAACTGGAAATTGCCATTAAACCAGAAAATTGAGATTATTTTTTTTTTATAAAATTATTTGGAAAATCTGTTTTCAGGCTGCCGCTGCAAGTTTTCAACTATACTAGTGGAGGACGGAACCAATTGACCTGGGGCCGCTTTAGAGAGTTTCTCCTTCGAGTGGGTTTTGCCGCGCCACCGGTTAAGGCCCTTTGGTACTTCTGCTTCTTCATCTTCAAGAGCACCAGAATGCACAACATCGCCGTCTACATTCTGCACTTCCTGCCCGCCATCCTCTTCGACATGGTCGCCACCCTCTTCGGCAAGAAAAGACGGTATTTTATTTCACTTTCCTGACCCATTTGAACCCTTAAATTTTAAACATCAAGAAAAAAAATCCCTTTTTTTAATTTTTCAATGAAGTTTTAAAAAAAAATGATCTTTTCAAGTTATTAACAAAATTATTACAAATAAAAAACCGGTCACTTATAATTTTGCATCTGAAAAATATAAAAAATTTCAGACTCTTCAAGTTGTACCAGAAGATCGACCAGCAGACCAGACCACCAACCTACTTTGCCCTTCGGCAGTGGGAATTCAAGGACGACAACGTCCTCTCCACGATTGAAAGGATGACCCCTGATGACCGGAAGACCTTCAGATGCGACATCGCCGATTTGGACTGGGCCACGTACATGGGCGACTATTACCTAGGAATGCGGCAATACGTGCTCAAGGACGATCCGTCCACCGTGCCAGAAGCCCTCAAGAGATACAAAAAGTATAATTCTTTAAAAATATTAATTTAAATTTATGATTGGTTTTTAATTTTTTTGTCGAATTTCAGATTGCATTTTATGCACCGAGCCCTGCAGGTTGTTATGCTCCTGGGATTCCTTGGCATCACCCTCAAAATGTTCACCCTCGCGACGTCGACGTTTTCGTCATTTTCTTCCACTCCTGAGCTCTGAAGTGTGAAAATGAGATCCAAAACCTTTGTGTTTTAACAACTGTTTGCCCTTTTAGTGCAAATTCACTGATTGTAATTTAAGTAACTTAAAATTTTAAGGAATGTGATTGTACCGCTGATAATTCCTTTGTAAGTTGTAATTAGATTTCTGTAGTTTTATTTTTTAATTTTAACTGAAATATTCAGTTCTATATTTTGTCTTTGAAATAGCGTTTGATATTTTTTCAATATGTTATATCCTTTATGTTCTCAAGAGTGTGCTCATCTCATTATTATTATCATTTAGTTTTGATGTTTTTTTTTTCATTTTTATTCAAAATAAAAATTAGAAAAAATTGTTAGCTGTATAATTTAATATGACGGCCTGTTAGTTTGTATCTTACAATTAGATTTAAAAACCGATCAACAAATTAAACGCATATATATGAATAGAATTATAAACTATTGCTATAATTTGCATGAAAAATATATTTTTAATGGATTTAATTTATTTATTTCGTTTATTTCTTTATTATATCAGTGAATCATGTGTGATTTATGAGAATTTTTTCTGCGGTCAGCTTCATAGCGAATTTAATTAATAATGCAATTATTACTATCTCTGCTGCTTAAGATATGAATTTCATACAAAATTGTCTTGCTAACTTTTACGACCATAAATTTTCTAACGTATGTAATTCGTGTAATTCAACTAATATGCGTAAAAATATTCACACATTGTAAAATTACAAAATATTTGGGGTTTCCTTGAAATTAAAACCAGCACGTTGCGTAGAAACGTTATAAAGGAATAGCACAAAAATCCTTTCTTTTCCAGCCAAAAACGTTTCCACCTACCTTTAGATTAGACGTGGTCCTTTTGCATCCTCGGTCCATCCTCTTCTGGATGGCCATCTTGGGTAGGTGAAGCAGGAAGCAGGCGACGAAAATATTGAGTCTGTGCGGGACCATGACATATTCACCCTCGCGAAGTTCTGCGGAAACTGATGGGTAAACCATAAATTGGGAATAGAGAGCGCGCGGCAACAGCGCACCCTCCACCCTCCCTGTAGGAGACCACGTTTCATGAAACATTCCAATCCTGAATATCCTGCAGCAATGTGCAATTTCCGCGGCTTTTCTTGTTTTATTTCATTGCATATGATTCACATTATTTTTCATACCGGCGCAACTTGTCTCGTTTTATTTTAGTCAGTCACTCGTCAGCAGTCTCACAATAAGATCCATCCTTGACGAACCAATATGACGAAAAAAGAAATTTTGATGAAATGTCCTCTCTGATTTTTGAATATGGATCGTCTTTAATAAAACAAGAGAATATATTATCTGGTTTCATGTATTTATGTTAGTTTGATCAAAATCCATTTCGAAAAGGGATAATTATATTCTTGTTTTAAATTTATTTAATTAACTGGATTTTCTTTTGGACTGGAATTAATTCAAAATCGACTTCAAAGGCTCACAAGACGCATGCAAATAGTACACAATAATGAAATAATAGCAATAAAATGGGGGGGGGGGGGGGGAGCAAGGTTGAATCAATTTTGGTGTTAGTCTTTTTTTTATTAATTTATTTAAGTCTGATTGATAAAAACTTTTTCATTTTTTCTCAAAAGCCTTTTTAGTTCTCCTTTAGATTTTGTTGATCGCTGCTGATGACAAAAATTAATTGAAATTATTCTAAATGCAATGGAAATAAAAAATAAAATATTGGAATTTGGTTTGTTGTAAAAATAGGCAAATGTTTAGATTTTGAGGGTTTATTTCAAAATACAATGCAAAAGGACAATCAATCGTCGTGGCCGTGGAAACGCTTTTCTTCGTGCCGAAAGTGGAAACGCTGTTATAAGATGGCAAAAAACCGCCGCCACTTCCGCTTCAAGTCACGAAATTGACGTTTCATTTTTTTTTTTTTAATTATTATTTATGTATCGTATTTTAGTATTTAGCTGGAAAAATTTCTAACCAAAGAGAGTCTCGGGAAAAGAAGGAGTCGAAAGCGCGCGCTTCTATCCCTCTTTTGCGCTCTACATTTGTGTATATAATTTAATTAATCAACATTGTTTTACACTGCAATAATTATTCTCATTGGGAAAAAATGATAAAAAAGTCGGTCTCGGGGATACTTTGGAATATTCATAATGTTTCTTCGTATTTTTCTTTTACACTCTGCATACGAGAGAGGTAATCATGTGTTGCTTACTTGGTATTTTTCATTACTTGTTACACTGACTTGAGATCGCGAATACTTTCTTCTACACTTTCACTTAGCGAAATAAATCAAAAGAAACGGATAATAAAAGGTAAAGTGTCTGTCAATCGAACGAATAATTAATAAGTTCCTGTATGTACTTGTACATGCTGTGCCCCCTGTCTAACAATCGCTATAAATTTTGAGCACATAGGAGAGAGAGAAAATAATACTCGTGCGTAAGTAAATAGGTATTAACCATGTGATGACCTATATAGTATAGAAGTTTTGCACTTGATGTTATCTCAACGGAGAATTAAAAAATAAAAATATAAATTTATACGCGCGTATAATAAAATCTGCTGATTGTTACGGAACAGAAGAAATATATAGAAGAGTTTTAACAATACAACTAATTGTTTGCTTATCTGGAAACATAAATAATAATACACTTCTTCTCGTATTTACACTCATTTACATGTCATTGGGGATTATCGCGTTAGGTTTATCCTTTTTTTTTTCATTGAATACACATTTCCGCTCTCTTGCGATTACAAATATCAAAAAGACCTTATGATCAATTCACACGTGAGTCGGGCTCATTCTTTTTTTCTTTTTATCAAATGAACTCAAAGAGTGAGTTTTCTTTTATAATGAATGACTGGCGTGGCCGATTTCTCTTTCGTCTCGGCGCGTCGCTTTTTGGTTCTGGGCGAACCACCTTTTTGGAGGAAAATTTCAAAATAAATGCATTTGAGCACCAAAGATTGTTCATAAAGAGGGACTCCGGGGAAGTTGGCAGTACGGCAAAAGCAAACTAGTTAGAAAAACCGAAAAATGGCCGGGAATGAAACGCTGCTTCGTGGCCAGCACGAAAAACGTAAAATTTCCTCTCTTGACTAGTCGGCTGCTGAAAAAAACTACACGATTTTGTCCCTTTTTTTAATACAGAATGAAAACTCTTTTGCTTTTGCTTTGCCCCAATCGGTGCTGATGAGAAAGAGAGAAAATCTGGAAGGGAGTGTCAACTTAAAGGCACAATTTCTGGAATAAAATCGTTCAGTCGTTCCGTCGGAAAGTCCCAGCAAATCAGGAGAATGAATTAGAGAAGGAATGTGTGTTTTGTGTCTAAAGAACATGTAGCTCTTGTTTGTGGTTCACTGGTCGCCCGCACGCCGAGATTACCGTCGGTTCAGCTCGCACTTGATTGCTGCAAATTGAATGAGGCAATTATAAATTTGACATTTTACAGTTCAATTATGTATATTCTCACCTTCGACGATTTCCGTCTTGAGCTTCTGCATCTCCTTGCGCATTTCGCGCAAGATTTCCTGCTTGAACGCCTCAAGGTCGTCTGGGGCAGCACCACCGTTGACCTTAGGTGTCGACCCTGCTGCCCCTGGAGGCGTCGCGGCCGCAGCGTCCTCGGAGCCAAAACGCTTGCGTCCAATCTTGGGGCTCTCGCCTCCGCCATTCAACTTGGCGCCATTCTTTTCCCACGGCTGCTTCTTCTCATCCCCGTCCTGAAGAAGAAGAAAAATGTTAAAACGAAAAGTACAAAACACAAACTGTTCAACTGACAAAGAATTGCATTCACTTGGATATATATTTGGTTTTTGTTCTTTTTACTTGCCTGATTGGCGGAGGGAGAAGGAGCCGAAGAGTCTTTGTTCTGCGCGGCCGCACGACGTCTGGCCAGCGTCTTGGCCATTTCGTCCATCATCGAAGCCATACCGCCTCCGCCGCCTCCACCACCAGAGTTATTGGCACCTCGGTTTAGTGTGCCATAATTACTGCCGCTGCTAGACGTACTCGAGCCACTGTTCTCGCAGCTTGCCTAGATTAAATGAAACCATGATTTCCGTCTCCACAATTTTGCGGTTTGTTATTTCCTCTTCCGAGTTTTTAAATATCCAGATCATAAATAAATTCACTTTTCAATCATTTAAAATGTAAATTAAAATTCAACATAACACATTTTTATATAAAATATTGTTCTGTGTAATAAATTAAAGATAAATCAAACTTTTTCCATTAAATAACTTGCATTAAAATTTTCTATAATAATTATACTTACATTTTGCTTGCTATTTCTTTTCAGTTTGGCCTGTTGAAGTGCAGCCGCAAAGGACCCGTTGTCCTGCTGGCCCATCAGGTCTGAACTTGACGAGCGCGACATATTGGGCCCTGGGGGCGGCGGCGGGGGTGGCGGGCCGCCTCCCATGCCCATCACTGGTGGTGGAGGAGGACCAGGGGGACCCGGCGGAGGGGGTGCACAGTGCATTGGTGGTGGCGGCGGTGCTGGTGGACCACCTGATGGTGCAGGGGGTGGTTGTGGCGCGTTTGGAGGCGGTTGGGGTGCCGGCGGTGCTGAAGACGTGCGATGGTGGCCTCCAGGAGGCGTCGGAGGCGGAGGCGCTCCTGGCGAGGCAGCACCTGGACTGCTCACTGCAAATTTTTTACCAAATCTCATTTTACAAATCTATTGCTTTCAATTTGCAGATTTTATAAATCAAGCTGATTGTTTATAAATTTTTTTATTCTTTTCAGTCAATATAAAGAATTGTTAAAAAATTGGAAAATTTTACATAAAAACAAATTCTTAGATCTATCAAAAGTAAATGAATATATAATATAATTTCTGTGACTTTTCATTGAATGTTTACAAATATTTGCACAGATTAAAAAAGGAACTCATTTAATCAATTCTCCCTAAGATAATGAGCAGGAAATGGTTTTTTTCTGCTATTCAACATCAGAAAAAGAACAAAGAAATATTGCAGCTTCAATTCACTAATGATGCGAAATGTTGACTTACTCGGCTGGTGCTGTTGCTGATTAGACATCCTGCGTTCCTGGATGATGGCAACATCTTCTCTGGTCATTGTTCTGCAAAAAGTCAAGGGGTTGCTTTTAGAGAGGGAAAAATTTCCCAGCAACGTTCGTGCAAAAAGAGAGAAACCAAATGATTATGTTACATCTTGGCCCCATGACAGAAGTCGCTGCTGTTTGTTAATCGGCAGACCAGCACCCTGTGCGTAACTCCGACTACTGAGTGAACTGAACTGAATTTACCAAAAAAGTGACCAAAGTAAAACAGAGGCAGGATGAGGCTGAAAATGTATGTACGCAACCAAGGAGAGAGGCTTCGCTTCCACTCTTTTACCACCACACTGATGCGACTAACAATACCAAGTATGACCAAGGGACACAGCAGGTATATATTTCAAGGGCAAAACTGGGCAATTTAAATTTATCAGCGAAACTTAAAATGTACAATTTTTAATTCAAATGATCCCAGTTATAAAAAATTGAAACCTTTCCAATTCGTATTCGTACATGTCAAAACTAAAAAGAATAAACTATTTACAACACAATTCAGTTTTTCTACAGAGCAATAACTGCTGCTGGAATAAAATTATCCAATTCATTTTTAATCTTTGTCATACATTTTAAAATCAATAAATTAATGTATTTAGTTTTTAATTAATCAATTAAGTATTGATGAAAATGGAAGTTATGTACATTAATTCCTTAAATAATATTTTGATAGACCAAAAAAAATGTTAATTTTTACAAATAATTTTAAACCATCACCGAATTTGTCAAAATTTAATTGAACTAGCATTGTACATGACCTAAGGCATTTATATTCACAGCAGATAATTTTAGTGTGATAATTTAACATGAATAAAAACCCAAATTTCGGTGAGAGGCCGTAATAGTTGCCGGTCGCAGTTTTGCCCTTGACGAGGTGGGAGGGGTTGGTGGTTGGGCACGCTGAGGGTGGCAGGGTTCGGTACCTGGATCCTTGCGGCGACGTGTGGTAGAAACTAGGGGGCAGTTGTTGCTGGGGCAGCTGCGGCTGTGCGGCCGGCGGGGGCGGACCGACCCCCTGTGGACCGCCGCCTCCGCCGCGGAGGCCTTGGATCGTCGCCGGGTGACCGGGGGCGAAGTAGTCTTGCTGCAGACTAGCGGCGGTTGCCATGATTTGGCTGCCGCACCCCATCAGACCAAAATCGCGTCAAACTCAAACAAACTGAAACTCACCTGTAGCCCATGTCCTCCTCGTAAGATCCGTTCGGCGCCTGCTGTTGCCCTGCGTACATCGGCTGCTGAGGCACAGACGGCGGCGCCTGTTGCTGCAGTGGGGGCAGTGGAGGCGGCTTGTTGCCACTCAAAACCTGACACAAATAATCAATTTAATATAAATTTTCCCAAAATTCAACAACGACTAATTAAGACAAAACAGGGACAAAATGTATGGAATCCAAAGATTGGAAAGCTTTGATTGATTTTTTAATTTTTTCTTTCAGAAGAAATTTTATCATAATTTATGAACTCAAGAGTATTTATAAAGTATAAATTTTTTGAAGATTATAATAAATTATTTAAAATAAAAACACTTTAAAGATGTCTAATTTTATTTCTTAAATTTTTTTTAACTATTATCATTCTCTTTTTTAACAAAAAATAATAATTTAATGCTTTTACGATTGCGTTTGTTTTGAATAGGCAAATGGTGTCATTAACCAGTTTGATTAGCACAACCCGCGGTTTCCTTTGAGATAAACGAAAGACGGAAATGTGTCGAGAAACGGTTGAGAGGATTTTAATAAATTATCAACACTTATTGTACACTTGAACAGAATGTTAGCACTTATCTGGTTTTAAATTGTTTGTTTCGCACAATCTCAAGCATAGTAAAACTTGATGACTTGCTGCTTGTCAGATAATTTGAGTCTTTCTTTAAATTTAAGATAAAACTTCTCACTAGATTTTTTAAAGGAAATTTAATTATTTAGTTGCGACCTCCTCCCCCAGTAAAAAACTGCACTCAATAAGAATTGTTTTAATTATTTAACTCTTCACAAATTGATTAAAAATTTTAAAGACTAAAAAAGTTAAAATGAAAGCCCATCTTTTATCAAAATGATATTTATAATAAAAATAAAACTAGTAGTTTTCAGCGGCAAGGAAATTAAATTGAACTTAATGAACATAATATAATAAAATTAGTAAGAAATTATCATGTTTGTTGGGACATTTTTTGATGTTATTTGTGGTGACAACAAAATATGATTAAAAAAATAACTCTAGCTTAATGTTTAACAAACAAATTGATAAAAAAAAATTAGTACAATCAACAGCCACCTAGGCGGATGTGGTCTTTTCATGTAGGAATTTAATTTAATTCTGCCTAGTGGTGATGCCGTTTTGTGGAAATGTTTCTTTTTTTTTTAAATGTAAAACTTTTCCAAAAGTTTGAAGACAAAATAAATAATAATTACATCAGCAAGTTTTAAGGAAGGAAAAGTGACTAAATTAAATTATTATGATATTGAATGAAACAAATTTTTGAAAAAAAGGACTAACAAGATTAAAAAAATAATCATAATTACATCCAGCACATGAAGCATAGCCCTGGCAAAGGCCTCCGCGTCCTCTTTGCTGCTGAAGTTGAGTCCGTAGACCTGCTTGTTGTCTCGCCATTGGTGAAACGTGGTGGTCGCCTGGTTGTACTTAAGCCCTTTGAGGATGGCACAGTTGATCACCACCTGTGTCCGTCAGAAAAATCGGTCAGCCGAATTTAAAAAAAGAATAGAATTTAATACCTCAAGGTCCTGCAGCTTTCGACCGACGACGCGGAAGCTGTTGTTGAGCTGGTGGTGGTAAATGTGCACCTTGCTGAGGCCCGAAGACGTGCCCGACGGCACCCAACGCTTGATAGCGTCCTCGTACACCATCACCGACGCCCGCGCCGACGCGATGCTCTGCTCGCTGCGCGCCAAAAGAAAAATAAAACACAGGTGTAAAAATTTGCAAATGACATGAGAGCAGGGTAGTCATGCGGAGAAGAAAAAGGAAGAAGAATTTGAAGGAAGAAAATTCAATGTCAGTGTTGGAAAAAAAATGATAACTTAAAAAAAAACTTAAAAAAAAAGAAAGGATCTAAAGATTTTTCTTCTAAATTATATTTCATGGATTTCAATTGAGACAAACAGGGAAACAGGGAATTTAACAATTTTTAAGTAAAGAATCATAATTTAAAACATTTTTATACTTTTTATTACATGGCAATGTCAAAAAGGAAAGCCTTCTATCTTTTAATGTTAAAGCTATTTTTTCTTATAATAATATTTCTTTCTACGTTAAAATTTCAATTAAAAATAAGAAAACTAAATTTAAAATGTGTAATTAAATCTTATAGACTTCATTCATTTTTAAGTTTTTCAGGAGAAGAAAGAGGAAGAAGAAATTGAAGGACGAGAATTCAATGTCAGTGTTTAAAAAAAAAATATTGATTAATTTGGAATTTTTTTACAAAAAATTAAAGTGACAAATCATCAAGAGATTTTTTTTATAAATTATATTTCTAGGATTTAAATTGTGAGACAAAAATGAAAATTAATTTGAATTAAACAATTTTAAAATTATGAATCGTGACTGACATTTTTTTCATTAAAAGTCAACGTCAATATAAATAACTTTTTAATCTTTTCATATCAAAGCTTTTTGAAAAGTAATCAAATTTCTCACTTCACAATACTAAAATTTCTATTACAAAATCATGGCTTCATTCCTTTTTTGAGTTTTTCAAAATAAATAAATTTAACAACACTGAATTCCATAATAACACACAAAGACAGAAAAAATAATTTCAAAATTTGGAAGTGGCAGACGATTCATTTTCTGTTTCAGTCGCCACTGACCCCAAACAAGCGGACACAAACATCGCAAAACACCACAATTATTTGGAACAATCCGCGGTTTTCGCGTTTCTCATGCTCTAGAAGCGTCTTTTCTCGAGACGACCTCCGTTTTAATTTCCTTCTCATTTGCATACAAAGCTATTTCAATTTTGTGTTCTCCACGTAATTATGGTACCTGCGCTGGTCATCGTTAGCGGCCACATTCGGGGCAACAGCACCTGCATTTCGCGCGTAGTGACAACTGCAAATACATTTAAAAATTGCACGCTTTTTATTGATTCGTCATTATAAAACAAGAAAGTTAAGTCGAGCGAGGAAAGAATCTTTTAAATCAAGTTCGTGACTGTACAAGCAAAGAAGACTTTCGCGGTCGAGAGCACAAGAAATTCAACCGGCCGCAAAATCGGATCTCCTGGCCGTGTCTAACTGTTTCGCCGCCTCTGCTTTGGAGGAAAAGTCACGACGGTCTTTTTATATTTTCTTTTCATTTCATTAGTCATTCGACTTTTATCTCGAAATGGGAACGGCCAGGATTGAGATAAGTCACCTTTTAATTTAACTTCCGCGAAAAAAATTTCCTTATTGCACTAGTAGGAAGTGGATTTGTTTCATCTTCTCCGTAACACACATTTTTATTTGTTTGACTCGATTATTTTATTAATTATAATTGACAATTACGGGCCACGCCCCTTTAGTAAATCGTCGCCCGCCCTTCCGTCGGCGTCGACACGGCCATATTTCGACTAAATCCGGCCGATGGAAACACCTATTTAATATCCTGGAAATTTTAATTTGGCATTTTGAAACCGGCGCCGTTTCAATTTTCAGCTGAAATTGCAAACGAAATGTTTTCGCAAAATTCATAAACAAAACGGGGGGTCCTGTCGTAAAACTGTTTACAAAGCAAAATTTGACCGAATTCCATACCAAACTAAAGCTAAAATTATTCGGTTTTATAAATTTGAAATTGAAATTTCTCAGACATGTGGTTTTTGACCCTGTAATTAATTTTTTGACTTGTATGTATAAGCCGAATCACAATAATCTTCCTACAACCCATTCCCCAAATTCACCCTGGTGGCTCACATCAATTTTTAAATAATTTATCCACCCACACGAGTCTTAACTCTAGGAAAATATTTTCGGCGGCCGGAAAGTCGGCTCCCCCGCAGAGTGGCGGCGCCGACAGATGAGTTTTGAGATTCATCTCTTCGGCCACCGACCGGGAGTGTCGTTCGTGTAAGGAGCCGTCGCTCGGAGTCTGGACCAAAGTTTTCGCCTGGACTTGGAGGCGGCACTCACCTCATCTTGGGGCTTCCGGGGGCGGGTGGGGGCGGCTTCTACTCAGGGGTGGCGCGGGGCAAGTCGAAAGACGGCGCCGATCCAACTCAGTCGCATAGCGCGATCGACGCCATTCGGCCCTTTTTTATGTCCGTCGTCGTCCGTCTGTCTCTTGTCTCTAGAATGGCTTCTTCGCCGCCAGAGGCGTCGCGGTTGCTCAGGCTCCACCCGATCTTGAAATTATCCTATTAAAAGATGAGAAATTCAGCCATGTTTCACAAAATCTAATAACTTAGAGAGAACTGTATTTTTATGCCAGCGAAATACCTCTTTTAATGAAATAAATAAGCAAAAAACCTCTATAAATGATTTTTAACTACTCGATTATTTTTTAACATTAAAAATTTAACTTCATTGCCAAATAAAAGCAGTAAAGTTTTGAAAAATTCCTCAATAAATTTCAAAAGTATTCTTAAGTTCCCGCCTTATCGGCATTCGCGGCTTTTATCGCAAAAAATTGCCATCAGCGCCATGGTGCGGCAGCTTGTGACCCTCACCGCTGACTGAGTTTGTAAACTTTGAGAGGTTTGTGGACTGAAGTCTCCAGTTTTTATCTAATTTCCAATGATTTGACTACAACTTGGTCAAGAACAGACCCGCAGGAAAAATGCACATTAAACAGGTTCGTATCTGCAGCTACACAAATTCATTTCTATAAGACAGTAAAATAATAATGCTTAGTAAAAAACCAGTCGTCCAGTTTTCTAGAAGCTGTCCTTATCCATCTTTTTCGTTTCAGGTTATTATTCAGGGCTTTAAAAGCTACCGTGAGCAGACTGTGGTTGAGCCCTTTGACCAGAGGCACAACGTCGTTGGTAAGATTTCTTTTCTGAAACGCTTGAAATAATTATCAGTTTATGATAATCACTTTGTGTTTTTTTTACAGTCGGCCGAAACGGGTCTGGCAAGTCCAACTTCTTCTCAGCCATCCAGTTTGTGTTGAGCGATGAGTACTGCCACCTTCGAACAGAGCAGAGGCAGGCCCTATTGCACGAGGGCACTGGACCCAGGGTCATCTCTGCTTACGTTGAGATTATCTTTGACAACTCTGATGGACGTCTGCCTGTAATAATCTCATATTTTTCTTTTTAATTGGCAAGTTTTCTGATGCACATTTTGATGCAGATTGACAAGGATGAAGTCTGCGTGCGAAGAATGATTGGTGCCAAGAAGGACCAGTTCTTCCTTAATAAGAAAATGGTCACCAGGGCTGATGTGATGAATCTTCTAGAGTCTGCTGGCTTCTCCAGGTCCAATCCCTATTACATCGTCAAGCAAGGAAAGGTATGAAAACAGTTACAGGACATTTATTTCATAATTTTTAAATAAATATTCTCGATTTATACATATTAAAGTTAATTGTAAGCTTAAAAGTTTTTACGGCTTTAAAAGTAAAGAAGTGTTTATTTTATTTAGATCAACCAAATGGCAACTGCACCTGATTCGCAGAGGTTGAAACTGTTGCGTGAGGTGGCTGGTACCAGAGTGTATGATGAGAGACGTGAAGAATCGCAAGGAATTCTTAGAGGTGACGGAATTTTTTTAATTTTCATTCAATCTTATTCATTTTAAACAAACGATGAATTTAAAAAAAAAATCTTTTGTCAATCTATGCAGAAACCACTGGTAAAGTTGAAAAGATCAAGGAATTCTTGAAGACGATCGAGGACCGCTTGAAGACCTTAGAGGATGAAAAGGAAGAGCTGAAGGAGTACCAAAAGTGGGATCGAATGCGCCGTTCGCTTGAGTACACCATCCACGACAGGGAACTCAAAGAGACAAGAAAAAAGCTCCACGAAGTATGTTGTTTTTGTTTTTCCAACTGAATAAAATTAAACCATTAATTACTTTGTAGATGGAGCAGCAGAGGAAGAATTCCGGTGAAAGTCAGGAAAAGCTGAGAAACAAGCTGCAGAAGGCGCAGGAAAATGCAAAAATGGCCATGAAGGAACTCAAAGATGTCAAACAGAAGGTGGCAGCATGCAAAGAAGAGAAAGAGACCTGCCAGGCTGAAACCCAGCAGCTCATCAAAGAGCGCACTAAACTTGAACTAACAAAGCAGGATCTGACGGATGAAGTCACCGGCGACAACAATTCAAAGGTTTGCATTAAATGCATTTTCTGATATCTTGTGTGATTTGCTCCATTTATTGTTTTTTAATTATGAAAATTTCTTTCTGAAAATTGTAGGAGAGAGCTGAGAAGGAGTTGGAAAAACTGAAGGATCAAATTTCGCAAAAAGAAAAAGAGCTTGAGCTTCTGAAACCCAAATACGAGGAGATGAAAAAGCGTGAGGAGGACTGTACTCGAGAGTAAGCTATTTTTTCCAGGAATGATTTTGTCTAATTTTGCTTTGTCGCTAGATTGGCACTTAAAGAGCAGAAGCGGAAAGAATTGTATGCAAAGCAAGGTCGAGGGAGCCAGTTTACTTCCAAAGAGCAGCGTGATCAGTGGATCCAGACAGAGTTGCGCTCTCTGAAAAAAGCGTTGACAGACAAGAAGGAGCAAATTGACCGTCTCACCGAGGAACTTAAAAAGGATGCTGAGAAGAAAATCCAGGCAGAGAAACGCATTGAGGTTTGATAGAGTTAAAAATTTTTGACACAGTTTTAAACATGGCATTTTTAGGAACTGAATATGGAGATGGAAAATCACAGACAGAATATTGATTGTCACAACAAAGGTTTTTACGATGACAAAAAGAGGAAAGACTCCCTTCAGGCCCAGAGAAAGTCAGTTTATTATCATTTTTCATTGGCAATGATTCTAAAAATTTCTTTTGATTCAGTGAATACTGGCGGAAGGAAAGTTCTTTGCAGCAACAAATCGCCTCTTTGAGAGAAGATCTCGCCAAGGCTGATCAGTCCCTTCGATCCATGGCAGGCAAGGTAAGACAAAACATTAGTAAAAATTTTGTACTCACATTCAAATTGAGATCTTAAAATGCGTTTTATGAATACTCAAAGGTATTCCACTAAAAAAAAACCATTCTATCTTACAGCCCATTCTCAATGGTCGTGATTCGGTTCGCAAAGTGCTTGACTACTTCAAGGAGAAAGGAGGACACTTGGCCGAGGTTGCCACTTCATACTATGGGCCTGTCATTGAGAACTTTGATTGCGAGAAACAAGTGTACACTGCTGTCGAGGTGACTGCGGGCAACCGTCTCTTCCACCACATCGTCGACTCTGACAAGGTTGGCACCCAAATTCTCAAGGAGATGAACCGTCAGAAGCTCCCTGGAGAGGTCACCTTCATGCCTCTCAACCGACTCAACGTCAAGGAAACCAACTATCCTGAAAGTGCTGTAAGATGGATTTCTTTTGAGTTTTGAAATTAAATATTTTACATTTTTTATCAATTCAATTTTAAAATAAATAATCCTTGACAGGACGCACTGCCTATGGTGAAGAAGCTCAACTATGAGGACAAGTATGATAAGGCAATTCGCTATATTTTCGGCAAGACCCTCATTTGCCGCAACTTGGAGGTAGCGACAAAGCTTGCGAGGACAACACAGCTCGACTGCGTGACCCTCGAGGGTGACCAGGTTTCATCAAAGGGCTCTTTGACTGGTGGTTACTTCAACACTAGCCGTTCGCGCCTCGAGATCCAAAAGACACGCTCAGAGCTGATGGGACAAATCAAGGGTAGCGAAGATGAGCTGGCAAAGTTGCGCGCTGATCTCATGAACACCGAAGGAGAGATCAACAAGATTGTCTCAAAGATGCAGCAAACTGAGACCAGAAACAGCAAGTCAAAGTAAGTAATTTTTTTCAAAAATTCAAAATAGTTGGATTCATTTGAAAAAAATTGTTGCTCAACAAATTTTTCTTGGTATAAATTTTGAAATGTGTCTTGCAGAGACGTTTTTGATAAGGTGAAGGCAGACATCCGTTTAGCTAAAGAGGAGCTCTCTGCCATTGACCGGTCACGTGGACCCAAGGAAAGGTCGCTTGCGCAACTGAAGTCGAGTCTTGAGGGCATGCAGACAACAAAGGAGGGCCTCGAGAATGAATTGCACCAAGAGTTGATGACCACTCTTTCTTCGAGCGACCAGAATGTCGTTGACAATCTCAATGATGACATCCGACGTCTCTCTAAAGAGAACAAGGAGGCCTTCAGCACTCGTATGCGCCTTGAGGCTGAAAAGAACAAACTCGAGAATCTTCTGACAAACAATTTGATTCGCCGAAAGGACGAGTTGGTTCAGGTGTGTTTTACTTTGATCTCTTAAATATATCTTTTTTACTTAAATCTTGAATAAAAACTTATTTGAACGTTTTTAAAACTAGGCGCTTCAAGAAATCTCAGTGGAAGACAGGAAGCGGCAGCTAGATAACTGCAAAAACGAATTGGGCAACATTGATTCTCGACGTGAGACCGTGACTGCCGGTTTAAAGGAGGCGGAAAAGAAACTGTCAGAGTTGATGAAAAAACAGCGCTCGGCCAATGGTGAGCTTGATAAATGGCGCACACAAGAGAAGGAGGCCCAAGAGGCTCTTGAGGAGGACGCTCGTTCCTTGGACAAAATGGCCACTAAGCAGAACATGCTGCAGAAGAAAATTGATGAGTGCACTGCCAAGATCTGCGACCTTGGGTCGTTGCCTTCTGACTTCTTTGACAAGTACCAAAATATGAATACTAAAAACGTATGTATTTTATTAATCATTTTGTGAGCCTATATTGGAAATTAATTTATTTTCTGCAGCTGTTTAAAGAGATGGAAAAGGCAAACCAGCACCTGAAGAAATACAGCCACGTCAATAAGAAGGCTCTGGACCAGTTTATGAGCTTCTCTGAGCAGAGAGAAAAACTTAACAGCAGAAACGGCGAGCTGGAACGAGGGTACTTTGTTTGCTCTTTTTTTACATTCATTATGCACTGTTTGCCTCTTTCAGTGATGAGAAAATCCACATGCTGATGGACGTTCTAGAACAGCGCAAACAAGAAGCTATCCAGTTGACTTTTAAACAAGTGTCGAAGAACTTCAGCGAAGTTTTCAAGAAACTGGTGCCTGCTGGAACGGCGCAACTTGTCATGCGCAAGAACAATGAAGACGTTGAACAAGCTGGCACTAGTGCTCAGGTACATTCGATTCAGAAATTACTCAAACATAGATTTAATCAATGACTCCTTATTTTTCGTCAGAGTGGAGAGTATGACCAATACTCTGGCGTGGGCATCCGCGTCTCCTTCACCAGCAACACGGCTGAAATGAGAGAGATGAACCAACTGTCTGGTGGACAGAAGTCGTTGGTTGCCTTGGCACTCATCTTCGCTATCCAGATGTGTGACCCTGCTCCCTTCTACTTGTTTGATGAAATCGATCAGGTCAAAAACAAAAACTAAACTTCAATAATCTGACTGATTAAAATTTTAAAATGCAGGCCCTTGACGCGCAACACAGAAAGGCAGTTGCCGACATGATCCATGAGCTGTCAGGCGAAGCTCAGTTCATTACAACTACTTTCAGACCTGAGCTGCTGGAACACGCTAACAAATTCTACGGAGTCAAATTCCGCAACAAGGTAATTTTTTGTTAAAAATCAATTAAAACCAACTGCACAGCACATTCCACAGTTTTGTTGGGCATAATAGTATGTTAAATGCTTAAATTGAATTTTTATCATTTAAATTTCTCTCATTTCAGGTGAGTCACGTTGAGTGTGTGACCAGAGAGGAGGCGCGAGACTTCGTCGAGGATGATGCCACACAAGGCTAATTTTACAAACGCATTTTAGTTTCTACAAATATATTGTTAAAGTCATCCCACATCATATTTACGCCATGTCTTATAATATGTGAAAGTTGTTTATAGTGGAACTTACTCATTGTCGACTGTCTGAATGTCGTCTTCCCCATTATTACAAAGATTTTAGTTGCATTTTTTGGTATAATAAAAGTCTTTTTAGAATGTAATGCCTGCTTCTCCTTTGCCTTCTACCCCTCAAATCATGAAATCAGAACTAATTTTCAAGTTTAACTTTTTTAATAGCGGAATGTCTTTACAAAAATCTGCAACGCCCCACAGTACACAAAAATTAACAAAAATTCTCACACGCGCACACTCATAATTTTCGTAGATTTTCTCATCCTGAACTAGACTCAGCGTTGGCGTCGGTTTTGCGCAAACTTGGATAGCATTTTGTTGCCGCAAAGGAAGGTGACTGCACCGATACCCAACAAGTATTTGAGTGTTGTGAACATGTTCAATTTCAAAAAGAAGATGCCGAAGAGACCAAAAATTCCTGTAAAAATATATAAATTTTAACTTGATGAAAAGTAAACTCATATGAGAAAAATTACCTCCGAGACCGAGATGGAACCCAATTGCATACAACGAAAAAGGGAAGTTTGAAATGTTGACTCCAATTCTGGCCCACTGAAATTAAAATATTGCACAATTAATTTTAAAAGATTTCAATATTAACATAATACAAAGTAGCATTAAAACTACTTACCAGAATCAACAAAATGGCAAAAGGAACACAAACGAGACCAGTGAACAGGGTCGAAACGGTGGCTGGGGGCCTCTTCTCTGGTTCTCGGAAGAGATGCTATAACAATTAAACATCACTTTAAGCTTTCCTTCCAAATTAAATATGGGTTTCTTACCTTGATTTCTGGCTTAGGTTTGTAGATTTGTTGAATGTCGACCAGAGGTGGTGCAGAGCCACCACTAGTGAAAGTCAGCGCCACTTCTCCAACCTGCCAAGAGAAGGAGTTGCCAAGGACAGCATCTCCGACCAGCAACTCCAGACGGTACTTGCCCGATTGCTGCTCAAAGTCAGACGCGCGTGCTCCAATGTCCTAAAATAAATAATATTAAATTGCAAAATAGGAGGAAAAATAATTCATTACCAAGTCAAATCGGTAAGACTTTCCAGCATCAGGCTCGGCAACAAAAATGACCTCGTTGTTAGTTGCCACATTGATCAGCTTGACAAAAGCTTGGTGCACAGTGATGGGCTCTTTGGTTGTCTTGTCCTTCAGGGCAAATTTCATCAAGAGACGTTGGTGCCAGTCAGCCTCAAGGACAAAGTTCGCTTTAGAAGGGTAAGAGACTCTGTGATGAAGAAAAATTCATTTAGACAAAGATGCACATAAAAAAAACAATGAGAAAAAATGCTCACTTTTAAATACATTTTCAAATGTTCTTTCATAATTAAAGTTTTACTCACTTGTTCATTTTAGGTGCTGTTGTCTGGTCAGCATCAGCAGTTCCAAGTTCAGCCACTTCAACCAAAACCTCACCGAGCATCTTGACCTGCACCTGGGCTCCAGTAAGTCCGACGAGGCGCTCATCAGGCTTGTTGGGCTTCACGCTGAAAATCAAGTTGTAGAAGCCACGCTTCCCCTTTGCGCTTGAAAGGTCCAATGTGTATAGAGTGCTGCAAAGCAAGCGGGAAAATTAATTATTATGTAGCAATTTTAAAAATTGTTGTCCTATTTTCCTTAGTGCAGTTCAATGCAGTTTTTTTTATTATTCATACAAAATAAAAAATTGTACCTATCTCCTTGCTGGGCAGCCAAGGCGACTTTAGCCATTTCAACAACACCGTCATTTTGACGAGTTGCCGTGTCTAGGGTCACGGTCAAGGGTCCGAGCGAGCGACCAAGCAAGTCACTAACCCTAACAGACACCTGAGGAGTAGCGGCTGTGAGGGCAGCAGCGCTTGCCAGGGTCACAACAACTGGTTGATGGAACTGCAAAGAAAAATTTGTTCCACATCAATTCATATTATCTTCATTACCAACACCAAGTCATAAATGATTTTCATTTAATCAGTCAAGTTATATAGTTTCTTCAGCCGTTTTCAGAAGAACGAAAGTTTATATTTAGCATCATTTTAAATCATGGAATTAAAGAGATTTGGTAACCATTTCTTAAGAAGACATACCTTGTTGCTGGTCATGGTGTGGAGAACCTCGAGCAGGCTGAAGACACCCTTGGGTGATTGCACTGACTTTCGGCTCACGAAGAAGTTAGCGAACTTGGTTGCTTGGTCTCCAGAGATGGGAGGCTTCTTTTCATTGGCTGCAGCCAATTTGTATGCGCCGCTAACCAGTAGAGCTGCAACAGCATCACAAAATAAAATTATTAATTGCATTTTTAAACAAAAGGAGTACAATTTTCTAAAACAAATCACTTCCAAATTACCATTTTATTTTAATCAAGAGACAAGCAATTATTAAGATTGAATTAAAAAAGTGAGACTGATAGACTTAAAAGTGGAACTCCGTTTAGCAACAAAGCTTTAATGAAGTTGCAATTACCTGTGATGCTGATTCCACCCTCAAACTGCAGCACTTTGCCATCAACCTCGTCAGCTTGAACAATGGCGTCCTCAATACGATCAAAGGCAAACTTGCCAGCAGGACCCATAAGTGCGGCTAAGTGAAATAAGTAACCAAGGCTGTAAATATACAAAGGAATAATTTAAAATATTATTTATTAAATTTTAAATTAATTTCATCAGGAGCATAATTTCATACCGATATAGAGACATTCTGTTTGAATGACCAACAGTTAAAAAAAGGTAAATAAAAATTTGAAAAATATAATACTTGAGCAGACTGTCGTCCTTTTTGATGGCCGTCTGCAAGTTCTTTGCCAGCTTGCTGATGTCCTTGGGCTTCTGACCAAGACTGATTAGTCCTTGGTAGGCAAAGTACAAGTTTGGAATGCTCGAATCCTCACTCTCAAGGGCAGCGCTCAAGTCCTAAAAAATTATTCATCAATTTTAGCAAAATTTAAGCAATTTAAGACAATGTAATTTAGTACTTATTTTAAAAACAAAATTCACCTTAGCAATATTAGTGGGCAGTGATCCGGGGCAGTTGCCGATGACCTTCCAAGTATCAACAACGTGATAAAGGACGGGCGCAGAGTTGGCCCCAGTTGCTGTCGCAGAGCTCAAAGCCAGTTTGCAAATCACCTGTGAGGAAAAGGAATTTTTAATTTAATTTTTTTGTTATTTCCGGGTCTCTCAAGTTAATATACGTACGTCGGTTTTCTGGGGCTTTTCATTGAGCAGACCAAGTCCGAGGACGGAGTAATGCACGGCGGTGATGTCATTCGAGTCGAGAGCGCCCAACAAGGCGGTTTTGAGTCTAAGCCGGTCAGCCGGCGTCACGAGGTCGGTCGTCGAGAGGCCGACGACGACTGCCGACAACCCCAACAGCACCACCCACACTGAAAAAAGGGGAAAACGTCAAAATACTCATTCTACAGACGTGGCGGCGTCAACAGCCAGACACCGGCCGGCTGATTAGCGCACGACTCGATGCATTTCGACCGCGAATCGGCCGAAAATCGACAACCGAAAAGTGCTGAATTCGAAACTCACCTGCCCTCATGACTCCGTCGACGCGAACTCAAGTCCTGAAACCGAAAAGGTCTTTAGGATCAGGAACAACAACGAGGAACCAAACTGGTGGGACGTGGTCGGCTTTCCGGCAGCCAGCAGGTCACGACGCAACTACGACACGGGGCGCCAAATTCAGGCATAGTTTGAAAGTTTGAGGTTTGAATTTTGAATTTTTGTATAAAATTTATGTTCATAAGAAATGTTTTTAATAAAAGTTTCATTACTTCTTAAAACTTTCCCCATTTTTGCAGTGGTTTGTTTATTATGGAAAGGTGGCTGGTGGCATTAAGTTAATAATATGCATACTATTTGCAAATTTGCGCTTGTCATATGTGCGCATTTGTAGCCAAATTTGAATTAATTCCTGTCCAAATGACAATCCAGTCAATTTACCAAATATAACACAAGAATACCTTTACAAAATTTAAATTTTAATCAAACCAACATAAATACGATAAATACATTTAAATTAATATGAAACCAGATATTGTAAAGTAAAATATATTCTCGTTTTATTAAAGAATCCATATTCAAATATCAGAGGAGAGAGATCCATATATTATATGGATATCATCAAAATTTATTTTTTCGTCACATTGGTTCGTCAAGGATATGGATTTTACCTGGATTTTACAATAAGTATTTTCCGTCTCATTAGAAGAGAGCCATAAATTGAAATATCAGAGCAATTAATCAAAATACTTCATTATTCTTAATTGTTCACATTTGTTCATCGAGGAAGGATTCGTCCAGAGGGTCTTTGGATTCACTTTCACTACCAGACATGGCTAAGTTGAGAGCTTGGAATGGTTTGTTAACATGTAGATTAGCTAAACAGGAGGCACTAAAGTACATGATTTTTGGGGCAAAGGCGCACAAACTTTTGCAGAAATCAAGCATTTCACTGGTAGCTGAGTCTTGACTAAGAAGCAGGTCAAAATCGCGCAGGTTTTGAAAAATCAGTCCTGCCTCCACTTTTTGCTTGAGAGAGGACAACTCGTCAACCCTCCACAAGACGTTGGTAAAACTCACATACTCCAAATTCGGCGCGCTCAGGATCTGGGGCAGGAAGCTTGGTGGCATCAAGAGTTGAGCTCTATGAAATACAAGTTATCGGCTATAATATAAGCAATTATTGAAAAATACTTAAAATCAGTATAAATTTATTCTATAACTACAAGAAAAAAAATGTATTCAGCTTATAACAATATTGTAATAAAGAATATATAATTATTGTATTTTAAAATAATTTTAAAAGATTAATCTTTTAAAATTTCAAAATACAATATATATTCTTCATTACAATATTGTTATAAGCTGAATTATAATATTTCTCATTTATGCAAAATAAAATTGTGATAAAATTGTAATATACCCCAAATTTAAATAATGAAGACTCTTAAATAAATTAAAATTAAAAATTCCTATAAAGCAAATCAAGGTTGTTTTGTTTAGTCTCAGCACTTACGATCTTCCACTTGGGCACATGTGCAAGGATCGGAGGGAGTCCACAAAAGGGGATGCCAATGGTGTTGGAAGCAAGTTGACGAAGGTGTACCCCACAATATGCAAAACTCTCAGGTTGGGGCAAAGCCGGGCAATCTCCCAAAAGTCAACCGAATAGACCTCGTCAAGCATCAGCAGCCTTAGTTGGCGGCCAAAAACATTGAGAAGTCTCATTAGGCAGTGTGGGTCATTTTCTCTCAGGACATAGAGTTTCTCCAGTTTGGGCAATCTTGGGGGAGATTTAAATAGCGCATCGGCGCCCAAGTACTCGGAGATCTAACCAAAGAAATTATATTAGCATATAATTTTTGTAAAGTTAAACATGGATTTATACTCTCACCCTCAAAGCCTTAACATTGCAGAAAAGTTTCATTTGCTTGTCAGTGATGCGAGGGGACAATCCAGTCAGGCTGAGGTGCTCCAGGCTGTAGGGCTGATTGCGGTCAAGCACCTCGTAGTTGATGACTTGAGACGAGTCATATATGCAGGGCGAATCACTCCTTCTCCCAACAATTTGCACTCTTGGCAGGTAGACCAAACAAAAGTTCAAGAAGATGGACATTTTTTTAACCACTGCAGGCATTTGATGCCTGAAAAATGTTGTAGAAAGTGAATTTTTTTTATAATGACAATTTTGGCTATAAATACACTTAATTAAATAACAGACGAAGCTCATAATAAACTTACATTGCCGAAAATTCATCAAATTCTGTAAGCATTTCAGTCAACCTGGGAAGATGTGCCAAGTGCTGAACTCCTCTCTCGGTCACCAACTTGGGTTTGCAGTGCAGTGAACAAAGTCCAGGCAGGTGGTCACCAATCCACATGAAATCCTTGTCTTGCAAAGGCTGTCCAAAAATTTTTAGAACTTGCAGGTGCTGCAACAAATTAGCGCGGGGAGCTGGCAAAAGTCTCTCCAAAAATTTTACTCCTGCCGTCGGCAAAGTAGTGCTCAGCTTCAATGATTTTAGAGTTGCACCTTTTGCTGCCAAAGTCCCAAAGATCTTGAATGAAAGATTTAGATGCTTTAATTGAGAATTTAAATAATAATTTTTTTTACCTCATTGAAACAGCGAAACACAGCAATTTTATTCCTGGTGGTCATACGTGTTGATACATCGCTTACATTGACGAACGCCAAGCAGGCTGAGTCAAAAGTCGTAGTCTGCTTGTCCATCAATCTGACCATGAAATCCGTTCGATCGTTGAATTCTTCCAGAGATAAGGCAGGACGACGTGTCTTCGTCCCAAAAGCCAGAAGCAAGCGTTTTTTCAGTGTCCCGGCTGTAAAAGATGTTTTTTAAATTCAATCTAAATTAAAGTAAATTTTAAATATTAAACTTCCACTGATTATCACCAATTATATTTTGTGTGACAATACATCAATGATATTTAATGCACATAACAGGTTCAAAAATATAAAATATTTCTTATTATTTTTGCTTAATAAGATGTTTTGTGATTTTGTAGCAACAACAGAGAAGATACTGATTATTAATTGCAGAACACTAACAGCTAGATAAAGTCACTTTTATATACATAATTTAGAAATCACAAATGCACAAAAAAAATGAAATTTTTAAAAAGGAAGCAGTGTGACGACTTCTCTTTCTTACCAACAAAATCAACATCAAAAGCTGAATGAGCTCCAGAGTATAGCTTCAAGTATTCAGGTTTCACAATGACCTGAATGCAGAGATCTTGCAAAGTTGGAAGGTTCTTCCTAGTCAAGCTTTTCGCCCGAGCCAGCTTCAGGCGATTATCACGCCTGGAGAAACAAAAATGATTTTCAAAGATTAGAATTAGTTAGATTAAAAAAAACATAAAAATTTGTGAATGCCATCATTAACAGATTATTCATACTTCTTCTGAAAATAATGTGGGTAAAAAGTACAAAGTATACACGAGAATTTATACCTTCTGCGATAAAAGGCGGGTTCTCCGAATTCCATCGTGGTCGAGATCGAAACTTCCACCTCGAGAGCAGTGCAAAATTAGTCACGAAACTATGTAATAAAAAGGTTTGGAATTAATCAAGTGTATATACAGTATGAGCAACGCGAAAATGAAGATTTCTTTAAGGTACACAGAACCACGTGTTCTTTCAAAAATGCCTCTGTGTCCTTGCGCTGCACACACAGATCACGGACACATAGTGACAGACTGGATCAAACAGAGGCCAGAGAAATGAAAATAAAACGAGACACGTTGCGCCGGTGTGAAAAATGTGAATCATAATGGAAGAAAACAAGAAAAGCCGCGGAAATTGCACGTTTGCTGCAGGATTGGAATGTGGCCTTTGAGCCCCAAAAACAGCAGAGCAAAAGTCAGTCACTCTCCTTCGTCCCCATTCTCGCTGCTAGGGATAGTAGAGCTCTGGGATACGAATAAGGGCGGGGCTTAGGTACCAGCTCCCATTTGATTACATTGTACCAGTTTAACATTGCGGGTATGGGGGGGCTCCGCCTTTCTTCGTATCCCATGGTTCTACAATCCCTACTCGCTGCTATTCTTCGCCCGCCGCTTCCCCGCAACATGTTTGATCATGTCCTCTCTGCGCATAGTGAGGATTCCAAACCGAAGTTGTTGTGCTTTTTGTGCAATTTATGCGCAACCTGAAGAAAAATTGTTTAGTTCCTCCCGCCAGTCACACTTCTTTACTTTTGCTATTATTTCGTCAATATTATTGTTTAACCCTCTCCTTTTGATAAAATGTTTTTTTTTTCCAATCAAAAAATCATTTTCGTGCTTATTAAAAATAAAATAAATAAATAAACTTCCTATAGCAAAAATGTGAATGCGGATTATTACGTTGGTTGATTTTGGATCTTATTTTAATAGCTTTAATTTCAATGAAACCGAAATAAGCTTTACCAAATATAAATTAAGAGAATGAAAAATATAAGATTTATTAGAAAATTTTCTTTTTACGTATAATTTTAATTTATTTTTACTTAATGCTCTGCATTGATTGCTGTTAAATTTTTGAATACATATATATTATTATATGGGTAAATATATTTTGTATGAAAATCAATAATGAAAATAATTATCATAAAATGATTAAATAAATAGTAATATTAACTTATATTTTATCTGTTTGACTTTGAATTTTGATGCATTATGATTATGCATAGTATTGTGATGAAAAGATAATTCTTTTTATTTAAATCCACACTTATTTAATTTTTTTTTTTACTCAGAATTACCCGTTTAATTTCGTTGGTTTTTTTTTAAACAGAAAGAATTTATGTTGAAACAACGAAATTAAATTTGATTGTTGGCTGTAACGGAATTCAAAATTCTTGATTGTTGGGTGCAACGGAAAAATTCTTTTGTCTCATTCGATTATCTTCATTTTCTTGCCTTTTGAATTCAAATTTCTCAGAGAGAATTTTCTCAAATTGGAGAGTTGGCAGAACTTCACATTCAAAAGTTACCTGAAGGACCTCATTATCGTTTGACTGAACTGAGGAAGAGAGAAAATTCGTCGACCAGCGGTTGAAGAATTGGGTGGATGCAGAGCAAGAGAAATTTGGTGAACATCAAGAACAGGCAATAATTCAACTTTCGACGGCCACTGGACAGAGCACGACTTGCGGAATACTCGCCTATCAGACCAACATTAAGGCAAGGAGTGTCTACTGTCCTGCGTGGATTCTGGCATCACTCAACATCTTGGGTGCCGACGAGGTCCAAATTCGCATCGTACCCCTCCCAGCCGCAGCCGAGGTCACCCTCAGATCGAGCTGAAAGCCACGACGAGAAAGTTGAGAATCAATCTTTGGAGGCCATTCAACACCATGTGCTGAAGAATTATGTGTCGGTAACAACTGGACAGAGAATACCAAGTCGTGGCTGAGGGTCGCAACGTCGTCTACTCGGTGCTTGAAGTCAAGCCAGTCAACGCTGCTCGCTTGAATGCCAATACCAAGTGGAACTTGCCAACATGGATGCCTGCTCTGCAATTGGAGAACACCGAGACCAACATCACACAAGCTTGTCATCGTCGAGAACGACGGAACGTGTGACCCAGCAGCTCTTGGGGCTCGCTCAGACCGGAAGAGAGCAGCTTACTCCGAGAAAAGTGTGGCCGCCAGGAAGAAGAAGTCAGTCGAGGAGGCTCCGATTGATGTGAACCTGGTATGAAGAGAGAAGCGCCACAGACTAGAAGATAAGCATTTGACAGACCCCTGTGGCTGCCACAAATCTGAAAATATTGCTGGGAAAGACAAGAGAAAGTTTCGGATGTAACATATTTTGGTTTTGGTATCAAATAAACCAAATTCATACTGCCTTTGACATTTATGAAGGTTTTTCTTAAAAGGAACTTTCCCTCATTTTAATTGAAATGTTTTTTTACTGTAGAAAAAAGGTGGAATTAAGTTAATGAGAAAAATATTTGAGTCATACGAGCGAAATTTAGAACAAATTGAATTTCTTCTCCACTTTGCTTTTATTTGGTCAAAAGAAATTTACCCTCATTTAATCATTATTTTTTGGGATAGTTTAATGAAAAAATTAATGAAGTATATTTTTATTAAAAAAAATCTATGCTCTTCCTTTAGCGAAATATATTGAAAATATTATAAAGTTGGTTTTGATTTTGTATGTATTTTATTTTAGATTTGATTTCAAAATTAATTTAAAAATGTAAAATATATGACTGCAATATAATAAAGAAATTGTAAAAGTATTTACAAAAAAAAAAAAAAAAAAATTGAAAAAGATTTTATATTGTTAAATATTATGGAAAATTCATTGGAGTAACTCATACCTAAACTTTATGCAACCTGCGGAGCATACGTGCTGTCCGGTTGCATAGCTTAAATTTGACAAGTAACATCGACATCATGCAAGCATGACGCACTAGGATGCTGCTCACAACCAGCTATAGCAACAATTTGGCAAAAGCTACACAAGAAGAGCGAACGAAATTTTATTTTTTAACGCTTTTAGATGTTTTATTTAAATTTTTATAAAAAGAAAATTATTTTTAATTAAAATAATTATAAACACATTTCATACTTTTTTTTAAATTTGCTGGTAATGAACTTTACCAATTTAAAACTAGCAAGGAGAATGAAAAAAAGATAATATTTAAATTTATTCATTTGCAGATTTTTATATATTATTTTATTTAAAAAAATGGAGATAATAATAAAAAATAAAAAAATTGGTAGAAGCTAAATATTGAATCTGGTTTTGTCCGTTTTGCTGCATTTCTTATTAACACTCTGATAACATACAAGTCTGCTGTGATAATTTGAAAGTCAATTTAATTCTGTATAATTAAAAACAGGTTTATATATTTAATTTTGTTGTTCTTCTAGCAAATTATTTATTTGTTGCACATAACAAAAGATTAAAAAAACTATTAAAAAAATTTTAAATTTAATTATCTTAATTAAATGAAGAAAGCAAGAAAAAAAACAAGTAAAGAAGATTTTTTTAAATTGACATTTCACTCTGGAGCAAAGTTTTATTTTTTTCTTCAGAAAGATCTTGATTTTTTTAAGGAATCGATAATAACGATGAAGATTGACTTAATTGAAGTTTTCCTCTTCATTCAATTGTGATTGGGCAAAATTAAAGTTTAGCCAATGGAGACGTGCGTTTGTTGTCCTATTTGCGTCAGTGGATCTCGCTCGCAAGTTGAACGAACGGCGCTAGTCACGTGGCCCTCCATTCGGCGCACAAAGCAGGCCAGGGCGGATGGGGCTGGACACGCACTCGGGGGCTCAATTGGCCACCGCAACGCGATTATCAATAAATTTGACATTCAACCAGGGTACAAATGAATAATTGCCTCGCTGGGCCGACGTGCGGAGCTTGAATCTCTCTTAACGCGCAGTTCGCAATGGCCGGTTAATCAAAGGTGCTGGGCCAATTGAACCGAGTAATTTTCCACCACGACCCTCCACAGCATGTGTCACATTTCGGCGCACAATATATTACTCAACACAAAATGCCAACATGTTGTGTTCACTGTTCAGATAATAAAATTGTTTCTAGCAAATTCTACAAATTTGTAATTTTTAAATTATGGCAAAATTAAACTTTCTCGACAATAGTTTTTAAAATTGTTTTTGAAATTGTTTTAGATAAGTGAAATTCCCTTTTTATCAAAGAAAGTTTTATTGATTTGACAATCTCATAAAATAAATATAAATTTGGTGTTAATTTAGCCATCGATTTTATGTTTCCACTTAACTTGGGAGAGAAATAAATAAATTTGATAAAGTTTTCACAAAATTTCGAGAAATCGTTATCATTGAATATTGCAGCAAAAAATGCAATATTAGTTAAAAAAAATCAGTTCTCCTTAATCGTCATCAAAATTAATGCGACAATTTTTTGGGGAACCTTCTATTAAATTTATAAATTTTAATTTTATTTACAAGTTAAAAAAAATACTAAAATTCAAGTTATTTTTTGGACGTACAAATAATTTCCAAATCTTTTTTCTAAATCAAATTTTATTACTAAATTTCGCAAAATAATATACACATTCCCCTGCATTCCCCGTTCTCTTTTGATAATTATCAAAACGCATTTGCCTTTTCTTGAATTCCGTCTTCGAACAAAATAAAAATGCAAATCAGTGACGCCGATCTGCTCTTTTTCATCACTTATGCAAGATCAAACGTCTCGAGAGTTAATGAGTTGAGCAACCGTGGAAAACACAAGTAATGTAATCGTAAATTGGATGCACTTCAACTTGTCGCCGCACCTTTTTTTTCATTTAAAAACTGATCACACAACAGGAAAGTATATTTTTGAATTCAAGTTAATGAGGTTGGTTATTCACTGTCCGAGACGCTGGATGGTCCACTCCTGCTGGCACAGGGGACACCGGTTGTTCTGCTTCACCCACAGGGACATGCAGCAGTAGTGGAACGAGTGGTTGCACTCGCCCCAAACCACCACGCAGTCCTGCTTGCCGCTTTCCTGCTTCTGGTTCTCCGACTGGCAACGCAAACACGCATCTGCAAAAATCAAACAAAATTGACATTTTAGTTACAATATTATGCATATTATGGGTTGAAAATAAATTCAAGAAGAAAATTACAGCTAAATTCCAGACCTTATTAATTTAAATTGTGTAAACACAAATAAAAACAGCAATATTGAAATTCTCTATATTCAGTTAAATTTTAAATGTACAATTTCAAGTTATTTTGGTTAAAGAAATTGATGTAAATCATGTTAACTGAGTAAACTGAGCTTCTATTTATTGAGACTTTAATTATCATTTTCTATTTTAGATATTTATAAGTTAATTTTTTAATTGGCAAAAGAAACAAAAAAACAACAACCATATAGTAGCCCTAAATTATTATTTATTTTTATGCAATTTCTTTAATTTCTTGTTTTAAATGAAATATACAAAAGCTTCTCTAAAAAGGACCAAAACTAATTTGGCTGAAAAATCTTAGGAATTTATAAAAAATTATATCTACTGATTTTGCCTCGAAACTTTTACCGGATTTGTCTGCAATTTTTATTTTTGTTTTTTCCAAGATATTTCATAATTAATTAAATAATAAACAAATTAATTATAAAATTTAGTTAATAAAAATCTTGTCTCTCATATTTAGACAATTCTTATTACTTCTTTCAGATAATTTGTTTTAAAAATATTACGAATTTTGCTCTTGTTTTAATTATATAATCAATCATTATGTTTGCTGTTAAAATTAACTTCAAAATTTTTCATTTCAACTTCCTCAATGAATCTTCTTTGAATCAACATCACAAATTTCAATGTCCACTGATGAGTGCATTAAAATTTAATAAAAGAGGCAAAGAGTGCGGTCTCGTCTGGAAAGAGCGAAGAATGCGGTGGCGGCGTCTCGTTTCTCACACTTTGCGATTGCGCCACTGAAAAAGGTCGACTCGCTTCTAATTGTAAGGAAAGTCGCCCATAATTGCGAGAGCAAAGCGTTTCTCTCGGAGAAAAAATGCCTCACATCCTTTGTATGCGCGTGCTCCTGATCACGTAAGAGAAGCCAAGACCAATGAATATTGGAACAATTAACTCTAGTTGGTGGCAATCGATAACTAGACGCGAAACATCATAATTGCACTCGCCGATTTGCTACAAGGTTTTTGCTCTAAGCATCAATTTGCACCCAATGCGAATTGCAACTTGATTATTTATTTTTATTCTTAGTATTGAATGATTAAAAACTCATATATTTTAAAAAGCGACAGGCTAAATTGTATTAGAAAAAGTCTCAAGAAAATTTGATTTTTACTAAAATTTAATTGTCTTTAAGCGAGTATATTTTTATTACTTCCAGAAAAAGAGGGAAAAATAATTCCCAAAACTTTTTTTTATGACATTACTGTTTTTCAAAGAAGACATAGAACTTGAATTCAGTTATAATTACTATTATTATTTTTTTTTTTAAATAAGAAACCAAATATATGTTTTGCCCACATTGAATTTTCAAACAATAAATTGGGTAGAAATTTTGAAAAAGGAAAATGTAAAGTGCTAAAAATTGTATAATCTAATCTTTACTTGCCTTTGAGTGCAAAAAATTAGTTTTTGCACTTATATAATTTGAATGCGAATGACGTCAATGACAAAACTTGCTGTGAAGCATTGCAAGAATAAATGGAGCAAATTAAAAAAATTCATAGTCGTTACGAATCTATACCTTTGAATTAAATATGGGTTAAATGAAATTGGATGAAAAACAAACTCATTCAAAATGTAATTAATTTTCATTTCATTCTATTTAAATTCAAATTTTTGCCTAAAGCAAAGAACGTCCGTTCAATCAACCGACAAGAGTAAAAGTTTTGGCTTTGTTCGTTTCAATTAATCTCAAAGTAATTAAACCCCGCGGCCAGCCTTCCATACGTGTCCGACTTTTTTCGAGCAAAAAATCCGTTTCGAGTCGGCCGAGTTGTCCAAGGCGAACCACATTGAGCTGTATGTCGAGAGGTGTGTGAGCGAGACCGGACGCCGATTGGCCGAGGCGCGGCCACACCTTGCTGGAGGCCGTCGAGATTCGCTGTACCTGCCGTCAGGTCTCTGCCCTGACGACGAACACGGCCGAGCCTCTCTTTCCACTCGGCAGACTCGGGACAATTTGAGAGAGGACAATAAAAGTAGAAGTTGTTACACTTTTTATTTTATATGGTCTTGTTCGACGCTTTTCAACACCGGAGGTGAGACGAGTTTGAAATACGAGAGTTTCGGTTACGCCCTTAATTATCTTGAATGAGCTTTAAGAATAAGTGGTGTGCCTAAATTTTGCAACTTGTGTGAATGTGAACTCATTGCAGATATTTTTGTTTACTAAAAAATATTGAAAATAATATCGTTGCATATAAACAAAATGTAAAATAAAGAGAAAATTAATGAAAAAAATGAAATTAATTTAAAAAAAAAGATGAAAAAAGAATAAAGATTGCATCTGCATTAATATGGCAATAAACTTTTCACATAATGAAACTATAATAATTTATGTGATTAAAAGCCAACGCAAAAAGAAACTGAAAAAATTATGAAAAATATATAGAAATAAAATACAGAAAATACAGTTAAAAAGATTAGTAATAATAATTTGACTTACAAATTAAAATACCAACAAAAATCCTTGATATTACTGTTAATTATATTTAATAAAAAAGAAAATTAGAAATCAAATAACTATTTAATCAAGGTAATCAAGGAGCATTTCAATGCAAACAATTAAAGTGGAACTAGAAAATATGAAACAGAAATAGTTGTTGATCATTTTCTACGAGAATAAATATTTACTTTCGCCACAATCAGATTCCATATTTTGCAGTAATTATTTGCAATCTAAAATTACACCGATGAAAGTATTTTATATTCCCACCCACAATCAGATCTCAACTGGAGCAATCTATGCAAAAAAGTGCGCTCGGAGCTTTTTATCACCACGCGGTGAAGTGAAAGTTCCAAAGTACAAACAATCCCATCGGCCGCTAATCAATCTGCATAACTTTGTTCCAAAGTGCAAGAAATTCTTAAATTTCTGCCGGTATAGATTGATAATCAATCACTTTCGTTATCTGAAAAAAATAAGCGTGAAGAATCTTAAAGAAGTAATGACCTCAGCGAAATTATCTTTCACGGCTCTTTTTTTGATCTGTCAAAATTACAAAAATTCAACAATCCATCGGTGACGTCAAATAATTGAAAGGAATTTGTTTCAATCAAAATTCGTAATGGAGTTGTGAGGAGAGGTCAAGCCAAAGTGCCTATTTACTTGACTGATAAGACGCAAAATTTGAATTAATTTCGCACCACGTCGCGAGTTGCCGGTTCATTATTGTCTCTGGTCGCATTATTGCCCTTGGAGACGGTCAAGTTCAAGGCCAGATCGCAGCATTGACGTCAACCGGGTCCACCTCATGCTCGTAAGAGTTCTCGACGCCCACTTTAAGGGTGGTTTCGCCCCTTGAATTATCGTCACCGCTTAATTGCTCTATTTGCGTTTCGGCCCGGTGCTCATTAATAAAACCAACAAAACCCACTTAAATGTCGTCGACCTGCTGGGAATTATCATTTTTTTTTAATTGCAATAATTTTTCCTATAAAATTGTGAGTGACCTTAATTTTGGAGAACGCACTCGGCTCGCTCACTCTCGAGATAATAATTATTTTATCTCGTCGTAAACACATCAGCTGTTGAACAAACGATGGTGCACATCAACAAGTCCTCTCCGCACGTTGTTGCATCTCTTGCAAAAACTGAAAAACTTGGATTGCTTTCCGAGTAACTCATTAATTGTCGTTCATTAATATTAAATTTGAATTAAAGTGGTTTACAAGGATGTAATCCACGTAACTCGGACAATTAACTCGCGATTACGTAAGGCGTTTATCTGCAGCAATCACTATGGTTTGACTCGAGGGCAAAACATGTTGGATTAAAAAGACATATTGACAATGCGTGCGACAAAGAAGAACTTTGGATTTTATCGCAAGACTCTCTAATCCGAGAGCGGATCAAACCTGAACAGGAAAACAATAATCTAGTTGTTTTGACGCACAAGCAATTTTTGATAACCCAAGTCAAAAATTCTAATAGTTAGAAAATTGATTTTTGTTTTACAATATTGTAAATTCCAGCCATTACAGAGCTTTGTTATCTTTTTGTTGATAAAGAGTAGCATAAAATAAGATTTTTTTTTTTATAAAAATGCAATTATCCAAGATATAAATTTATGATAGGATAGGTGTGAGGTATGAAAGAATGCTAATGGAACAACAATAATTAAAACATCAGCAGAGATAGCATTGTATTGTTGGGAAATTTCTATAAAACTGAACGTGGAAAACAATTTTAAATTAATATTAATTATTATTGATATTACTCGATATTACTGTTCAAAAGGGATTTTTATGACTGCAGTTAATGCGTTTATCTTTTTAAGTTACAATATTTCCGGGGTTAAATTCACATTTGGTATTTTTGAGCAAAGTAAATATTGGATTTGAAATCATTTAAAAAAAATTTAAAATTAATTTTTAAGCTGATGGTAGTTAGAATATCAAAATTCTTAATTAAAAACTATTAAAATTTAATCAAGTTCATAAATTTCTTAAAACGGGTTATAAAATCATTAAAGCATCTGTCACTGAAGAAAATCTTGCTATCATTGCGCATGTTTAGACAGACCCAACCCAAGATCTTTAAAAATTTACGCAAAAATTAAATTTTTTTTAACTTCAATTATCCATTGATGTTTTTTTTTAAGGTATCTGCAGTTTTTTTTTAATTCAGTTTTGATCAAATAAAATTTTACAATATGAAACCTGAAAAAAAAGATGAGATTTGCTTCTCTGGGAGTAAATTAAAAAGAATTGAATGAGAATCAAAATAAATTTTAAAATAAAAATTGACATCATTTAATTAAGAGAATTAATAATATAATAACATATCCATTTACATGACTTAATACAGCTTCATCTAATGAAATTCCTCGTTATTTATGGTAAAACCTTTAATTGTGGGAAGGTTAAGGTTAAATCTCTGCATTTGAAAGAAAAAGCTGGTTTGCCATCACAATTAGAAAAACAATTCCGCGAAAAAGATGTCGCCGCTCGAGGCCGCGTGCGTGCATTTTATCTTTAAACACAGAGGTGCGAACAAACTATACTTTTCTTGCAATATTTTTCTTTCGCGCGTTTCACATTTGCCCCGATGACCTGGACAAAGGTTGCGGCGCGCAGACAGGCCGGCGCTTATCTCTGGGTGGAAAAATGTGTCAGCAGCACTGCGGATGCTGCAGCACCTGGCCGGAGGTCCGGGGGCCGCGGAGGCCGTGGAGGCGGTCGGTGGCGGGGCGTGGTGCTCGGGGGCGTCGAGTGGGGGACGCTTATAAGAGCGCGAGGCGGTCAGACGCGCGCACAACCTCACGCTCGCTTGCCATGGGGTCCAACTACAAGGAGATCAACATGGTCATCTCGTCCAGCGGGGACCCCAAGGACCCCGAAAAGGCCCCGGCCTTCCTTTTCGACCCCGAGGAGAAGCGGCCCCTCAGCTCCAATTCCGAAGCCGCCTCCGACACCACCTCCGCCTCCGGGGACATCCCCATCGGTCAAATGCTGCCACAGGTAGGTCAAAAAATGTAATTTAAATTAAAAATTAAATTTAAAAAAAGCTCAGTTATAAATTTAAAATTGTTTCTATAAACAAATTATTTCATTTTTATCTTTTTCTTAAATCTTTCAATTTATCTGTTAAAGATAAAGAAAAATTAATTTTTTAAATAATAAAAACTACAGATTTTTATTTCCGCGGATTTTTGTCTTTAATCATGAATTATTAATATCTAAATTGATAACAGTTAGTGTTTTTCCGTTTTTTTTTCTGATAAATTTTTCATTGTCCCATTACCTTGAGAAATTTTTGACAAGAGAGATCGCCGCACTCGATTTCCTTGATTTGTGTTTTGCCGAGACTTGATTTGATTCGCGTTATCTTTGGCAATGACTGTGGGGAAATGATGGTGCAGGGCAAAATTAAATTTCAACAAATTCAGGGTCGTTTGGGCGTCACATCAGATAACGCGCGGACAAAACGGCGTAATTTTAATTATGCATCTGAAATGCAAATTACATCTCTTTCAATAAATTGGCGAAAAAAATAAAGCTCATCGTCTGACTCGCTGGCATGAGAAGAGTTTGTAATTTTATACACGCTGGAAAGAAAAGATCAGAATAAGTGCCGGCAGCAAATTCAATGCGTGGATCGCACACTGCTTGCTCTGCTCCACTCCATTTCGATCAAATACTGCTTTTGATTAAAAATAAAAATGCACCTCCAGTTTCTTCCGCCTTATTAACAATTCTACAAAAAATAATTCTCTCAAAACTACTCTTAAAAAAATTGTTTTTTACACTGCTGAATTTTTTTGAGATAGAATAATTTTAAAAATAATCGGAACTTTTTAATACAGGGGAATTATTTAATTTTTTTATTTAATGATAACAAATTACAAAAGAAAATCCCTGTCCGATTACAAAACACAGCGATTTTAATTTTGTAAATTTTTTTAGAACAACCAAATAATTTATTCATCTTGAAATGAAGAGATTAAATAAGTCATTTGATAGTAAAATTCGCAATTCGGAAAGCTTTTTCACAACCAGACGTTTTTCCTCTAAATATTTATTTTCAATATCTCAAATTTCCCCCACAATTATCTCTTAATAATTATTTTGGTAAGGAAAAAATTAATTTAGAAAATTTTTCCCCAGAGCAAAACCAGTTTGGTCTTGCTGAAGAAAAACAGGCAGTTGTATTTGTTTTCAACCGGTCCACCTGTTTGCCCAGTCGGTACTAACTAATATTCTCTCTTTACTCCACACACAACTTGATAATTTCCGCTCGTCCTTGTAATCAGCTGATGGCCGAGCGTCACATTATACAAAAGTGTGGTGCCCTCGCGCGCGCGTGGTGATTCCGACGAGAGATGTGTTTTGCTCTGACTTATTACGCACCGGCGATAAGCCACGGTGAAAAATCGGTGTGTTGTTTTGTTGCCCGGTGACGAGGTGCAAAGATCAACATGAAATAATGCAACTTTTCTCCCGTAATTATCTAATCTTTGCGTAAATAAATAATTCGCCGTTAAAAAACGTCAACAGTTTTTCGGATGAATTTTGAGAGCGCATTTTGTCAAATGCGTAAGCGAGCGAATCAACATGTAGTGAGTTTCTTTCGCCGCAAAATGTAGGTCTGATAAACAGCGCGTTTGCAAATAGAGAGCGAATCGTCGTAAGCGATCAGCTGCTCGCGACGTGATGGAAAACAATTATTATTCAGTATTTCTTGTTCTTTTGTCGTATTCCGGAATTTCGCTGATGAAAGTTGCTTGCAAAATTTTTAATGCCAATAAAAAGTAACGAGAAGTTGAACAAATCGAGGTTGTAAACATGTTTTCGCTTGAGGAAATGAAAATATTTTAAACAAATTGTAAAAAAAAGAGTTGAAAATCAGGAGATTTGAACGCACGGCAGGAAAACTGCCTAAAAAATGAAACATGTAAACTCTATTTTTTTACTCACCAGAGTGTGATGTTTTTTATCCTCCTTATGTAATGAAATTTAATAGCAAATATACATTGATGAAAATGATATTTCTCCACAAGAATTATAAAAATTCAAAGTAAAGCACTAAATGCATTAAAATCTACTTTTTTTTTTCACTCTCAAATATTGAAATTGAACCATGAACACGAATTATCTTGATTTGGGCAGAGATTTCCTTAATTTAAATTTGAAGATTGTTGGGTCACAACACAAAATAGAAGTTTAAAAGTTGAAAAAATTGGAAAATACTTTTATCATTAAACATTTAGCAATTGTAAATTTTGAAATAAAACTAAAATTAAATAACATTCCTAATATTCAAAACGTTTAGAAAAGTGCCTCTTCGTCAGAGTCTTTTGAAGCCAAATTTTAACTATGACAATTAAAATGAAAACTAATTTTCAATTCTAGCCTTATTCTATATTCATCAATCAATCAATCAAAAACCTGGAAAAATAAAGGTTAGGCAACCGGCGCGACACGCCGGTCGAGAAAGTTGCATAGCCTTGCCTAGATCGCCACTTTTCCAATAAGCGAGCACTTTGAACCGGTCTTTCTGGTCCTCCTCGCAACAGCCGGTCGTCTCCGCAGCTTGGACTTTGGGCAAGGTTGCAGCCCTGGCCCTGCGCGGAATCGCAACCCCCAATAATTTCCTTGTTTGCCGACCATAACAAGGAAAGAGATTTTTCTCAGAAAGTTTGGGGCGCAGTTTGGCCAATTGGATTTTGGCGCGTGGGTCTCGTTCCGGCCGGCAATTAAAAAGGAGGCCAAATAAAGTTCGCGAGTCGTGATTTGATTGACTCGCTCGCTCGCACTCGATCTCGGGAACAAAACAACAAACGTGCTGATTCGATTGATAATTACGTCATTGGAAGGGTCAAGAGTCGCGCGCGGGGTCGCGGGAGCGCGACTTTAAAAGGGCTGCGGCGTCGCGCGCCGCCCAAAGCTCTGCTCGCCGCGCCACTCCACGCACTCCGCCATGAAGGTGCTGCTCAGGACGGACACGCACGTCGACCTCAACGTGCCATGCGAAGGTCCAAAGCCAAAATGCACCTACAGTCAGGTAGTTTGCCGCAAATAGTGTTTTAAAATCTTCATGAATCGATTCAAATGTTAACATTGCAAAAATAATAATAGAAAAATTGCATATTATTGCAAAATTTATTTATTTATGTGTAGCAAACATTTTAACAGTTTTTTTTTTTAATTTGGAATCTTAAATAATAATTTTAATTCTCTTTTAATTAATTGATAATTCTACTTTTTTTACACGCTAAAATGCTTAAATCAATCAGATTCTTTTGCAAAATTTTAGCATTCTAGTTAATTTTCTATCATTAAAATATAAGTTTTGTTTTATTCAATTGTAAAAATGTTCGTCTTGTTGTAATCAATAAAATATCTCGTTATATTAAAACCACTTATTGTTAGTTTCAAGGCCTGCGTTAAAATTTTAATGGGAAATCAGTTTTCTTAATTTCAGAGTTAATTTTTCCTTGATCCATCAAATTTATTTGACAGTTTCCTCCTAAAAAGACGCTAAAAATGACCTATAATTTGGATATAATTCGCCGCGAAATTACACAAAATAGCTAACGATTTTCTGCGAAAGTTACTGTTAAAGTAGCCTTTTGCGTTTCTGGGTTTTGCAATTACAAATGTGCGACGTAATTGGTTGCAAAATTTCTTCAAAACCGACTCGAGTCGGATGAACGGCGGCGTTTTATGTAAACGGCAATCTCGTAATATTGTTCGCTCTTGTTTGTTTGCGTTCGCTCAAGGCATCTCAAAGGTCGCCATTTTTATTCACGTGCTTCCAGCCTGACTGAGATGTTAAAAAATATATATCTTAAAAAAAAAACACTCCACTCACGATCAGTAACACATGGTTTTGGAGAATAATCTATATTTGGATAGCTCAATAAAAAATAAAACAGCTAATAAGTACGTAAATATGAATATTTACACAAAAATTAATTAAAAAATGGGATAATAATAAAAAAATATTGATCTTTTCAATGAAAATATTAATTTCTTTCAAATATCTTTAGGTGATGGCAGCGATTTCGGTGTCGCTGGGCTCAATGATCGTCGGTTTCGCATCGGGCTACACGGCACCCGCCTTGGTAAAAATGCAAGAGGACAACAGCACCCTGACCGTGACCCCTGAAGACGTGAGTTCCAATTCGATCGAATCCTAGCTGAATTTGCCACTTTTCCATTAAAACAGGAGTCGTGGATCGTGAGTCTGATGCCGCTGGCCGGCTTGTTGGGCGGAATCCTCGGCGGTCCTCTGATTGAACACGTCGGGCGTCGCTCGACCATTCTCGGAACGGCACTTCCTTTCATTATCTGTACGTAATTTTCTCGCAGAGAAATTATTTGACAACAATTTTAAAACGACCGATTATTTTCGCAGCATTTCTCCTGATTGGTTTCGCGCAAAACGTTCTAATGGTCAAGATGGGCCGCGCTCTCGGCGGTCTGTGTGTCGGCATTGCCTCGCTCTGCCTGCCCGTCTACCTGGGCGAAACTGTCCAACCTGAGGTCAGGGGCACCCTGGGCCTCCTACCCACCGCCCTTGGTAACATAGGTACGGAAAAAAATCAGAAAAATTTAGTGATGTTTAGTATGATAAATAAAAAAAATATCTTTTCAGGTATTTTGGTTTGTTACGTGGCTGGAAAATATCTGAGTTGGTCCAACCTGGCCTTCATGGGTGCCTGTCTACCGATACCTTTCACAATAGGAATGTGTCTCATCCCAGAAACACCCAGATATCTCATTTCAAAAGGTAAAGTTTGCGAATTGAGCTAAATTTTGAAAATAAAATTGTAATATTAAATGCCTTAAATTTTGATTCTCAATTAAATTTGAGTGGATAAAAGTCGTTTTTTGGGATAAATTTGAATTAATTTCTTAATTGAACTTTTAAATTTTGGCATGAACTTCATTTTTTTTATTCGCAGTTTGTGTAAAACCGCAGTTTTAAACTGGAACTACAAAAAAGTAAACAAAATATTGAGAAACTAAAATAAAAATTAATTTTTCTTAAATTTTCATTTAAACACTAGAGGATTAATATCAATTGTTGGATTTCGGTAAAAAAAATTATTTTTGCAAATATATTTGACAGTTAAAAAATTGGTCACTTTACAACCTAAATTGACTTTGTGTCACTTTTTTTTTTTATTTAAAATAAAATTATGAAATTTGTGATTGCAGACAAACAAAAGCAGGCCCGCAAAGCGTTGCAGTGGCTGCGAGGCCCGGACTGCGACATTACGAGTGAACTGAGCGAGATCGAGCGTTCGCACGCGTCCACCCAAAAGGAGGCGCCGCGGCTGAGCGACCTGCTGGCCAGGGCCAACCTGCGGCCGCTCGGCATCAGCGTCGGCCTCATGGTTTTCCAGCAGTTCTCAGGCATCAACGCCGTCATCTTTTACACCGTGTCCATTTTCCGCATGGCCGGCAGCACCGTCGACGACAACCTGGCCGCCATCATCGTCGGCGTCGTCAATTTCGGCTCCACCTTCGTCGCCACGCTGCTCATCGACCGACTCGGACGCAAAGTGCTCCTCTACGTGTCCGGCGCCACCATGGCCGCTACCCTCACCGCCCTCGCCACGTTCTTCTACATCAAGTGAGTTTTTTTCATCTTAATTTAATCAATCAAGCTTAAAAATTTAGATTTCGACGAATTTTTAGACGTTTAAAATTTAAAATGCAAGGTTTTTGGCGTGTCTTGCCACACGATTTTTTTTCTTCTTAATTTATTTGAAGCGATAACAACTTCATTTGATGAAGTTTATATCAATTTTATTCTGGCTGATTTTGATCTTTTTTAAAAATTTTTCACACAAATTAACATCGATTTAAAATAATTTCTTGAAATTTATCCTGTTTATATTTTATTACATCATAATTAAGGATAAATGGCAATCAAAATTATTGCTTTTAGAAGGGGGAAGGAATTATCACAATTAAAATAAATTTTGCAGAACCCCCCCCCCCCCCTCCTTCCTATAATCATAGACAAATTTTTATGTCGAAGCTTGCAAATAAAATGCTTTTTTCAAAAGTAATTTTAAATTTTGATCTGACTAATAAGGACATAAAATTTATTTCTTAACGGATAAGAAAAGGGTTATAAATACTAACTATTCTCTGCTTGATTCTTGATCGAAAAACAATTTATCAGACTGATGTTTTTAGACATGGGATTTTAAGGAAATTTTGAAATTTTTTGATAACTCAAAAGCATGACTAATTGGTTTTTTGTCTTTCCACCTCGACGTCAAAAACCTCCAAATTATCTAAACCTTTTATATTTCTTTCTTTACGTTTACTTGAAATTTATTCAGGACTTATAATTTCTAAAATTGCAATAATTTTGTTCCAGGCCGATTTTGGGCGACGAACTGGTGGCCCTGTTGGGCTGGCTGCCGCTGGGCTGCTTCGCCCTGTTCGTGATTGGATTCTCCCTGGGCTTCGGCCCCATCCCCTGGCTGATGATGGGCGAGGTGCTGCCGGCCAAGGTCCGCGGCACGGCCGCCTCGGTGGCCACGGCCGTCAACTGGTCGTGCACTTTCCTCGTCACCAAAACCTTTCCCCTGCTGGTGCAGGTGGCCGGGATTCACGGCGCCTTCGCCCTCTTTGGCGCCTGCTGCGTCGCGGCCCTTTTCTTTGTCCGCTTCTGCGTCCCGGAAACGCGCGGCCGCAGCCTCGAGGACATCGAGAAGAGCCTCACCGGACGCCGCGTCCGACGAATGAGCAGCATCGCCAACCTCAAGCCTCTGCCCTTCGGCGCCTGATCCTCCGCCTGCTTCAACCCGCTCCTCGCCCTCGCCACCAACGTGCGTCTTCGCCCCGTTCAAAAGAAGACCCTTTCTTAATCGACTCCGAATTGTGCCACAAAAGGCGCCACTGTTGACTTCAACCAATTTCAAGCTACATTCACAGTTAGAAATCTAAAATGAAAACAAATTTTTAAGTTTTTTTTAGGCAAAATTTAAATCGAAACTTTAAAGGGACAAAAACATTCCATTAAAGCAAAATGGCGGCTGTCACTGCAAAGGCATTATCTAGTAATTTGGAATATCTTGAATTGAAAATAATTAAAAATTTAGCGACTGAAATCGAGATAAAAAAAATTGAACTTATTGTAGGATGGTTCAGACTTTCCCGCCATTAACATTTGAACTTGATTGAAATCACTGAATTAAGCAAATTAATAGTCGAGACCTAGCGATCTAATTAACTCCCTTAATTTTAAATTGCCTTTGGAGGGAAAAGTTAAACCTTCAACAAATACCGCTTTCAATGTTTCATAGGAAAAAAAATTCTGATTTGATTTTGATTCCAGGATTTAAATTTTGCCTTCTTTTTAATTTAAGATCATTACTAGAGAGGCACTTTAAAGGGTATTTTTTTATTTGGAAATTTATTTTAAATCTTCCAAACTGACAGATGAAGAATCTCGCACCGTATCCATTTTTCCACCCACCCATCGAATATAATCATCACGGGCAAACGTCACTAAGTGAGCTTGAGAACATTTTTTAGTGAGAAAAAACTTTCAGTGCGTGGCCGAAAGATACTCATCGGCGGCGACTGACAAGAAGTGACAAAAAGTCGCGTCCGCCGTTACACGTATTGCGTAGTGTTTAAGCATAATAATTTATCTCCCTCTCTCTCCCCTTAAGTGTTAAGAATACCTTTGATAGCTATTTTTGTAAATATTTAATTGTAATCGAGCAGGAAGTTTGTAATAAAATGATCAACTTGAATAAAAAGACAAGAGCCAGTCACAAAGTCAGACCTTAGCTGTTTTTTTCCTTCTCAAACCCCTTCAATTTATTTTCACGGCATGGCAAAAAAAAAACTATTTCTTGTTGAAGACCGTGAAGACATTGACGTATTTTTGTTGCAAGGGTAAAGTTGTATAAAAAATGAATAAATAAAATGAAAAAACTGAACTCCAATCAAAGTGAAATAAATTTCCTCATAAAAATAAAATAATTGAATCATGTTACAAATTCAATATATATTAAATTTTAAATATAATAGATTTAATCATTTTCATTGTTTTAGCATTTAAAATAAATTTTTAAAATAAATACAACTATTAAACTTTTTTTAAACAAAATATTTTAATTCATAATTTTATGATAATGATTTTTCAAAAACAGCCTGAAAGTTTTAAATTTATTAGTTTTAAAAATTGAGATTTTGCACGAAGATGTAAAAAAAATTGATTAAAACAAATAAATTAACTGTGCCAAAATGTTTTCCTTGCCTTGACTTTGTAAAGATATTAGAAAAAGGTTGAACAAAATTAAAAATCCTGGTCATTTTAAAACTTGACTTATTAAGAATATTAAATAAAGTTATCAATAAGCAGTTTTATGTTTTTCACAAAAAAATGAGATCCCTCACAAAGCATTTATTTAATTTTAGTACAGTTTAAAGTAAAATGATTGAAAAATTCCACTTTTAATTAACACGGGGTTCCACGGGGTTTGGCGAAAACTTCTCAGCGCCAAAGCAGAAAAAGCTAATTTTGCTGCCCCCATTTAGAGTAGCGATGCAGCCTTGAACTGCCCCTGTTCTTTTCTTCTCATCCTTTTTAAATATATTTAGTTTTCAAATAGCAAGGCACAGTTGTTATAAAATACAATTACATTATCAAAAAGTGATCGTAGACAAATTTAAATTCTTATTTATTTAATACATAATTAATTAAAATTACTATTTGTAATAAACTCACGAAACGAGCAAAATATAAATTGAATTCAATACTAAATATCTGTAATTTCTCAAGAAATCTTCAATGTTTTAGTCCTTTTTAGTAAGAATTTTGTTTTGTTTTGCGGCGAAAGAAGGTTCAAGATAAGAAGGACACAAATTGAGATGCTGAAATTCTGCCACTCACCCATGACCTGTATCCTGCAAATGGCACAAGTGTCGCACTCGACGTCCCAGCTCCACATCGCCACCGCATTCCACTTCTTCAGGGTGAACATCTTCTCAGGTTTGTCCTTTTTCGCCTCGGATCGTTCCGCAGGAACCATTGTCGCGTCCTCCATGTTGATATTTTTGCGGTCTTGAATTTTCGCGCCAGCGCTGCAGATGGCGCCGGTGTGGCGAGAAAGGCAACATTGCAAATCTCAATTCCTGTTCGTGGAAAACATCTCTTGGCCATTGGTTTGTTATTGCGTGGCCAGCATCTGTGTTTACATGGAATCTCAATAAAAAGTGGACACCTGATCCTGATCAACTGGTTGTTTACATTCCTTGCCATGTAAGTTTTCAAGGTTTTTTAAACAAATTCCGTCAAATTAAATCACTGAAACAAGAAATTCGCCTTTGTGGTGGAATTTCAAGCGAATCCTGCTTCGCTTAGTTCGTGACCACAACCTGACCAAGACGCAATCCATCCGCTTTGACCGATGCTGAATTATTCACGCCCGTTTTTTCCGTCATGATTATTAATCTGCGTACTTTGCGTTTTTGCTGCCCTCGTTTGACGTTTAAATTTTCCTCTTAAAGGTGACTTGAAGTCGCAGGCATGACGAGCCGCGAGAACGAGAACATCAACTGGTACCACGGCAGGTTGTCCCGGGAGGATGCGGAGAACCTCTTGAAAAACAGTACAAGATTGGTTAATTCTTTATTTTTGCGTGCTAATTTAATTGACCTCCAGATGGGACGGAGAACGGATTCTTCCTGGTCAGAGACAGCAGCTCTGTGCAGGGTGATTTTGTGTTGACGCTGCTAAATAACGGCGACGTCATCCACTACCAGATTTTCAGGCACGGCCACGAAGAAGATGCATTTTATTCAATAGGTTTGCCATTAATTTTTTCGGACAAGATCTAATAATTTATTTATGATCATTATTTGGTATTATTTTTTTTCCAGACTCTCGAACAATAATACACGGCCTTGAGCAACTGATCGAACACTACCAAGAAGAGCCCAATGGCCTGGTGACCCTGCTGTCAAAAAACTTTGTGGCCAAAGATCCTCCGCCCCATTACAGTCGACGGAATGGTCGAACCAATCTTCTGCACCGAGCCACTAAAGAAGGTCCCTTTTCTTTCTCCAAATCTTTTGATTGATTTTAACTAATAATATATTTAAATCAGGGGACTACCATGTCGTATCAGAGCTGCTCATGTGTGGCTACCGCAGTCTTGAGGCCAAGAACGCCGAGGGCCAGACGGCTGTGCACTTGGCCAGCAAGTTGGGCAAGAACGAGATTCTCACCAGGCTGATTGCGGAAAACGCCAGTGTCAATTGCAGAGACACTGCTGGATACACACCACTACATGTAATTTGACAAATTTTTTGCTATTAGCCATTAAACTTTGAATTAAATATTTTTATTTGCGCCTATTTAAAAATACATGATTATTGGACACTGAAAGTTAGTTTTTCCTTAATGAATTGTGTTTTCCAAGTCTCTAATTGTTTTTTTTCTAATGAGAAAATAAATTGATTAAATAAACCCATTGGTAAAAGCCAACTTTAGAAATCAAACATTTCTTTAATCAATTGTTTTTTTTTAAATATGCATAAAAATTGTCTCAATTTCCTTAAAAAAATTTTTCTCAAAAAACCATCAAAAGTTTATGGGATAGTTAATACTTCATATAATTGTTTTTTTTTTCTTATAGTATGCTGCACAAGCAAATCTACCGCTCACAGTTAGGATTTTAGTGCAGGAAGGACGAGCAAACGTGCAAGTTCGGCACCCAGATACAGGTACAATGAAAACCTAATTTCAAATAAAAATATGAACCAAAAAATTCTACTCTTTTTTTAAATAAATTATTGGAAATTTTATTAAAAAATTTTAAGTTAAACTGATTTTGTTTCCAGGTTGGGTTCCTATGCACGACGCTGCAAGCAGAGGCCACTTGGATGTGGTGAAAGAACTTTTGGCTCTGAACGCGCCTGCTCGGCCTCGGAGCAATGCTGGCGAGACCCCTGCTGAGCTGGCAGCCGCTGCTGGCCACCCAAGATGTGAGGTGCTTTTAAAAGAGTTTGTGGCTCCGCCTGCCCGCACTTGCAAAACCGAGTGGTACCACGGCCACATGGAGCGACACGAAGCGGTGTCCATTTTGCAGAGACAAGGATTGCGGGATGGCCTTTTCATCGTCCGCCGCAGTGACCGTTTGGCCGGCTACGTCCTTTCAATGGCACACATGGGTTCCGTCTTCCACTTCCAGATACGCCAGCAGGACCGATTTTTCTTCATTGATAACGGCCCCTATCTAGACTCGCTCGAACACGTCATCAGCCACTTTTCAACCTTCTCGGACGGGTTGCCCATCGAACTGGGTGACTCGGTCCGTCCACCACCAAAGCCTGCCGTTCCCGACTTTCCAGCCACTCTCAATGGGACTCTAAAGAGCAGGAGAAGCAAGGGGAACTTATCTATTGCCACCTCTCCTCCTCGTTCTCTGTCGCCAAAAGTCCATGAGCCGTTGACTTCCAACTTTACCATCGACGACCCAAACTACAACCCACTGGAAATCATTGGAGGTTTGCGTTTTGATTTTACTTGTAAAATATATTTTTCATTAAATACTTTGAAAAAGACTTAAATTTTGCTAGTTTTTAAATAAGAAATGGTCTCTAGAGGTTATTCTTAGTTAATCTGACCTGTTGTGAGAGAATAAACGAACGAATTGAATAGAATTAACTTAAGTTATTTGGAAATCTGACATTTTTTCCTTGTTTAATTTTACAAGAGATATTTTAAAATTTCCTATTAAGCTTTTAAATCATGCCGGAAAGTAATTATAATAAATAAATTTACTGTCAAAATTTTTGCCTTTTTAGAGGTAATTTTATTTTTACTAATAATGATTCCATTTATTACAACCCAACATATCATCTATTTGCAGAGCACATTGACCGCGATCGGCTTCAGCTTGGTGAGGTTCTGGGCGAAGGAGAATTTGGCTCTGTTTTCCGCGGCACGTATCGGTCTTCGATGAGCGACTCGGTTTGTGAGGTGGCCGTCAAGACTCTGCGCGGTGACCCTGGAGAAATTACGCGCGAAGAGGCTTTCCTCAGGGAGGCCCGTTTGATGGTGCGTCTCTCACACCCCTGCATCGTCCGCCTGCTCGGCGTCACCGATGGACATCCTTTGTGGATGGTGCAAGAGCTGGTGCCTCTTGGCTCGGTGCTCGACTTCCTGCACATCACGCCACACCTCGCCAGCCCCACGCATGAGATTAAACTCTGGGCCGCACAGATTGCCTCAGGTTAGCCATCTTTAGATTTTATTTCGAAATTTTATTTTATTACTTAGTTACTAATTTCTACTCCGTGCTCTGTCAGTTAAGAAATATTATTAGAAATATTTTTTATTGCAAAAGATGAGTAACAATTATGTTTTGTGTTTGAATTTTTCTTCTTTTAATATGCTCTCGTAATAATAAATTCATTAAATTTTTATTTTAGATTGAAGACTAAATAATTATAATAATAAATTTGCTGTTCAAATTTCAGGCATGCATTATTTGGAGAGTGAGCGTTTTGTTCACCGCGACCTGGCTGCCCGGAACATTTTGCTGGCTTCAAGAGAACAAGCCAAGATCAGCGACTTTGGCCTCTCAAGAGCTGTAGGTTCTAACGATGACTACCAGTCCTCTCAGGGTGGCCGGTGGCCCATCAAGTGGTATGCGCCAGAGTCTTACAATTACGGCTCTTTCTCTCACGCCAGCGACGTTTGGAGCTTCGGAGTAACTTTGTGGGAAATGTACTCGTACGGTAAACAGCCATATGGGGAAAAGAGAGGTGCAGAGGTGAGTTCTCTGTTTAAATTTAAAAAAAATTTAAATTAATTAAAAAAAAATTATGTTTTTATATATATAATTTCTATCTGTAATTTTTAAGGTGATTCAACTTGTGGAGCGAGGAGAGCGCTTGCTAAAGCCAATAATGTGTCCAGACGCCGTTTATCGCTTGATGAAAAGCTGTTGGTCGTACCAACCATCTGAGCGGCCTTCCTTTGCTGATTTGCTCCAGCACTTCACTAGCGAGGCCACCTACGAGAACGTCAAGTTCCATCAGCTGGAAATTCAAGCGTCAGAGCCTTTTGAGGTTTGATTGAAACTCTGCATTTCTCCAATCTCATAATTAGTCTTCCACGTAACTGCATTTACAAGTAAGTTCCAAGTAAGAGAAGTTTTTCTCATTTTTACTTTTTATCGAACGTATAAGTAGGAAAATGTACCAATTTACACAATGTACTGAGCTGTAAGTATGTATATTGTTATATTGTGATACTCGCATCATACAAATGCAAACAAGAAGTTGTGCCTTACATGAAGTGCCTATTAAGTGAATTTTATTATATTGAAACTCTGTTGTTACTTCAGACGAATATATATTATGTATTGCTATAAACTTTTAGTCATAATTTAATTGGTTTCTTTTACGTCTCACGCCATTAGTTAAGTTTTTGCAGCAGTATAGTCAAAAGCACTGGAAACACAAACACGGCATCAACGATTGAACCTGAAAATAAAAATTAATTTTTATACTTCAGAATCAAAATATTACAATAGGGGACTTATAAATTTAATAAATAATTCTTTCTCATTACCAGAGTTGCATTTGTTGGCATTTCGGTCTGCAACAAAGCCCAGTTTGCAAACACAGACATTGTCCTTACACTCGGCACGGTCCTTCAAATCTGCCAAAATGCATTCTCGGCTGTCCGTGCATGAGTCACTCAAGCCTGAAATTTAATCCCTTTGTTATCAAAATTTCATTTTTTTTTCTTTCTTTTTTACGTACGATTGCTATTCCAGCATGTCTTGTCCTGATAGTGGCAGTTCTCCTTGCAGTTGCAGACACCTTTGATGCATCCAACCTCGCCACTGATGACGGCCAGACATTGTCCCACGTCTGTGCAAACATCATATAGACCGCTCGCCGCTATTCAAATAATTTCAATTGAAACAAATTTTCAATATTTTATAACAATACGCTTCAGGCAAGATGATTTATTCGAAGATGGCACATAGTCCACTTTGCATTCACAACTCTTGGTCAGAATGTCGCACTCTGAATTTGCGATTGGAGAGCATTGCACATTTTCAGTGCACGGAGTACCAACTACAAAGCTTCCTAAAATGTTAACAAGTTATGCTCCCGAGATGACACACGCCGATTTTGTTGAAAGTTGGTATGCAACTTGCACTACCCTTGGGTGTTCTGGAATGGCTATCAAAAGTTGCCCAATTTCACAAGGGAGGGTAGTTTCCATTAAAACGCATGTTAAAAACGATCAGATGTAGGCAACAAAAGCGTCCTCTGTGTATATAAGTTGCCTACATCTGATTTCTCCAATGTAATTCAAATTACATGGAGTTTAAATGGCAAAAATTAAACAAGGAAAATTGGGCAAAAATTAATGACCGTTCTGGGGTACCAATGGGTAGAAGAAGTTGTGCACCAATTTTCATTGAAATCGGGGTGTGTCATCTCGGGAGCATACCTTGTAAATATATATTAAATACCAAAAGAATCAATATGGCACAAATGTTATTTTGCTCAGGAATTTTCAAATTCTTTTATTTAATGAGTCAAAAATTTTATTACCAAGAAGACATTTGTCAAAATCAGCATTCGGCACAAATCCTGTTACGCACGAGCACGTGCTATCCGTGCATTTTGCGTTAACGTCGATTGTATTGCACTGACCGTCGATAGCGCATTGATCGCCAATATTTTGTGGAGCTGCCAAGAAAATTGAAATGTATTTTTTCGGATTAACACAAAATAGACAATATACTTTTGAAGCATTTCGAATTGATCACTTCATATCCTTCTTTGCACGCGCATGTGAATTCCTTGCAGAGTGACCCTTCCGCATCCCCGCACTGCTGATTCTGCACACACGTTTGACCGATGGGAGAGCCTATTTTTTTTTTTTAAATCAGTATATTAAAAATAATTTATATCACCAAGTTTAAATACTTGATAAGCAGGAGGATAAATCAAGGGATGGCACAAATCCGCTCCTGCACTCGCAAATTCCTGATGTTGCTGATGAGCATTGCGCGCCTGCTCCCAAAATTGAAGTGCACTGAACTCTGGCCGAACATTCGTCACCAATTTTCCTTGCCACTAAAATTCATTTAAATTAATTATTCCATTTACAAAAGTTTTGAAGAATAATATTTAACCAGGTAGGCATTTCTCGCCGAGAGTGTCTTCCAAATAAAACGCTTTACACGCGCACTTTCCATCAGTGGAACACTCGGCGTTCTCGTCCAGTGCCTCGCAGACTTGATCGTTTGTCGAGCACGGATCGCCAAGGAAGCTGGCAGCTAAATGATATTTAATTCACGAGTTTTAATGATGATATTATATTGGGATATGAATTCTAACCTGCAATGCAGGACGAGTCGCCGTTTGGTACAAAGCCTGCTTTGCATGTGCACCTTGAATTAATGCACTCGCTGTTTGCGATATTTAGGCACTGGCCGGCTTCAAGACAGTGATCATTTCCAATACTCGCTGCAATTTAAAATAATGTACTATGATTACTAAATATTCTTACTAAAAAAATTTTAATAGAAACAAAAATTCAATTTGAATAATTATTTTTCCAACCAAATTATACATTTTAAATTTTCTTTAAAAAAAATTAATAAAATAAAGAAAAATTTTACTTGTTATTTTAGAGCGCCGCTCTTTTAACTCACAAGAAATGTCCAAAGTTTTAAACCTCTATATCATGGCTACTCTTAAAGCTTAATTTTATAATTTGAGGTTATTATCATTGATAATTACAGGCTGCGCAGAAGATGTTAGGAGAGTCAGGAATCAAGGGGTCTGAAAATGGAACATAGTTGTTTTCGCACTGGCACTTTTTGTTGGTCAGGGTGTCCTGGCAGAGAGCATACGGAATTTCTGCACACGCATCTTGGACGTCATCGTTTGTACAACTATTTTCCAAAGCTGTATTTGCGTGCATGAAATTTAATATATCAAATTTTCTATTTGCCAGAGTCAGTACAAACATACCACTGACGCATGCAGATTCATCAAACCACAATCTCTCCATGCAAACGCACGTCTTTGTTGCTTCATCACAAATTGAATTCGGAGTAGTGCACAAATCTGTGGGTGTTTCGCAGCTCTCACCCACATTCACTTTAAAATTGAATGTAGTTTTTGTATTTTTAAATAAATTAAATTCGAATACCTGCCCTGCAGCCAACTGCAATCACTAAAATGAAAAAGAAAATTCTCCCATGGGGCTCCATTTTAGCTACCTCGCCGATTTCTTTTGTGGACTGGCTATTTTGACATGAGAGGGCCAATTTTATCTCAACCATGCAGATAAGCCTACTAAGCTCTTAACTATTCCATCAAAGGTGCTCTTATCAATGACGGTGTGATTTCTTTGGAAGTACTTAGCCTTTGATTGATTTACAATGACAATAGATTGGGCCCGCTAAAAAATAATAAGTGGCTTCAATTCTGAGATTAGTTGTCACCACGTTTATTACAAAAAATTACTCCAGAGGAATATAAAAGTTAACAAGGCAGCTGGGGAGAAACTTTTCTCCGCATAACAAACAACCTGCTCTATTTCTTCATATTTCCCCGACACTGCTGAGTTTGGTTGTTCATTAAAACACTTGCACAGTTTTTGATTCCAGACCGCATTTCTGTCCTGGTCACTAAATGCTTAACAAGTTTTGAACACAAGTCATTAGCTGGCCGCCTGTCCGTTGAGTGGTGGGGTGGCCACGTCTGACAGTTTGGACAGAAACGACTCCAACTCAGCAGCCATTCGTTTTCTCTTGAACCTCAGGGACTCGTTGATCACATCCTTGATCAGTTCTCTCTGGGCGTCAAGGTCACCCTTTGCTGACTTCATATGGTTCATCAAGGCATTGAAATCTGGAAATTTCACAAAAAAACATGTTTAAAATTCTTAAGGTTCAAATTGAAAGTCTATAAAATCTTAAATATTACTTAATTTAAAACTTCTTTTCATAATTTAAAAAAATATTTATTCCAGTTTTAATTAATCTAACCTTTCCCTGGCCGCCTAACTTCTTTGTACGCCAAACTTCGAAGCTGAATGTTGTGCCGTTTAATGGCAGCAGTCTCGGCCGCAGTTGGAACGATTGGCACGGGGGACACTTTGGTTTCTGGCCGAGTTGGGCTGTCATTGATGTGATTGGGTACGGCAGCGGCAACGGGAACATGGTTTGACATCACATCAGTTGGGGGCACAATGGCGGCCGCGGCCGCTACAGGTTCAGGAATACAGATGATCTCAGGTGATGGAGAACGAACATGTCGATCAACATGCTCTGTAAAATTAAAGTGGTTTGAACATTTAAAGGCAACAATTGCAACAAAATCTTAATAATCTTAATATTATTCGAGTTCAATATAGATTTAGAATAAGTTCTAATTAAAAATTTAAACCTAAAAAAATTACCTGTATTTCCATTCACCAGAGGTGTTGGTTTGGACGGTAGGACTTCGATGGGCACCACTTCAGGTTCAGCCACAGGACTGATGGGCAGGGTAGCAGGCACAGGAGTTACCACTGGAATAACCGGTGACACAGGTGACACCGGAGCTGCTACCAAGGAGGGAGTAAAGTCAAATGGAATAGAGGGAGCCAAGGTGGGTGATGCAGGGGGTGATGGGGTCGGAGTGCTGGGACGTCTGACAAGCACGTCGCGTGGAATGGGGCCAGGTTTTCGGCCTTTGGCGCGTGGTGAAGCGGCTGGTGACGATTCTGAGGCTGCTCGTTTCCGAGCACCACCACCACCGCCACCAGCACCTGGCAGGTCCATGTCTGCTTCATCAACCATCATTCGCTGCAGCAAATCACACAATCAATTAGTAAATTAAATTGCGGACCAATCAGAGATAAGATATTTTCAGAGTCCACTGGTAATTTACCAAATTTAGGTACAATCTTTTTACTCTCAAAAACATTTACGACCATTGAAATGGATTAATTTTGAAAGTTAAATATTTTCTTAAACAATTTAAATCAATAAGGTTTGATTTCTATTTTGGGAAATTATAAAAAAAAAACTCCAAAAATTTATACTAACCTTATCAATCTTGAATGGGTTTCCAAACATGTGCTGCCGAACAGGCGCTGATTCAATCTCCCTAAGCTGCGCTGGGATTCGCTTCAAATACTCCTGATAGTTGCCCATCTGGCTTACTGGCATACTGTGCGCTTCATCTAGAAATTTAAAATTTATTTGAAAAGCTGATTCATTTTCCAAATTTACTCTTATTACCATCATCGTGGAGAAGTGAGTGTCCACTGTTTGGCGGCTTAGAGAAGTTGGAGCGCATCCGCACAAGCTGGTCGAGTAAACTTCGGCGTGGCACATCAAAGGGATTGCGGTAGCTTTGGCTGCGGGACACTCGAACAGCACTCGAGCCAATAACAAAACCAGGAAATTCAGCGATTTGCTCTCTCAAGTGAGAAAATTTGTCTGGAAATATTTTTAACGCAAATTAGTACACTAGAATTTTTTTTCTCCATTAAAAGTCTATTTGAAATATAAGGCGATTAAAGAATTATTTAAATTTAATACAAACCTTGTAGTAAGGGGTGTGAGACAAGCTCCTTCTTGATCGCAGCTCTCGACTGCACCCTGATGCCCTCAGGCAAGACGAGGGCCGCACCAGGAAGTTTCGTCTTGCCCACATCAGCACACAACTTTTCATACTCCAGCTTGGCTTGATTCTTGAGTCGCTTCAAATAATTCATCACTGGGTAGCTCAGCCCATTCTCCATGTTTTCTGGCATCAAAATCGATGTCAGTTGCTGACCTGCCACCCTCTGGAGCGCTCTCCTCAAAGGCTGAAAATTAAATCAATTCATCAAGAACAGGAAAATTTTGGTTGAATGTGACTCACATTGACATAGTAGGCAGGCATTGTGCGAAGGTAATTGTTGAACTGCATTCGCCACTCTGGTGAGGGCTTCATGCGGTGCACCTTGAAAAGTTCATCCAGGAGTGGAAGTAACTGAGGGTAGTTGTACGGCATCACAAACAAATTGACGCAAGCCAAGTTGGTGCTTGCCTTCAGGTACCCGAAAGGATGGCCCACCTCAGTATTTTTGTAGCTGTTTGCCACAAACACCTAAAAGTTTATAAGAAAGAATAGTGTAAAATATTAAGTATAAATTTTATTTTAAAGTTTGAAGTGTTGGATGAGTTATAAAAAAATATGAAATATCATTTATTTGCGAATAAATATTTTCAAATAATATTATTATTAATTTAAAAATGATTTTACCTGCCAACAAATTGTCGGTTGTTTTCTAGAGAGGATGTATTGAGTCAGGGGACTTGGCTCAAGCTCGTACTTGTCAAACGGAACGTTTTCTATAACAAGCGGCTCTTGAGCTGTGCAGGTGAATTTGACATTTGGATGCGCCGTTCTAGGAGGCTGTGATGAATTATAAATTAATATACAATTTTGAGGAAAAAAATTTGATATCTCACCAGAACAGAGGCGCTCAGTTCTGGCCAAAAGTTCTCAGGGATGGGCCAGTGGCCAACTGGGAAGCCCTTTTGGGCCGAGCGTGGCACGTAAATGAGTTTTCGGCAGTTGTGCCATGCTGTGCCCATTTGGTTGTTGGAAAGGCCTGTGGTGGGAGTTTGGGGCCGAGACGGAATGCGTGTTGGCAACAGGTCAAGTGAGTCATCTGGGCTCTCTCCATTGTCGAGCATCAGCGCCTCGATGTCACTAACGTTGCCCATGGGTGGTGGATCTGGTCCGATCTTCTCAAAGTGGATCACAACTCCACTCTGCACTTTTTGCACTAAACTGTCAATGCACTGGTGCAACATTCTGTGCGAGGTGATACTGTAAGAGCGGCCTAAAACAATTTTTATTTTTGTTAAAATTAATATTTTGATATTCGAGAAAAATTAATTTATTGTGAAAAATTTCATTTTTCTTTTTTAGAAATAAAGTACTAGTTTTATATAAATTTTGTGTGATTATTATTAAAATGATAAGGTAAATGATAAGTACCTCCTGTAACCTCACACATGGCATCAATAGGTGAGGAATCGCTGGGAACCAAACCAGAGTCTCTATCTATTGGCGGGGTGCCCGTCATTCTAAGAACAAGGGCGAATAGGCGCTGGTCCCATCGGAAGGGTTCTCTTGTCAGTTCAGATCCAGGAATGGGATTGTTCATTGGCAAATTAAACTGTAAAAATTTTATATAAAAATCATAAATTATTAAAAAATATGATGGTTTAAAATTACATCTTCCTGAACGCTCTGCATTGTGGAAAGTTTTCCACCGTCGGTGATCACGATGATGACCGATGGCTCCAAATAATAGGGGCATCTACCCTGGCCATAGGTATCAATGCCCGACTGCATCCTGTTGATGTTGAGAACGTCGAAGGTCTGCTTCAAGGCAGTTCCCATTGTTGTCAAACTGGTTGACTGAAGATTCTTGAGCTCCGTCATGAAGGTCTGCAGACTCTCTTTCCATCCCGCCTAAAATATGAATAATTTTGTGTCAGAAAAAAAATGTAAGATTTATCAAAAAAGAAAACCTTGATGTTGTTGGGTGGCTCTTCAAATGTCAGCAGCATGTACCTGTCGTACCGACTCTCTATTGACCTTGACCTCAACTAAAAATAAAAAATTTGCAGATTTTTTTGTTATGATTTTTAATAATCTATTTATAGACTTACTTTCACAAATGACTCAACGGCTCCTTTGGCCACATCAATCATAGTTGGCCGGCCTCCCAGGTAGGCACGCTGGTTCATTGAGGCAGAAGTGTCAACCAAAAACACAATAATCGTCATTTCGCCTGCCTTTCAGAGTTTTCTTCCTCTGCAATATCAAATGAGGCCTTTTATGAGCAGGCCATAGTGCCAGGATGCCGCCTAAGGATTGACATCTCCTTACGAAGAATCTCTTGATTTCTCTGAAAAATGCAAAAAATGAGCGATTCGAGCATAAATATTAAATAATAAAAAATGACACTGATAAATAAAATAAACTTATATTTATGATCGTAATTTAAATTAAGGAAAATTATTTATAATTGATAAACACTGCAATATCCCTTACAGAGAGGAAATTTTAAATTGCGCGCCAAGAGCAGCGATTCGGGCGAACTGGGAAAATCAATGTGTTGTCTTTTTCGGCCCGATTCTCGGCAGGGGCACGCTTGAGCGGCACGAGTTTTTGCAGAATCGTGCCTGGGGACTTTACACGCCAGAATGCTTCCCACAATGAGTCCCTGACTGTCTGTTTCAAGGGCAAAAGTAGCCGAAAACTAAGCACTCTTCGCTCGACCTCTTCCTTCGTTTCTCCGATGTTGATTGAAATAATAAAGGAAAGGCACCGCAAAATGCGAGGCTTGCGTATGCGCTCAAGCTGTCCTACCCTTTGCCTTCTTGGCTTCCTGGTTTTCTTTTAACTGAGAATAGAACGCAATAGAATCGAATTTTTCCAAAACTTCTAAGCAATTTTCCCTTCCAGAGGGAAATTTGAGTGATTTTTTCGGATTAAGGACGATTTTATAATTTTTGAATTTACGTCAGCCTTCGAAAAGTTGACGCAAACCTCCTGAATCGATGAAGGTTTTTGGAAGGGGTTTAAAACAGGATCTGTATAAAGAAAACTTAAATTATTTAGTACTTTTGCCATGTAATCACATTTTTGTTGCTAAAATCTGATAATAAAATGCTACTGAATTGAATTTCAACTTACATATAATCTTTAACATACTTTCATATCAGTAAAAGTTGTAATAATTGGCTAAATCATGCTTTTTTCCAAGTATAGCGTTGCATAAAAGTGTTCGCTCCTTTTGTATACTTTCCTTTCAAAATAGAGGCGTCATCAAAGTCAGCGGCAGCAGAGCCCACATTATTTTGATAGGTATTTTGATTAAATTAAGCAATTGATTCCATTTATTTGTAGCAAAACTTACTTTTAGTTAATACTTTCGATATAAACTTTCATAACGGATTTAAAATTTGCCCTCTATCTTTCCTAAAAGTATGAAAATTTCTGATTTCGAAATTTCTCTACAGCGTACTGGAGGTTCTCAAAGGGTGTGTTTCTGCCAGCATGAAATCGTGACAATTTGCATAATTGGAAATCAAAACTCGTTATTCAATTAAAAGTGGAGATGGCCTCTCCCCTGGAGAATCTCGAGTCGAGCCTGGAGATGTTCGTGGAGAATGTGCGTCAAATCCGGATCATTGTGAGCGATTTCCAGCCGCAGGGCCAGACGGTTCTGAACCAGAAGATTCAATCGCTGGTGCAAGGTCTGCAGGAAATTGACCGGCTCAAGTCGCAGGTGCAAGACGTCAGCGTGCCCCTCGAGGTTTTCGACTACATTGATCAGGGCAGGAATCCGCAGCTCTACACCAAAGACTGCATGGAAAAGGCTCTATGCAAGAACGAGGAGATCAAAGGCAAAATTGACTCGTACCGAAAGTTCAAGGCCCACCTAATGTCCGAACTGCACTCGACCTTCCCCAATGAGTTGGCAAAATATCGTGCCATCCGTGGTGACGACATAAACAGACAGTCTATTTGAGTTCCTTATGGAAAAATTATTGTTTATCCTCAAATTTGTACATGTTTTCGGAAATATAATATTGGACATTAATTAAATTTTGAATTTCCTTATACAAAATCATATTATTTCCTAGGTGACATTATTAAAATATGCAATATATATTGAATGAATTTCTATCATTATCTTTTTTTTTAAATTTGGATAATCTCAAACAATTTAGTGATAAGATTGAGTAGAGATTTGCCAGCAGCTAATATAGGATTAGTGTGGTGGGTAATAAAAGTAGTATTTAAATTTTAACAGAATTTTAAATTATCTTGTCGGAATTTCGTCTCCAATTTTTTTAAGTTCTTATGAGCGATGAAGATTATTTTAGTTCTGGGATAAAATAAAAAGTAATTGAAGACTAAATTGCTTTTCTATTGATAATTGAAAATTTACACATCATCAACAAGATAAATTTTTGTGGCAATATTTTAATTGAATTTAACATTCAAAAAATATAATTTGTCAATCCTACAATAATATAATGATAGTGTCAAATTATTTTTTAAATTAAAGCATAAAATTCTTCTCAATGTGACTGCATTCAGAGTGATACAAGTTTATTGGAAATTGTCAATAGTAAATTTTTTTTAATCAATTATTGAAATGAAAGTAGTACTTTTTAATTGAGATGCAATGAAATTTTCAGTCTAGAAAAAAGTTTGCCATAACCAAAAATGAGATTATATAGATAAAAATACAAGGAGTTCATAATTTCCATGGTTTCAACAGACCTTAAAGAAAATACTCACACAAAGTTTGAGTGCAGCACACTTTATTATTGTATTGCAATTTATGACAGCAGAGAAAACACGCCAGCCACAAAGTACAAAATACACTTACTTGATTTTATCACCAGGACAAACATGTGAAAATAGACTGACTATCACCCAACGGTTAAATAGTGAAAAACAAGAAAAAAATATTAATGATTAGTAATGCAAGCGAGAAAGATCTCTTTCTACATAAAAGTCTCCTGTGACTCGGTCACAAATAATAACATTTTCAATTTGTTTTTAACACAAAACGCAATTTTACACATCATGACAAGCTTGAATTTCCTAGCTAGAAATGAATATCAATTTGAACACTTCAACGCATTGTTCAGTTCGCAGTCATTTTAGACTAATTAAAAAAGTCACATTTTTGTTGTTCTCAAACACTCTTGCAAGGCCGAAAGAGGTGCGTTCTTCTGATTGTGCAACACAAGAGAATTCCATAATATAAGTTGTTCTGACCGACAGAAAACAAGAAACATTTGATAAAATATTATAATGATAATAATACAAAGCGCTGCGGAGACCGCGAGGAGCGCCCTATGGTTAAATTAATGTGATATGATTACATTCTTGTTAAATCAATTTCCCAACTGAACCATAAAATTAAATGTAATTAACATAGACATATTAATAAAGAATAAGGACAGCGCTGCAGGGAGAAGCGGGGATGATTGATCGAAAAGCTGATCCTTTTTTAAAAAAAAAAAAAGTTTGGTCGATCAGAAAGCATTGTTAGTGGAAGCAGAAGAGGAAGTAGAAAATTCAGACGGGGGTCATTGGACGACACGACGCACACAGTCGGCGACGAAGCGCTTCTTGTTGGGCGAATCGTCCTTCTTGGCGAAGGCCTCCTCGACCAAGGTCACGGCTTCTTCGCAGAACTTGCGGCCCTCAAGTCCAGACAGGACGGCCACTTCACCTTCGGGAGCGGCAGAAGCAAAACCCGGTGGGACAGTGACACTCATCGCAGCCACAAGGCCCTTAACCACCTTTGTGTGCACCTTGAGGGTGGCGCCCTCTGACACACACATGTCTCGAGGCACCGCGAATTCGCGAGTGACGGTGAAATCAGGCGTTTTGCCAAAACGCCAAGACCAGCTCACAAACTCGGCGCGAGATTTCTCCAGACCTGACAATGAGACAAAATGCAGTTAATAACTTTAGTATGATTAAATTTTCTTAAACCATTATGCAAAATTAAAAAAATAACGACAAATTTTTAAAGATTCGATATCATTAAAAGAACCTGTTGAAAGATAATCGAAACTGAAAAATTTAAAAAGTTTAAACTCACCTGGGAACCATTCGTCGGTGGGGTTGACGAGAGCAAATCCAAGCTGCCGGTTGATGGCTGCCTTTCCAAGGTCACGACCTTCGTCATCAGAGCGAAGATATTCGCGTCCAACAGCACCCATCAAGCTGGTGACGCTCACCTGGGGCTGCAGAGAAGACAGGTTGACAACAGGAGAACGAACGCTGTCTGTGGCCCTCGTCTCAATTCCACTCTGCTGAGAAAGAGAAATTTTTTTAATAGGTATTCTTATAAAATAAAGATTGAATTATATTTAAAATTTCAAATATTTATTTAAGAAGAAAAAATAAAATATGACAGCACGTAGTCAGTTTTAAAAGTAACTTACGTCATCAGAGTTGAGAGTGCCCTTCATGCCGTCCAGGTCGACATCAGCCAACAGAGTACAGTGGTGGTAGGCGTTTGGACGTCCCAGTTTTGAAGCAGTGCCAGAAATCTGCTCATTAACAAAAGTCAAGAAACTTTCAGTTAGCAACTGGTACAATTTTAAATTTTTTTGTCAGCTTTTATTTTGCAAGAGCTTAATAAAGGTACGTGTTAAAATATCCAAAATATCACATGGAAAAATTAAGTACATAATATAAATTAAACATTTAATTTCAAATTTAATTTTTTTGCATATGCATTGAAAAGTTTGAAAACTAAATCATTTTAGTCCAATGACCTATAAAAATTAAATTGATAATGAGATTACTTTGGCCGATTTTCGTTTTTTTTTTATATTTTAAAATTTTTACAAGCTACGACTTGTTTGCTCAGAGCAAAGTTCAAATTGCGACTCGCATCAAAAACAAAAACAACTGACTCGGCGTAGATCGCGTACCCGGAGATGAATTTTTCTTTTCGCAGAAGGAATGCTAATGAAAGATAATTGAGAAGATAAATTTAACAGAGGCTCCTTTTCAGGCAGCGTTTTTAAGAGGTCACGGCAGGCTCACCTTGAGTTTGCCATCAATGAGAAGGTCGTGCCTGGGCGAGATTTCGGATTCGAGTGCGAACTCCCTGCGGAGCGCGTTGCTGATGACCTGCAGGTTAGCCTGGCGGTTGTAGCCGTCCCTCGGGGTCATGAAGGACAAATTCAGGTTGCCAAGGTCGTGGTAGACGGCACCGCCACCGCTGTTCCTGCGTGCCAGCTGCACCTTGCGTTCAGCCAGGGTGCCGACGTGCGCCTCCCGCCATGGGTTCTGGTGTCTGCCGATGACCACGGCCGGACGGTTCCTCCACAGCAGCAGCACCCTACGCTCGGACAGGTCTTGGTTTTTGTACAGCCAGTCCTCCAGGGCCAGATTGGAGAAGATGTCATCGGACTGCGAGATGAGCACCGTCTTCGGGGTCTGCGACCTCAGGGTCCAGGAGCTCAGGAAGCGTCTCCACAGCATAGCCATGTCCAATTATTATATATAGTTTTTGATAATTCTACTTAATTGGGTACTTCGCTAATTTTAAGGCAGTGATTTTTTTTTTTATCTCTTGATAAATAATTTGACTAAGTTTTTCTAGGATTAGAGAACGGCGGGTGCAGGTCTCCTATGGACAGAAGGCTCAAAGAAGCTGAAAGTCCTGTTCCGCAGAGGTGAGCGAGACGAGGAATTCGTGAACGGCGATGGTCAGGTGCAGCCACTTCCAGGTTTGGTGCAGGGTGCTAATGCGGTACCTGAGTTTTATGCAATCTCTGCACTCTTTTAACATTCCTCTTTCGGGTCGGTTGGTTCGGAAAATTGGTCTCGGCAGAAAACTAACCGGCTCGTCGGATGCTGCAGGGTGGCTTACGTGAGCAGATCTCGGTGCGCCTGGTAACAAGGACAAAATTCAGCGCTCTCACGGTGAAACTCGTCTCTCGCTCGCAACTTAACTGTGTCTCGTCTGCCCTCGCGACTCCTGATCGTCTCGTAACCCTTTTCTTTTTCTGTTTGATGATCACGGTCTGATCATGTGATCGTTGCCAACTGCCGCCAAAGAGTCGTACTTCCTAGTTAAAAAATTCTGAAAAGGTCCACCATCACCGAAACTTATCCCCCACTCCACTTAACTTGTGTTGGCAGCATTGTATTTACTTTTCCTGACTCATTCCCCTCTGATTACAAAAAATTAAAAATGAGATTTTGATATTCAATTGATATATTATTGCTATTAAAATTAAGGCTTATAATTTTTACTTTCTTGAATTTCTATATTTTAATTGAAGTTCTAACAAAAAAATAATTTGTACAATAGCTCCATTTTTGCTAATTTTCATGTTGTTGTTATTCATCATCTAAAAAGCCGCCCCTTTTTGAAAATGGTTGTCTTTTGACGAAACGCCAACCTAATATCAGTCATATTCTATGGACTTAAAAATAATGACTTACGACTAAAAGTAAAGCAAAAAATACTTTTTTCATTTTATTTTAATTCACAAAAATTAAGTTAAAATTTTAAGCACATCCAATCAAAAGCAGAATTTTTAATATAATATGTATTTAAATTTTTGTCAAGGTGGTTAAACTATACAAGCAAGCAAAAGTTTTTGTTTTCAGTTTCAGCTTGTTTCAGCCCAAGGAAGCCTTTGCCGGTGAATTTGACAAAATTTGTAGCGATTTAGTAAAAAAATCTGCGGAAATGAGTGCCGGAATGCTTTACGGCGGTGACGAGATAGGAGCCCTCGTCTTCGACGGCGGCCACTACTCGTTCCGCGTCGGCTACGCGCAGGAAGACACCCCGAAGGCCGAGATTCCGGCAGTTGTCGGCATCGGCGAGGACGCCAACGGTATGGCCGTGATCGAGGGTGAGGCCATGGAGGTGGATGAGAAGAAACCCGACCCTTCCAGCATCAACCAGAGCAACAAGAAGTACTACATTGACACGACCAGTCTGTGTGTGCCTCGGCAGGGCGTTGAGGTCACCAGCTACATGAAGGAATGCATGATTGAGGACTGGGATTTGTTTGAAAAAGTTCTTGATTACTCTTACAAGAAGATCATCCAGTCTGAGTCCGAGTTTCATCCGGTCTTGATGTCCGAAGCACCGTGGAATGTCCGGCTCAAGAGGGAGAAGTTGACCGAGCTCATGTTTGAAAAGTACAATGTTCCGGCGTTTTTCTTGGTCAAGAACGCCGTCCTTGCAGCTTTTGCCAACGGCAGATCGACTGGCCTGGTCGTGGACAGCGGTTCCACCCACACCACAGCCGTACCTGTCCTGGACGGCTACGTTTTGGGACAAGCAATCGTCAAGTCGCCGCTCGGTGGAGATTATATCAGCATGCAGTGTACAAAATTCCTTGAGGTAGTGCTCAAATTGCACAAAAAATTTAAAACTATTATTAATTTGTTTAAAATTTTAGGAGAATGATATTGATCTGTCGCCCACCTACTTGGTAGCAGGAAAGGAAGCCGTAAAAGAAAGGGAAAAGCCTCGATGGACAAAACGCAAAAACGTACCAGAGGTCACTAGGAACTGGCATAACTATATGGTTCGAAAGGTGGTCCAAGATTTTCAGGTATTGGGTTAATTTTTCTAAGAAGCTAGTGGATTTAATTTTTTTATTATAGGCAACTTCTCTACAAGTATTAGAAACGCCATTTGACGAAAAGATTGTCGCCAACATTCCAACGGTTCACTACGAATTTCCCACAGGGTATAACCAGGACTTTGGAGCTGAAAGATTCCGTATTCCAGAGGCTCTCTTTGACCCAAGCATGGTAAGTTCAGTGTCAGTTATTAAATGCACTTCGGCATTTGTTAGTAATAAGTTTACTATATTATTTTTAAGACATTTTCACAGAGCAAGTGATAATGCTTCATTATTTACTGAAATTATATTGTGAAATATTTCTAGGTCCGAGGAAATACTATGCTTGGAGTTGGTCACATAGTGACGACCAGTGTTGGAATGTGCGATGTTGACGTCAGGCCTAGCTTGTACGGCAGCGTAGTTGTTACTGGAGGAAACTCATTCCTGCAGGTATTATTTTATTTTCGTTGAAATTTTAGCACACACAAAAATTCAACCTATCTAATTCCAGGGCTTCCCCGAGCGCTTGAACCGAGACCTTTCAGTGAAGATACCAAACAGCATGCGTTTGAAAATGATCAGTGCAAACGGTTGTGCGGAGAGACGCTTTGGTGCTTGGATTGGTGGCTCTATTCTTGCCAGTATCGGCTCCTTCCAGCAAATGTGGCTCTCCAGCCAGGAATACGAAGAAGGCGGCAAGCAACAAATTGAGCGGAAATGCCCGTAATTTTTAAACGTAGAATAATTTTTGTATTAAATAAGAAAATGTGCGTCATTTACAACTTTTGAATTTCGCATAACTTTTAGTAGCTAAAAGTCTTTAATTTTAAGGCCCATTAAATAAATTAGAATGTGGAGAATCAAGTGTGATTTATTTAAAACATGGTAACAAAAGGAACACATGGATTCTGATGATGAGTAACACTTCTGGGTTAAAGGAACTGCTTGAAGTTGGTTCTGCTTTGATTCTCTGTTGGTCTAACTATAGTCAAGGCAATATTCTAATCGGACGACTCTACAAAGCTAACTCTCATGGCACCGTTGGCATCAGGGTTGAGGCGGAAAGTCCCATTTTGCAAAATCTGGTCTCCTTCTTTGGAAAGCGAGGAAATCAAAGCTTGGTTCTCGGGGTTTCCTTCGCAGATATTCCTTATGGCCAGGATGACCCATTGTGTGATGACTGGAATAACGCTGTAAGGAAATAGTTGCACAAAAAAAGAGAAAAGAAATTGGTTTGAAATTTTTGTTAAAAAGGATACAAGGATTGCACGCATCTAGTCGACTGCAATTCAGCAAAAGTGGCACTCCTTCCATGTCTCTGAGCTATTATACAAATTTGATTTTAATATCGTTAACCTCTGGAAAATGATTTGATTTTTACCTTATCCTGATTGATCTTGTTTCTGAAGCACAAGTTTCCAATCAGACGGACCAGCTGAGCCTTGAAGCCATACATAGGGCTCTGCTTAATTTCCTGCATCTTATCTCCACGGGCATCAAAAGCACTGAGTTTGTCTTCGACTGACATGCAGGCATGGATTCCTCGCAAGAGAACTGCACAGAAAAGAAATAGAAATAAGTAACTTTCAATTTGATGGTTTAAAATTTTAATTACAAACGGCACTGGTGAGAAGTGCACCATCTTGTTGAAGTTTGGCTGCTCCTTCAGAGTCCACAATTCCAGATGCAGTTGCCACAGCTTCCAAAAGGGCTGCCGACTCTGAAGGGTCAGGGGTCGGTAGTCCATTGTGTGCCACAAATATGATGTCTGCCTTTTTCTTGAACTCGGTCGAAATCAGCATGACTGTGTCAGGCGGCAGGTGGGCTCCTTTCCCAGTCATCTCTCGACAGACCTCCAAAAGAAAAAGCCTCTCGCCAACTCCCAGGACAGGATAGACCTGGGCAATAAAGCCAGGCCAGCTAATCAAGTGTTCCACACAGTAGAGACTAAAAAAAAAAAAAAATTGTATTAACTTTTCTAGAGTTATTAATTAAGGCTTACGCAAATTCTGATTCCTTGGCTGCCAGACTCAAAATAGAGGGAAAAACGTTGGTGATATCAGTATAGGGGATGTTAGGGTTGCCTTTAAAAATATTGAAAACAACCATCGCTGTGTAGTTGGAGGCTCGAACATCGCTGAGGTTTAAAAGTTCTCTGGAAAATATCATGTTTTATATATCGAGTTGCAAAAAATTTAATTGATCATACCTGAGAAGGTTCTTGTATTCCTGCCACATGAGGCTTCTGGTTCTATCGTTGTCGACAACGAAGTTTCCAAAAAATTGCACGCCGACTCGGACGCAGACCAGAACTCGCTCATACTGCAGGGATCGAGGGTCGTTCAGCAATTTCTGGACGATCTCGGTTGAGTGCTTGATGATGTTGGACTCCGCCACGGCATCCTGGAACATTTTCCCTTTCGCACAGACTGCACGCAGCTCTCTAAAATAATTGGTGATGGTGTTCAGAATGTCCTCAGCTGTGGTTGGATTGGGGTTGTCCTCCAAGGACAGGCTTTTGGCCAGCATGTCCTCCAGGCTGGTGATGTCCGCGCAGCTCTCGGAGGAATCCATGTCGAGAGGCCGCAGGAAAGTCTGCGAATCGAACAGGAAATGAGGCACCCACCAGACCACAAAATAGAAAGTGCAAGTAGAACGGTTTATGCGGACGTCTGCGAGTGAAAATGAAAATTCCAATGTAAACAAATGACGTCGTCTGATTGGCCGGATCGGCGGTCATGGAGACCTTTCGACCAATCACAAGATCAGAAGGGTGACGGCATTTGAGCGCCACAACTTTAAAACTTTCAGACATGCATCCTCTGCAGGTTGAGAGAAACTCCTCAGGGGAGGTCTCTGAGAAGGTGGTGGGGACTCACCTTTTGAGAAGAAAGAACTAAGGTAGGGGAAGTTCCACTCGACAGTCGACAGGTGGCCATTGCCCACGGAAAGGAAACATTCATTTATGTTGTGTCTGCGTCCCTGAGAAGCCGAATTCTCTTCTATCGACGGTCCTGAAAATCGTCCAAAATGGGCTCCAAAGTCGAGTACGTCGACTCGACGCAGATGTACGCGACGAGCTACGCGCGTAACTCGAAGGCCGTGGCCGTGCTGTGGGGCGTCTTCACCCTGTGCTACGCCGTCATCTGCCTGGTGGCCTTCGCAACCCCTGAGTGGTTGGGCACTACCTCCTCAGGGCGCATCGGTGTGTGGACCATTTGCAACGCCATCGACGCCCAGTCCGGCGTCGAGACTTGCATCGGCAAGTTGGAGGACGTGACCACCATCCCTGGAGTTGCTCTCAGGGCGGCCGCCATCCTCGTCGGCTTGGGCACCCTGTTGGCTCTGATCTGCGTGGTCGCCCTTCTGCTGTTCTTCTTTTGCGGCACCACAAGTGTCTTCATGATTTGCGGATGGATTCAACTTCTCTCAGGTAAATATATAATACATTATATAATTTTTTTAACAGGGATTTTTTATTTATCTTTAAAACAAAATATTCAAATTAAAAAATTTTTTTTTAATTAATTAATATTTATTTTTTAAATTTAAATTTTTATCTGTTTGGTCAACATCTCTGAGGTAAATATTATTTTAACAAGATTAACAAGATATCTATTTATTTCTACAAAATATATTCAAATTTAAAAATTACATTCATTTTTCTTTTTTCTTTTTTTTTATTAATATTGATTAAAAAATGTTAAATTTTTTATTTATTTAGTTAAATTTTCTCTGGTGAATATTTTTTTGCAAGGATTTTTATTAATTTTTAAAACAAAATATTCAAATTTAAAAATTAAATTTTTCTTGTTTTTATTTATAAATATTGATTTAAAACATTTAATTTCTTTGTATAGTATTTATTTTGGCAACGCATAATGCAATATCTTCTCCCTGCATTTGTTTTAAAATTGCAATTCTTAAAAAGGAATGTGCAACAAGTGTCTCAGTGTCTGTGCGCTTAATTAAGTTGCAAAGTACACAAGTTTCGTCCATTATCAGTTTAGTAAACACCGAATACCAGCCGCAAGTCAGAAAAGCGAAAAGTTTGTTTAAAAAATTTTCCCTCTTCAAGAGTGAGATGAGTTGAGACCTTTGTCAGCAAGGCCGTTTCTGCAACCGTGTCAAAATTGTGAGCCTTTGCAATTCTTAAATGTCTCAAATTTCTCCAAAGAAAAAAAAGAAATCTAAAGAAGAGCGATCGCTTTCATTAATGAATAATTGGCCAATTAAGATTAAAATCAAATTAAAATTCAGGTTAATTCTTTTATCCGAATGCTGGTCGAAAATTGTACTTTTGGCCGCGGCCAATCTCAAGTCGGTCATTCGCGAGTGGACATTTGGCTCTGACCGCTTGACTCTCGTAACTGTTTAGCAAATTTGGATCACTGGCATGAAATCCCACATTATGCACGCAAAACGAATTGCGCCAATAAAGTCATGAGGTCGCGGGAAGTGTGATGAAGTTGCCGTCATCCGCGTGATTTCATATTAACGGGATCAGGAGGAATGATGCTGGCTGAACTTTTTCCTTTGGTCGGCGCATTGTTGCCGGCTTTTTGACAAATTTCTATTGTTCTTCAGGCTACACCTATTCTGGGAAACTGGTGATTATTTCTTGGAATGAATTATTACAGACATAAGTGGTTCTAAAAGCATCGTAAAAGGAATACATAAATTGTAAAGTTGTAAGAGCTATGTATATTTTAAATATTTAAAAATTATTGAATTGTTCTGTTAATAAACTTGAAACAAATTAAAATAAAAATGTATTTAAATGAATTTTCAATCTTCCGTTTCCAGATTAATTCACTAAAATTTAGCTTTTTTAATTTTAATTTAAATAATTCATTATTTAATAAAATCAATTCTTCTTAAAAAATGTTTTCAAAATTCTAATTTATTTGTATAAAAAGAGATAACATTTTTTTTAAATGGATTTTACCTTCAAATTTTATTTAATTAGTTAATTGTTTAAAGCAAAATCAGTTATCCCCACTGAACAAGAAAACTATTTTTTTCATGATAAGATTAAAAATATTTAATGAAGATTTAATTTCTATTTTTCAACTTTGCTTTAAAAAAACTGATTTAAAAAAAATTCACATGGTTGATTAGAATGAATTGGAGTCTCGTTTTTTGAAATACATTACAATATGGAAAGAATTTGCATATCGCAACACAACATCCAGTTGAAAATTTGCCAAGTCTCTCTAATATCCGCGATTTGGTCACGTTTTGCCTCTAATGCAAAAACCGAGAGTGAACGTCATGCTTACAAATTTCGCTCTTTCACTATAGTCGGGTCCAATTATTACAATGGCAGACACTCCGAATAAATATAACAACTTGCACCGCCTTTCCACTCGCTGCAGCGGCAAACTCTTATTTTATATATGAAAACTTTTTATTTCAAAATCGCCGGGCGAGAAATTGTGCATGGTCGAGAACGAACTTTCAATTCTGCGCGTCGGATCGGTGCTGCTGCTCCATTTGCAGCTGCGGCTATAATTGTACATACAAGTGGCACACGCTCCCACGCTAATGCGGTAAAGCGCTTCTCATTTTGGGAAACAAAGGATTAGCAGCGGAAAGGTGCTGCTGCGGTTGAATATGTGCGGCGGCTACGAACAGTCTGCCGAGCAGAACTGCTCCATCTGATAAATATAAAGAAGCGCAGGTGTTTTTCACGATCACTCTCACAATTTACAACTGCAAATTGCAATTAGCAAATTTAATTTGAAAGAAAGTTGAGCCAGGAATCGACAAGTAGATCATTACATTAATAATTATTCTCAAACCATTTTATCATTCATTTTGTGTTAAAAATATTAATACACTTTTATTAAAAAAAATTTATTTATTTAGTATTTTTTTTTTAATAATTTTTATATAATATTCAACTAAACATTTATTTTTATTTTATTATATTTGAATTAAAATTTTTTTTCATCATTCAAAATTTGTTACTTTTTCTTAGCTTTAAATTTTTTATTGAATTTGTAAATATTTCTCTGAAAGAAATTAATAGTTAATTTCATTTTGTGTTGCATCAGACCGTTTAACAATCATCATGAACCATGAAATTTTAATCTTCCCACAGTTGTGACGCAAGGAATAGTCAAGCTCTTCTGATTTTCTTGGTGGCATATCACATTTGGCCTCTAAAAAATAACAATTTTTGCCTCTCACTATCTCATTTCTATTCAGTTTTAAAATAATTAGTTTAATTGATTTTTTAGTAGTTCCAGTTATTTTTGATCTTAAAAATTGGCTTCAAGTGCCGAAACCTTAGCAATTTTAATTTATATCAGAAAATTTAGCTGCACAGTTATCCAGCAAGCTTGTTTCAAGTAACTTGCTCTTGTTGATCTCTTTATCAATCAGTCCCGTCACCGATTTCAAAGCCAAAAGGCATTACTCGCGGTCTTTGTGCCAAGAGAAAGTGCACCATGCATGTGGTTAGTTTATAGTTGTTCGAGATCGCTTTGGATGGAGCGCGACGCGCCGCATTGAGTCGGTGAAGGTGCATCGAAAAAAATTACTTTCCTCGTACAAATAAACCAGAATCATTTTTCCGCTTCACCTCACCGTCTGACCATTAAAAAGCTAAATAGTCATTTAATTGAGCCAATTTATAGATTCGCGAAAGTTTATGATGTTGGCAAATTATTTAAGAATAAGTGAGTGTTATTTTTTCAAACGAGCTGTACAGATAAAGTTTCAATTTCACTTTCGCATGTTACGTACGTAGAGCCAAGGATAGAATTGAGATAAAGACCCCCCTTTGAAGATAAGGAAAATTACAAAGTTTTGCTTTCAAACGCAACAAGGCAACAAAGATTAAGTAATGCTCTTACTTTTCCACTAACCAACTTTTGGCAGAAATATAATATGACAACAATTCTAACCTCATTTTTCTATTAATTTTTATTTACTGAAAATCTATGGTTTTCAAAAAAAATCATGTGGTAAGGTATTTGATTTTTGATTTATTTAATTAAAATTAATCTTCAGTTTTCGTCACTGATTCATTCTAAAAAAAATGATTTTTGTTTTTAGCAATCCTCATCGGCGCCGGAGTGCTTGTGTTTCCTGCTGGTTGGGACACCCCTGAAGTCCAGCTCACTTGCGGCTCCTCCGCTGGCCAATACATGCTCGGCGACTGCTCTGTTCGTTGGGCTTTGGTTCTGGCCGTCATCGGCTGCCTGGACGGCATCATTCTTGCCTCTTTGGCTTTCATTCTGGCCACCAGACACGTCCGCCTCCGCCCTGACCCAGGCCCCAACCTTCCTTACAAAGGTAATAAAATTTATACTATTTTTCTTTGTAATATATTATTTTTTAAATTTCAGGTGAAGTAAATGGAGCATTCCTGAATGACGCTCAGTCCCTGACTGGCTCGAGAAAGGCCATCAACATGCAGCCAGTGATGATGATGCAGCCAGGCCCAGGCGAGGTCGACCGCTACTCGGAGTTTTCGAATCGCACCGGCCGCTCGAAGGCCAGCGGATACCGAGGCGACTACTCGTCAAGTGTTCAGAACTTCCAGCTGTGAACCTAGTTTTGTAACACGAACGACTGAGAGACTTTTGCGACTTTTAACAGTGCCTGTTCCGTTTGTAAGTACACGAGTAAAAGTAGTTTCGCATCCTCTTTGACAAAATCCGGCTTCTCTCGGACATCAATTTTATTATTATTTTTATCAAATATGCGTGCATGTAATGAGAAAATGACTCACGAAGCCAAATTTATTGTATTGTTAGGGCCGAGTGCTGTTGATCGATTGGCCTTTGCATGTCACGGAAGCCAAGCATGCCTCTTTATTGACAATTAATCGCCCACTTACTCCATGTTACATTCACCATCTGAATAATCAAAGCGTTCGGCGTAATCAGTTTTGAGCTTGGTAGACATTTAAATAAGTGATTCTCAACCGCAATGACGTTTGCGATTGCTCGAAGACGCCAGCAGCAGTTGGCATCTCGAAGCAAGCAATGTTGTGCTGTACATACACAGCCTGCTTTGAGGCAGTTTTGCTTTGATCATTAATGCTGTCTGACATGCACAACCTGAGATGAGACTACGTTCGCAGGCAAAAAATTAAATGAAATTGAGTTTCAAACTTTCAAGCCTGCTTTGTTACTAGGAAGAAAAAAAAATTTAGATTTTAATTATGTCAAACTTAATGAAGAAAAATTAAGCCGTTGGTAAAATAATACTTGAATATATCCTATTTGTCTTCCATTTTACAACGATTGAATCTCAGTATCTGATATTACTAAGAATTGATGAAATAATTTTTGCTAAATTTATTTATTAGCATTTAGGATAATAGATTTAAAATGTACTACAACAAGAGCGAAACGAATAAAATATCTTTTAATTGACCAAACTTTTTCAATTAAAAATTTTAAATAATTTGCTCCTTCTTCACTTGGTTTGCCGTAGCTATACAACCGGGCGAGCACGGATGCTCGGCCGCGTGCCTATTCACGCCGTTGCCATCGACTCTGATGGCAAATCTCTCTCCCTCGACTGACTACTATTTGCATGTGCGTTGTGGGTGCTGCCCTCAGACGTAATGCGCCTCAAATGGGTAGCGGCTGATCGGAAAATGGGAAGAATAGGGGTTGGCACGGGACGAGTTGATTGGTGGAAAAGGACATTGACTGGCTGTGTGTGTGGAGTAAGTTCACCTCCTCTTACCTTGTCAGCGGGCGAGAGCAGGACGAGATTGTGACACAGTATTTTATGGATTTTATCGCCGGCGGGGGTGTGTATGCGTTCGCACGGTGCCACCGACGCTTCATTCATCGCGTTCGGCCGCTCGGCGTCGACTAGCGCGGACAATTTCATTCATCATTTCGGGCGAGAAGCGACGACCATCTCGACACGGCGGCCGCTCGCACGGGTCAAGTACAGTTTTATTTGACACACCTGCCCGCACCCACGCAGAGAGGGCTGCAGCCCCCACCCCGTGAGAATTTAATTATACATATCGGAGAGTGAGAGCGAGAGAACGAATAAGCAAGAGGTGCATGTTGGTGGTGAAAAGACTTGTTCTCGCCAGAGTTCGTTGGCCTTTTTGCGAGAAAGGTGGTTGGTGGACTTTACGAGAGATTTCGAGCCAAGGGTGAGAGATTATTTGATCGGACGAGGCGCGCGAGATCAATAGGATTATCGAAAGGCGGATAATGGTGGTGTCTTTAATAATAAAAAGAAGTGACAACAACACGACGACGACGACGAGGAGCAGAGGAGGCGGAGGACGAGTGGAGGCCGTGGGGCAGTGGGGGTGGCGATGCAATCCCGAGGGGTAGATCCATATGGCGCTGGCATCGGCGGCATTGTGTCAGGTGGCAATCGTTCTCCGAGGTCGGCGGCTGCGCGGAGCCGATCCGGGGGTGCGCTCGCCCCCTACATGAGCGGAGGAGGTCTGGCGGGCGAGCTGCCGACAGTCGACCGTTCGCCATCGAGGGCAGCCGCCGCCGCCGCCGCCGCTTCTTCCACCCTCTACGGGCCGTACTCCCAGCCGAGCTCAGCGAGAGGCAGCCCAGTAGGCAGACGAGGGGCGGCAGCGTTGGCCGCCTCCACCGGCAGGCCGCACATCAGCCGCTCGAGCAACAGTTCACCCCTGCTGGTGACGGGAGAACATGCTTACTACCCCGGGGGCGGCACCACCTTCGGCATGGACCCCGCGGGACACTACTACCCCGAAGACCTGCTAGGCATGGACCCGTCCATGGACAGGCGGACGGGCGCGCCCACCGGCCACCACCGCTCGCGCAGCGTGTCCCGCTCGGGCCCGGGGGCCGCCGGGGGCGGCTCCGGGCGCTACGCCTCCGAGCCGCCGCACCACGAGCGCGAGTTTGTGCCTATTCGGGAGCCGCGCGAGCGCTCCCTGGACAGGGGGGGTGTGCGTGAGCGCTCGCTGGACAGGGGCGCCGGCATGTACGGCATGGAGGACGATCTGTACGGGCCGCCCCCGCACCGGTCGGCCCGCCAGTCGCCGAGCGCGGCCATGATGGGGCCCGCGATGGACGGCCGCGGCAACTACATCGGCGAGCTCACCTACCAGAACAACGACCTGCAGCGCGAGCTCGCCACCCTCAAGAAGGAGCTCGAGCTCACCAGCCAGAAGCTCGGCTCCAGCATGCACAGCATCAAGACCTTCTGGAGCCCTGAGCTCAAGAAGGAGCGCGCCCTGCGCAAGGAGGAGTCGGCCAAGTACTCGCTCATGAGTGACCAACTCAAGCTGCTCAACTCAGAGAACCAGGTAAGAAGATCATTTTGCAAAAATAGGGTGTTATCTATAAATGAAGAAGAACAGATAATTTATTTCAGAATACTATGATTTGTTTTCCAAGATAATAGTTTTTTTTGTTCTCCAGAGTTTTACACACTTTTTTACTTACTTAAAGTAAATTATTTATCTTTTTAAAAGTGATTTATATCAGTTTTTATTATTATCAAGAATATTAAGCATTAAATTCAGATTAATTTATTGGGACAAATTCAAATAATTGAAGAATTTTCAACAATTTTTATTTCCAAATCTTATGATATTCTAATGAATGACGCTTGCATTATTTTTATATCAAAATATTTTTAAATTATTTTAACAACAATATAAAATATAATATTGTTATAAAAAATGAATAAAATTTTTGTAACGTCGTGGATGATGCCCTATGTATTTTTTTGCGTTTATATTTTCATTTTTATTTCCCCGATAATTCATTTGCACATCGCTCACGTATCGTGTTAAAAACCTGCGCCAGAATACATTTAATAGAATTCTATGCAAGTAGCATTGTCTGTGTGTGTTCTATTTATTTTAACACTGTGGCTCGCGCGCGCGAGAGCAACATCTGCATAAAATGGATTTTTCCTTTGCAGCTCTCGTGTTCGTTGCGGCCGAGTCGGGGTCAAAAAGAATTTATTAAAAACGGCTGAATGGATTCTGTCTGTAGCTCCGCTGCGGGAATTCCACCGAGTAAGATGATGTATTAAAACGCGAACATAATGCAACTTTTTTTTCTTCATTCGCCCTCACCATATAGTAGAGGAGATTTATCTCGCCCCTATGTATATTTCTAGTGCGCTTTTTGCACCGGCTTCCTGTCTTTTAAAGAGCAAACACGTAGAGATGGTTCTATTGAAGATTTTGAACCCAAAGCGCAGTGAAAAACAACCTCCCCCGACCGTGTTATTTTTCTGTAAAACGAACCAACAAAAACCAGCAGCCTGCTCCAATTTCCTCTCCGCAGCACTCATCTCTCTCCCACAGTAATTGCTGAACAACTGGAATAAGGACAAAACTTTGGTCGTGTTTTTGAAGGGGGGATTAAGGAAGGAAAACGCGTTTACAACTTTTTTATGAACTCTCCCAGCCAACAAACATATAAATTTGAAAAAGTTTGGTTCCTCAATTATTAGCGATTATTATAGTTTTCTTATTTCATTCTCAAACAATATTTATATTTAATAATTTATTGTGATTTAGTTTTGTTTGTATGTTTTGATTATATTTTATTTATTTTTAGCAATTTGAGATTTTTGGCATTAAAAGTTTTTTAAGAGATTTTTAAATTTACATTCGTTTATATTATGTGATAGAATTCATGAGGGTTGATTCATTGTTATTTGAATTTAAAATCGACTTCGTTTCACTGATTTCCACAATGATTAATGTTGACGAAAATTTTAACGATTCGAACTATTTCAAAAACTTTCTTGCATTTTCTTAATATTTTATTTCAATTTAAAATTTGTCATTTCAAAACTTTGAATAGAACCATTAATAAATAATGCCACCATAGAAAAGCTCATTTTTCGCTACGAGGTTAGTTCAAACTTTATCTCAACGTCCTACTTCACTGCGAAAGCTCTCATTTGCAAGTTGCGAAAACAAACGAGCGCGTCATTTTTTTTTCGTCATCTCGTTAAAAAGAGCCGCCCGCACCGTTCAAAGCCGCTTTAATGAATACAACCGGGCAAAGTTTTTCGCCGGTCGCGGAAAAAAGGAGAGCTATAATACGCCTTTTGCGCAAGGTAAACATTTTCTTTGATAGAAACCTCATCTCGGCGCGTCCACCTGCACACGCCGGGTTTCTCGGCCGCGGCCACGGAATGCTTTGCAAAAAAAAAAAAAAAAAAAAACCCCGCCGCTTATTATTCGGAAATAGTGTGGTGTGCCCGGGCCGCCACTTTTCCTGCGTGCACCGGCGACACATAATTTTCGCGTTATGCCTAACAGGACACGCACGCAATTCGCCGGGTTGTTCGTTGGCGCCTCGCTCGCTCGTCTGGCGCTGCTGGAAATTGGGCTGTGCCGCACAAAAGCATCTTGTTTTGCAGCGCGACCCGCCTATTTGCCAAAAGAGTGCCGCAGAGTTGGCCATTTCATCACTTGCAAAGGCGTGCGGGCCAAACTTCGACGGGGATTTGACCCAAAGTTAATGGTTGGGAAAGGATAAAACTTTATAGAACAAAATCTACTGCATTGGAAAAAATATTAATTCAAACTATGCGGAAGTGTTATAAAGAAATTTGTAATAGATTTAAATTTTAATTATTTTCAATTAATTTAAACACTCATTTAAAAGTCAGATATTAACAGAATTAAATCATTTAGAGAGCTTAATTCGAAGAACGTGTCTGGAATGTTTGTTATTATTAAATTGATTAAATTAATTCCAAATAGTTTCATAGTTAAAAATTCCATTCAAATCGATGCTGAACCCACTACCTTCTTTAGAAAAATATTTTGTGTGTTGGAATTTGAAGAAATCACAAATCTTTTCAGGGAAATTATTGCTAGATTGCCTATCTTATATATATTTTAAAGAATTTTTACTTTTTCATTTATTGATCTGGTTGTGAATGAAAAGCTTTAACTATTTGGCAGAAAGCAAAATCTCCTGAATTAATTAATTTTTCCTTATTTAAAACGTTTTATTCTATCAAAGAATGTTTAATTTCATTCTTTAATGATGAAAAATTTTAAAAACGGGAAAAACCTAATTAAATTTTGACTTTTAATAACACTTTTTTTTAACCAATTTGACAATAGCGAACGTTTCTTCAATCTTCTGCAATATGTATTCTTTGAAAGAAATTGCTTTGATAATTTATTAAAATAATAATAATAATAATAAATTTCCTGGATCTTTTTTACCATATACGCAAAATGCCAAGCAATTGAATAATGCTTCGCAATTGCCATTTTTAAGGTTGCATTTTTTGCTAGTGTTTTTCTTTCTTTAGAACATTTTTAACGTGATTTTAGTGCTTGCGAAGTGCACATTCGAAGCACTTGCCGGTCTTCTATTTATCGCCCACTGGTGCAAACGGAGGCAATTTGAAGTAATCAAATGCACCCCATTATTATCTCACGCCGGCTTGCACTCTCGGGTCAATATTCGTTTATGTGCATGTACGCCCGGCAAATTTCTAGTTTTATTACCGGCACCATTCTATACATTATTGCTCGATTGCACTCGGGCCGGGATGCACGAGACGTAAATTGTCACGTCTGGAGCGTCATAAACCAGCGGCAGATTACTCTTGATGAGGCCGGCAGTCCACCGGGGACAAGAGCCACGTCAAGTCATTGAATACATTCATTTGTTTATAACACGGACAGGACACATGGCATCTGTTCGAACACATTTTTGCTGCCGATTGAAAGCTGGCAACATTTTTGACGGCTTCATGAATAGGGGTTGCAGTTAAACGAGGGATCAAATGACTTTTGCCGAAATTTCAAATGCAAAAAAAGCGCTGCTTACGACGATATTAAAAAAAAAATTATATGGGTTTTAGGCCTTGAATCTCGAATCATATTGATGAGTTTAAGAATGCCAATTTTTCAAAAATAAAATAAAATTCCTTGCAATTATTAAGTTAAAAAAAAATTAAAGTTGCTGCTTTGAAGAAAATTAAGGAAAGCAAAAAATGAAAAATAATAATTTTAAAATTATAAAAACTGATAAAAATAACAAGTAAAAAAATTACTTTAGATAGGTTTAGTTCCTTACTTGTAGACCAGAATTACACTTGAAAATATCAAATTATTAATATTTATTAAAAATAATTTACATTTTTTTCAATAAACATGAAAAAGTGAACATTGCTTGTTGAAATTATGATTTCATAGCAAAGAATGATGAGGAAACATTAATGTTATGAAAATTGTGAGGAAATATCATTCCAGATGTGCAGTTCGTCTTTCTTTTTTTTTTAAACTTATCAACTGCAGCTGAGTCATAAAATAATATGCAACCTAGCCGCAGCAATCATCTCTCAACGTTCCACTTTCCGATGATGAACACAAGTTGCTCGGCCCAGAAAGCGTACTACACACGTCTCGCTCCGAGTGCAATTATCATTAATGCTCTCCGCCCAGCCCAAATTAGCTCCCCATCTGTGCTCGCATCAGCGGTCCGTTTCCTTCCACCGCCCATCCAACCTTCGCGACCGCAACAATTCTCAATCAATCATGCCAATATCGTACAAACGTACACTCTCCGAATAAATGGCGAATCAGCTCGTCTGTCTCCGCTGCGGCTGGACGAGAGGGAGCGATTTGATCAAAGTCGACTGGAGGTGCTCTTGAGCAGATCAATCAATCTCTTCTTATTGTATACCGTCTCGTTTAATTGACAGCGTGAAAGACCAAGTCTCCTCACTTGCTAAAATAATGAATGACCAAATAAAAATGATCGTTTGCAAAAGAAGAAAAATGCTCGTTAACTAATAAAAATGGAATATTTAATTGCAATATTTTCTTTGTCCAGATAAAAATTATCTTCAATTTAAAATTTTTGTGCTCATACTGTGTCTTTTAAATTACTGAATGAATGAATTTAAAATTTTGGCCATGTTTTTTTTTATTATGACATGTTTTTGTTTCATTGTTCCTAATCAAAAAATTCAATCTGGCTAGTTCTTTTCTATTGAGAATTAAGAATATGAGATACGCATTTTATTTTCATACTTTTTCTTGAAAAAATTCATTGAATTGAAAATTCTGGGCTGAAATCTATCCATAGTCATTTTTGCAAAATTCAAAGTTTCAATAATTTGCAATAATTTGGTGTATTTTTTCCTTGTTAGTTCACGTTTCATCAGATATTTCAAGATTTTCATTTTTGCAAGAATTTTTTTATTAATTTATTTGCCTGGTCTTAATTTGAAAATGGAGTCAAAAAATTAATTTGCTACAAAAATGTTTTGGCTTTTTTGTGCATAAATATAAATCTTTACTGGATA